AAATTTAGGTACTATCAACTGCACTAGTAAAATAACTAAATCCCTAGGTAGCTGTTGGCTAAACAAACGTTTAAAATCAAAACTCCGTAGCCTACTAGAATTAACACTAAACGAATATTTCTGAATTGAAATTTATAATTAAATTAGGCGTCTCGGATTCTTTAACGTTATAAATTTCTGATGATTTCGAATCACCTAAAGCAACAATACCTATTTTTCCACTGACTAATCCTCATTCAACACTATAACTAGTTAAACATAATAGTTTCAGGATATCGTCATAAAGCATTGTCATGACTTGACAATCACGTAATATGATTGATAAAATTAATGAAACTATTAACGAAATCGGTCAACAAATTGACTTATAATTATCACTAGTGTTGTTTTTCTTTTATCTTCATTCACTACAGATGATTACAGTATGTTTCTCTATCAGTTGCTCATTCAGTAAATATCTCAAAACCTTGTCAGTCTAATTGATGGTTTAGCGACACAATCATGCATGCAAATAATCAGTATAAGCAGTCGAGCAAATCTCCTGCAAACTGAAAACATCAATGTCGAATTTACCCCAACACTGACTAAGGTTCAAGCCATTATCATAGACATGAGTTGGGAGTGTACTCCCCTGGTTACAACTTATGTTCTCTCTGATAATCACATGAGCATCACTCACTATTAATCATCTTGTAAAAACTTATTTAGCTAAATACATCTTGCAGCACCACATCACTTCGTAATATGACACAGGCCTAACTGATTTTAATAACTTATAACCACTATATCTCAATTAAATCGTATTCCGCCTTATGATAAACTGCATACTTGCAACTAACTTGTATGCCCAATCAGCCAGCAAGTATAAATATAAATAAATAGTCTTCTGCAGATCAGAACATTGAGTCTAGAGCATGTCTCTTACGAATACACTCATGTTTAACGATTTGTTCCTAGCTATCTGTCCAAAATTCATATAATTATCACTCATGTATTTAAATTTTGTTTTGATAACCATTCATGTGTATTAGTAGTATTACTAAATTCTATCACGGTCAAGTAAAAATGAGGTTGAGAAAATCTCCCCGTAACTAAATAAACCGTATCAAACTAACTGGAACACTAGTTGGAATTCTTCTCCACGGTATACTTTTGTTCCTTCAGTTAGCCTACTAATACAGATGCAATTGGAATTCAACTCATATGGACAACTTACCGGCATAATCGTTATTTGATTTCATAATTTAAACCAAAACTAATACCAATATTAACATTTCTACAATATTCATTACTTTAATATTTCTAAACACAATATACTTACTACCTATACGTTAAGTTATTAACCAACGGCTATTAACACGCATCGTTTTATTATTATTATTATTGTAACCCCATTTTTTATAGCTCAAATAATCTTCACCCAAATTTTCATTTCAAGCATTTTAAGCATGAAGGCAGATATTTTAAAATTATTACATGTATTTCCCGACCAGATGCTGCCGCTTTCTTTTTGATTTATCTTTCAGCTTACCAATACCCGGAGGATTCTTATTATCCTTGGTAACCTCCGGCGCGCGACGATCCCATCCAATTTGGTATCGAACCAACATCACGTTGATTCTGGTGGGAGAGTAGTGTAGTGGCATTGGACAATAGCCACACAATCCACAAAGCTGTGAACACGAGACTACTCAGGAAATAGATATTCAATATTTAACGCGGAGAAATACCTAACGATGGAGAAGGCGCGAACAATGAATTGAATGGACTGGAGTTGATCGATGGCATGGCTCGGCCATGCAGGCGTGGTCCATCTCAATGTTACTTTATATCTTCTATTCATATTAAATATATTGTTCTTTCTCTAGCCTAACCTTGTTCTACATCATGTATTGGTAATTGATACGATACAGTGAGTTGGTGTAGTCGATGGTGTGACTTCCACGTAAGATCTTATAGATTAGGCAGTTATATCATGACAAATCTACAAATTTAGGATTAGGTCTATTATTAGAGCAGTACTAATATCATAGTAGACCATAGTTCTACAAGTCTACCAAACAAATTGGAGGAATTACGTGAACTTAGCAACGCTAATAAGGCCCATCTGATAGGAATATCTGAGGCCTGGATATCTTCTCAGTTCTCGGAGCAAGAGTTAGCATTACCTGGGATGTCTTTGCTCCGCAATGACAGAAAATCAGGATTTGGGGGCGGAGTAGCTGTTTACATACGTTCTTGCTTGGATGTGCATCAAGTTCATAACCTCGAGTTTAACAATCTTGAGGAATCCATATGGTGCTCTGTAAGATTGTCCAGTACTTCGAGGTGTCTAGTCGGAGTCATTTACAGGGAGCCAACTGCCGACATCGAGTACGATAGTCGTATGCTGGAAGGACTATCCCTCTCTACTCGTCTCGGTTTCACACACATCCTGATTCTAGGGGACTTTAATCTCCCTAGAGTCAACTTCGCGGAACACACGTATACTGGAGGCGACAACTCAATTGAAGCTCGGTTCTTCAACCTCATCGATGACTTGGGATTGTTCGAAAATGTGAGGTCGGCAACTCGTTGAGGAAACAGTCAGACACCATCGCGCTTAGACTGTGTATTCACAAACGAAGAATTTCTAGTTGACAACCTCTCAATCCTGGCTCCCCTGGGAAAAAGTGATCATGCCGTCATAGCCTTTGGTTTTGTCATCAAAACTAAGCTAAGGTATCCCAACAATAATTTGCGTTGGAATTTTAAACGGCTGAATGTGCCAGCTCTACACGATTATCTACAACAGGTGAATTGTGATGTTTACACACAACTCGATGTGGACGGTCATTGGGACTTCTTACTGCACACGCTCTTACGTGCTACAGACCATTCAGTCCCTCAAACGGTTCCCAAAAGCTGCAAGCCACCTACAATAATCAAGAACCGTACTCTTCGCCTGCTAAGCCGCAAAAGGCACTGTTGGGCAGAATACAAACGAACTGACAACGACGGAGCGTACAGGCAATATAAACATATCAGGAACATATGCACGAAGGCCATAAAAGGAGATAGGCTTCAGTACCAGACAAAGCTTATGGACAAATTTGCCTCCAATCCTAAAAGCTTATTCCGTCGTGCAGACTCTCTTCGCCAAGCCAAAACTGGAGTTTCCCAACTGATAGGTCTTAACGCCCCGACCAACAACGATGGCGACGCCGCTAACCTTCTGGCTGAACATTACTCCCTGACATTTCAACCGACCGACATTAACTTTACTGATGACAGTTTCCTTTGCAATTCCACAGAACTTTCCGAAGTGGACCTAAGCGCTGACTTGGTGTTTCGGAAACTGCAGCACTTAAGATTAGACACTTCTCCTGGCCCGGACATGGTCCATTCCGCCATACTGAGGGAAGCGGCCTCAATCCTGGCAACGCCGCTTCGCGTGACGTTCTCGCACTCGCTAAGCCGAGGCAAACTACCGGAAAATTGGAAGTTGGCTCACATCACACCAATTTTCAAAGGAGGTCGACGCAGCGAACCTTCAAGTTACCGGACGGTGGCTCTTCTCTCCATACCCTCGAAAATCATGGAGTCCCTCATATGCGATGGTATAAATGACTATTTACTGTCCTCAAATTTCTTCTCACCCCAACAGCATGGTTTCAGGAGGGGTTACTCTTGTATTACCAACCTGCTGACTGCAGTGGACAGATGGACAAGCATCCTTGATCACAAGGAGAAGGTTGATATCATCTACCTTGATTTCTCAAAAGCTTTTGATAGGGTTTACCATACATATCTTATCAATAAGCTCAAACGATTGGGTATCAGACCACCTCTAATCGATTGGCTCACTTCATACCTAAAACATCGACACTTTAAGGTCAGGGTTAATTTCACTTTATCTCAGGCTATGGAATGTCCTAGTGGGGTGTCCCAGGGCTCAGTAATAGGACCTCTTCTCTTCTTGATCTGCATAAATGATCTTCCTCAACACGTAACGTCAGAATTGTTACTCTTTGCCGATGATGTAAAACTTTGGAGAGAGATACGCAATCAAGACGATACACAGGCACTCCAGGAGGATCTGACTCGACTCAAAAGTTGGGCAGATAATAATGGACTTACTTTTCACACTTCAAAGTGTAAAGTAGTCCATCTGCGACATGTTTAAGACTACAGTTGCAACTTAGGAAACTCCTCTCTAGTAGTATCCTGAGTCGAAAAGTATTTAGGAGTACTGGTACCCTTCGATTTGAAGTCTTACGATAACTTTGACAAAAATTCCTTTCGAGCAAACCTTGCACTGGTAACGTTGAAGCGCATTTTGGCCAGTTTGACGAAAGAACTTTCCATATAATCTTCAACAGTTTTATCCATCCCCATTTAGAGTACGGAAACATAGTATTTCCTCCCTCACTTCAAAAGGATAAGGACACTTTGGAGTGTATCCAGCGGCGAGCCACGAAATCAGTTCGAGGACTCAAATCTAAACCTTACGAAGAACGCCTCCATTCACTAGACCTTCACCCATTAGAGTATAGGCGTCTTAGAGGTGATTTATTAATGGCTTATAGTATTCTTAACACTTCTGGACATCCTCTTAAACACCTACTTAAGCTTAGTTCGAATAATAACCTGAGGGGTAACACCCAGAAACTGGAGACACAACATAGCAGAACGGACTGTAGACACAACTTCTACTCCTTAAGAGTTGTCAAAGCCTGAAATTCGCTATTAGCCGAGCTAGTCCAAGCGACTTCTCAGGAGTCGTTCAAGAGGTAACTTGACCTATTCTTAAGGACCAAGGACAGCATCATACTATGATTTAAAAGTTTCTTTTTCCTCTTTTATTGTTAACGTACTTAGGTTCCTGCCTGGAGGATTTGGTGATCCCCTGCTACTAGACACGGAAGCCTGTTAAGCGAAAGCTTCTTCTATTCCGTCCATAACGATTTGAACCATTTGAACGACTTATATGACCCTGAGATCCAGGCGGTATATACATATACAGATGGTGACCTTCAAATGAAGATTTTAGTCGATTACTGATATTAGGAGTGTTTAAGCCTACTAAATTACCATGAATGCTGTTTTGGAATATTTTTGGAAGTTAAAAAATTCTTCTTCATACGTATATCTTATGAATTCTTTATCTGACTTGTATTTTAGTTGTCTGATTATAATTTGGAAGAATTTGTCACTTTATTATACAATTTTATTGGTCGCCGATTCGGAACATTTGAACTTCCACTTAAGTAAATATAGTCAGAGTTTACCATTCTATTTTAGATATGTGACCTGCTTCAGGGACTTTCTATTATTTCAATTGGTGAACTATAAACATTCACTCAATTTTCAGTGCTTGAAATCGAGTTCGGGATTTCCTGATCTTACTGTACTATACAAAATGATTTTCATACTTTCTCGTTTGGAAGTGGAGGCTTTTTGTTTAGAATATACTCAGTGTGATGGCTACTACTCTCCATCATGTTATCTTTGCAGCTTAGACATACTATTATCAACTGTGCAACTTATATGCAAGGAAATTAACAGTGGTAGGTTAAACATCACGTCTAAGCCAAAAAGCTGTATCAATGAAATATGTTTGCGCGACTAAATTTTTTATTATTGGTCACAAGTTATCAAAGAATTAGACGAAGAAACAATGCGTCACACCGGTCAAATAAATTCACGTTTATGCACGTTAGTTTAGTGTTAAGATTATCAACTAAAATATAAGTTTAAGTCCTGAAACTTTAAGGATGTGTAAATTCACTTCATATAAAAACTGTTCTGTTGTTTACGACTTGTCGTATTGTCATTGTATACGAAAAATAGGCTACAGATCATGACTATCCATTGTTTTTTTCACTTTTAATTTTCAAAAACATTTGGAACGTTGTAGATATTGTTACTAAAAATGCCTAAAATTGCTGTATTAAATCGGTTGTATAACCGATAAAATACGTCATGGGGAGAGGTTCTAGTCTTGCTGTGTACATGTCTTTTTAATATGTTAAACTGAATGACAGTCAAATCATGCTTAATGATATGCTGTGTTTTATTGTCAATCATTCTTGATTTCAATTTATTTATATGAACTTCCAATTGGTCCTTCGAATGTTGACACAAATGATCAGCAGTGGTATTTTGTTCATTTTAGAATGATATACGTATAATTTTGATACAACAGTAACATATACTGACTGCACCTTATAGCATAGTGGGTTTTATTACGAGCTTTGTATTTCGTCTACTTCATAGTGAAATTAATTCTTTAGAATGTAGAAATCACACAATCTTGTCTGATAAAAATATCTAAAGTATGGTTCTTCTGAGCGCTTTTAACAACAATTTACAAATTCTCAAAGCTTTCTCTACAAATAAGCATGAAATGTTTCGGATCTGTGATGTGCTAGCGATTTTCATAGCCACTGGAAGGGTAGTAGCTGAGTACACCAACCACTTTGTATATCTTGAACGCCTCTAAACACACCGGGATTTCTTCTTCTCTTTCTGTAAACTTTAGTCACTTCTGGCTGTTGGTTATTGATATAACTCTATCCATGGTCTAAAATTTATGGGATTAAAACATACTTTTTTTAGTGATTAAACTTGTAACCATTATTTCACTAAAGGGATATTTTTTATTTTTATAATAAATAACGATATATATATATGTACAGTCAATGAAATCGTAGGTTTGTCCTAGTTTTCCGATGTACAGGCAAGATTTATTGGTTATGCATCCATCCCAACTTTTTGACTTATTTCATTTTCTCTAAAAGGAATGTAGCTTGAACTGTGAGACAAAATTTAAACTTTCAACATTTCCTTTATATTGAGACCACCAAAGGGAGATTATCCCTTCAAAAGTCACTTATTACTCATGTTTTGGTACATTTCGTCTAATTTGATACTGACATTGGCAATTCTATGTCTATGTGACAGCATAATATGGCAAGATGAGGATGGTGCACATGTTTCCCATGTTCTTTTTTATAATTGACTAGCACTTTAGTGTCAGGTTTTAAAAATATTATTCTCGTAAGGAATATTATTCCCTACCAGCTCATTGTGCATCACATCTATTCTCATCTAAAAGTTGTGTTGTTCAAATTTCTTTCCAGCAAACGTATTCTTTTTAAAATACGTAACTTAAAGTAATTGTATCTTGTTCTAGATTCATATAGACATCGAATTTTCTCGTCAGGCTGTGATTTCAGTAAGAAATATAATTGCAGGTGCTATAAGCACGTCTTGAAATTTAAAACCATCTGTAAATATGAAGAGAAAGGTAGTTCTTTTCACGATGATGTATCATATTCAGATTTTATTACAGATGCAAATTCTATAGATCAATTTCCTTTGAAAACTAAAAAGCGCCAATATAGATCTGCAATAAAAAGAAATATTACGTCATCAAATTTCAAAAAATCAATTGAAAGAGTCGATTTCATTGATCTCATTCCTGATTTCGAACAGTAAGTATGTTTTCTTTGTGTTTACCGTTTATATATATTATTCAAATGTGAATAAGATGCTTCCAATAGTTGAGACCATGAGTCAATTGAAGCTAGACCACCATTGAAAACCTGGAAGCACTGGATGGCCAACTCGTTTTGTTGTGGGACTCCTCAGCAGTGCGCATCCGCTATCTCGTCTCTCGAGATTCGAACCCAGGACCTATCAGTTTCGCTCACGAGCGCTTAACCATTTGACCACTGAGCTAACCGGCATCCAACGGTGTTATTGTCGAACTTCAACTAATCCACGGAATTGAGCGACACATTCGTCACTGTCGTCAGTGGGTTACTATCTCACAACAGAGCCAGTTGAAATCCACTGGTCACTGCTTCTCACTAGAAATCCATGACTGATATGTCCTGGGTTCGAATCTCGCGAGGCGTTGTCGGCAATGCGAACCGCTAAGAAGTCTTACAATAGGACAAAACGGCCGTCCAGTGCTTCCCGGTTTTCCATTCAATTGACTCATTATCTCAACTACCCATTCTGGTAAATAAAATGATTTTTCAAATTTGAACAAAGAGGAGTTTGAAATGTCCAGTATCAGTTGCACAACGCTTGTCGGTTTTTTGTCTCGTCTTCTACCAAATACTCGAAACGTATCAAGCAACGGATGCTTTCCAGTGATTATTTCTGCATAGATTTTTTTCAGTCCTGCTTTGTTTACCTTGAAAAATGTGATGCTTTTTGAATGATAGGTTGTAATATTTCTAAGATTTAGAGTTAGGTACTGAATTCCTATTTTATTCCTATGTAGTCTGGTACATTATCGATATAATATAAAGTAATAGCGTTATCCTAATGCTATCCTTCCTTTAATTCAAGATTTGATGTGACATGGTCGTGTTTGTACCTCTGCTATACGAATAGAGCTGTTTTTTCCTCTAAATGGTTTAAAATTTGCTCATGCCTGTTTCTAACTTAGAGAAGTAGTCAGCGCTTTACGTCTAATGCTACTTGGAGTGTAGTCTAGTGAGAACGAAGCGTTCAAATCTTAAGATACACATGTTACTAGTAACCTACAACATCGTTCCAGGTTCGGAATGATGTAATCTTATTTAGTAAATTTTCAGTAATTAGGTACCTTTAAGGAGCATTACTTTACTCAGGTAAGTAAAAATTTGAAAGTTATTTCAGTATTCTGGCCACACTTAGTGGTATCTAATGATTTCTGCTTGTAATTCAATTAAAAAGTCTAAAGGTTAAGGGCTTATTGTGAGGTCTGAATGTCCCGAATTCAATCTGTGATAAATTTGTGATTACTCATTTTCAAGGAGTCCCATGCTAGGGCAAAGCAAATGTGCAGTACTTTCAGTGGTTGTCTAACCAAAGTAAGTTTGTGATATGAAAATTTAAAATAAATGTTTGTGTTGTATTCAGTGTAATGACAGTTGCCTACTTTAATAGTGATTATGTCTGTTGTAGAATTGCGGTATGTTTAGGAACTTTTCACTATTTATATTGAACCATGATGTTTTAATAAAAACCCATCGGAATGATTTATTCAATATCTTTTTTTAGTGAAAATGACATATCACCCACTGAACATAATCTTCATCCTTTGGATTGTTCAAAGTCTACATCAATTCCTCATCAACATGTTCTGTCTCCTAAGCATTCGAATTTTTCAAATATAGATGTATTGAGGATTTATTTAACAAAACATATGACTACTGAACTTCCTCAATTCTGCGCATATCCTCATATATTGACTATTCTTTGTAAATATATTAATATGATCCAGTTTATCATACATATGAATAAAGAATATTCAATTCAATACAGTGATATATTAGCAACATTCAATATTAATATTTTAACAGAACTAGAAAATGTCATTATTTCGATTTATGAAAAGTTTATTAGGACTAAGTAAGTAAACTAAGTGATATTTTCTAACCTAGAGTTGTAACGATACAAGTTAACAGTGATTCTTTGTAAAGTTTAGGATGTAAATGTTTTGTGTGTGTGTGGAGCGATGTCCTAGTAGTTAAAGTATTTGTCCTTCAATAGCAGAGTTGCTGGTTCAAACTTGACTAACAGTTTTCTAGCTTTAGTAATCAAGTATTTTAACAAAAGACTGTGTTATCATTAAGTAGCAACCAATTTGATGTTTGGTCATATTATTATTACCAGTATTATTAGTATTAGTATTAGTAGTGATGTTACTATAGAGAAAAAGAACAAAAATTCAAGAGGAATTCAAGACGAATTTAACTTGGAAGACTGTTTATTTGTGTTTCGTAAGAATAAGTAAAGAATATTACAAATATGTATTTAATATGGGAGAACATTCGATAACAATACGATAGTAACAAAATCCTAATGAATCGGATACAAGCGATTGCTCAGTATAAATAAACCCTAATAATAATAATAACTCAGTTAGTTAAGATAAGATTACTGATTTAGAAGAGAGCTAGAAATGGTAAGTAATGATATAATCGATTGAAAACAATAGTAGAACGAAATTATATGATTTAATGAAGACAGAAAAGAACACATTATGTCAGGAAGTAGAATTAGATATAAAAAGGATGAATAACAACTGGAAATAGCTGGAAAGGAGTGCTCATGACAGGGTTGTATGGAGAGTGCTCGTGGGCGGCCTATGCTCCTCCACAAGGAGTAACAGGCGTAAGTAAGTAACTAAGTAAGTAATGAAGAGAGATGTAATGTACTTGGAATGATTTCGTAATTGAATTTTAGTGATTTTTGTCGATCGATTCTTAATAAAGTATTTGATGAGAACAATATTTTATAAAGTTTACCACTTACACAGGTTTGTATTTTAAAAATTTAGTCGAAACAATTATGATGTATATGAGACAAAATAATTTTTCAGATTGAGTACTTTATACACTGTGACACCATTCCATATTAACATCCACAGTTTTATCTTAAAGGTATTTAAATACTCACTTTCCAATCTTTCCAATTACTGCTTATACTTCTACTACCTATACCACTATGGGATTTGAATCGACAATTGTATCTCTATGCTAATGTGGTATGGTATGGGTTAGTGTATGACGAAATCTCATCTAGCATTCGTTTGGCGTTTGCCAACTTACGTCACCTATGGCGGAGGCCAGATATCTGTATATCAATAAAAGGACGAGCATACTGAACGGCAGTTCGTTCTGTTCTACTTTACGGCTGTGAAACATGACCATTAAGGGTAGAGAATACTCGTAAGTTACTAGTATTCGACCACAGATACCTTAGAAATATTGCTCGCATCTGCTGAGATCACCGGGTGAGTAATAGTGAGGTTGGACTCAAGGTATTAGGGAATGATAGAAAATAAGTTGATGAAGTTGTGAAACTTTATCGACTGAGATGGTTGGGCCACGTGTTACGTATGCCTGAACACCGATTACCACGACGTGCAATGATAATCGGTGTTGGAGATGGTTGAAATAAAGTTAGGGGCGGCTAAACCAAAACGTGACATCAGTGCTTGAAGTCATCAACTTCTAGTCTGAGCCATGTTGGTAGATGCAGACGATTTGGTTGGGGTCCGCGTGACTATCTTAACCAATGGTTGGATGCTCTTGGTGACATGGCTTAGAGTCGGTCACAATGGCGTCGGTGTATACACTCTCTATCTTTCCTTAAACTAAGAGATTAAAATCGTTTCATATATTTTTGCGAAGTAAATTTTTCTTGTTGTACTATATCCTTATATGTAATCTTTCTTTTATACATTACTATCATTGGAGTAACTACTATGCATTCGTTGTTCATCTTGTTGTGTTAATGAAGTATGGCACCTTGGACTGATGCATATATTTGCCTGGTCCTACCTTATACCTAACTGACTTTCCTCTATTAACACAATTAGATCATTATGCATTGGTTATCTTTTATAAACGTTTAATTCTATTTATTTTCAAATTGTTTCATTACAAAATATCTAATATCAATAAAATTCTTCTTTTTTTATTGATTGTTCTTTTTTTTTTCTTTTCAGAGATAATTCCCTCTTAGTAACTGTGGTAATAATTTGTGAAAATTTATCGATTATCTATGATTGTATAGAATATTGTAAACATTTAAATTTCCCTCTCATTATCAATAATAATAATCATAATAATTTATTATTAGATTTGAATAAATGTTTAATTCAATGGTTTATTTCCATAGATTCTATTCAATATTTTCCTTTTAAAATAACCATAATTGATACACTTGCATATCTTATTCATATCAATCCTCAATATTTCTATATTGACAATCAATGGCATTATGAAATGAATAAATTTTTAATGAATTTATCATTTATAAATGGATTATACATGAATGATTATTCATCTAATGTAAATGATTGTAATTGTACTATGGATACACAATATGGTGATGATAATAATAATAATGATTATTATTATTATTATTGTTATATGAGTTTATTTCATCAACTTCATCATTTAGATAAACAATTATTACATCATAATAAACAAATAAACAATGATCTAATTGTAAATAATGAATTTCCTTATTTTATTGTTTTATTAGATTGTTTTATATCACAAACAAACATTACTACATTACTTATTAATAATGATATTACTACTACTACTACTACTACTACTACTACTACTACTACTATTAATAATAATCTACCAATTATTTATTGTTTATTATTAAAATTTATGTATATACATATCACATCAATTTCTTCTATATATTTATTAAATGATCAATATGTTCAATGGATATTTGATCTCTTGTTTAAATTATATTACATAATATCACCATTCATTTCGAATCATTTCAGTACTCATACTCCTCCTCCTCCTCCTCCTCTTCCTACTGCTACTACCAATAGTAGTAATAATAATACTAATAATACTAATAGTAATACCAATAATACTAATAGCAATAATACTAATAGTAATAATAATTATTATTATTATTATGATATCGTTTATTCATTTTTAATAAATCTAATTAAAAATGAAAAATTGAATTTATTAAAACAAATTTTCTATCAATTTATGAAGAATTCAAAATTCTCTAAATTAAAAATAAAATTTTTCTCTCAATTATTGAATCAATTACAATTACAATTACAATTAAATCTATTATATTATAATAATAATAGTAATAATAATAATAATGAGAATAATAGTAGTACTATTATTACTTTAATGGATTACATAATAAATGATGTAATGATTCCAATGAAAGAAATCAATTCAATGGATTTCAATGAAAATCATTTTCTATTAGAATGCTTTATGAATTTAATGAGAATGAGAATTCAATCCATTCATTATATTATAAATGATTCAATCATTAATATAAATAATTGGAAAGTATACAATGATTTCATGGATAATCTATTGAATATAAATGATGTGAATCATTCATATTACTTGTTAAGGTAAATGATTTGTTCATTATATAAATATCCTATATCAGCAGCAACCTATGCCAGGGAAGACCTACTCATTGCCTTCTCGTAGCGGGGGGTGATGTTTACGAAATTGAGAGGACGAAAAGCGAATGTCCGGCGCTTTAGCTGGATTCCAAACCAATGGTGCACATGGGCTCCAGTATCGTGCGGGAACAAATGGCATGTGAACAAATTGTTAGTCACCAGCTACCATGGGACTGCGTCTCCTTACGATGCTCCACTGTCTTGTGGATCAGACCTTCAGGTCGAAGACTCCGAGTGTGGCCCCCCAAGAAAACCATCTGCTTTAATTTGGGCATCTGGGCAGTATCACAACCCTCACACATATCGAATGAGATTTGTGTGGCGCATATGCATTTCAGCCTTGAGTGCTGTTAGAGGTATCAGGGCGGTTATCACTTCCCGGTTGCCCACACCGTGGAAGGGTTCTTCTGGAGGTACCTGAAAAGGAAATCCGATTAGAAGTGGTCTTAGTGACCTGAGAGCGTGACCGTAGTGCCCAAGGGACAACTGCTTGAGGTCGGTCACACACGACCTTTTTATGGGTAGTTTTTGTGTTAGCTCCGTACTTGTTGAGACCTTACCGTCGGAGACAGATATCCGTGGGATAAGGCGAGGTGTGCATTTTTATGGTCGACCTTTTCTAACCCCACCCCTCCTTGTGGAAAGGCAGCGTCGCCACTATGCTGGTTGTCTGAAGGAAACACCTTACTGCAGTCACACCTGTGTACAGTGAGCAGTACGACTTCGCCTTCGGACCTTGGGTTTGTTGCTTTTAGTCTTACCGCTCTTCAACCGACCTGTCTGACATGGTAGGACCTTGAGGAACGGTTGTTCCAGCCAGTATAGCTCGGTTGCTTCATCACGATAGGCAAGCCCGACCACCACGTCAAGCTAGCAACAACGGTCGAGAAATATGTATTTGGTGCCTCCTTGTACCAATATCTATGTGTTAAAATAAATAAATAATATTCTTTATGGTTTAGTATTAAATTCACTTGGTATTGTTGTTTTACTTGTATCTTCCTATTGTTGAGTAGTCTCTTATTGGTATATGTGTATCCTGTGTGGATTGCTTCGATATTAGCCATAAATCATAAGCTTTTTTAAGCAAAGATGGGGATAGTGGCTAGCAATCAAATCCAGGACGTGCGTTTCGTCCTATTTGGATCTTGTCAGCTGGATATACATGAATCTCAGAGTTTTGATATTCACTCTGGGATTCAAACTCAGTACCGTTCGCGTTATCCACTTAGCTACTAAGTCCTGATAGTCACTTGTTTGTACAATGGGGTAAAGTTTAAATTCACTTGATATTGTTTTACTTGTATCTTCCTATTGTTATTCAGGACTACAATTGATCAGTCTCTTGTTGTTATATATGCATCCTATGCGGATTACCTCAATATAGCCTTAAGTTACAAGCTTTTTCAGCAAATTTCTTTTCTTTTTTATCAGTTAGCAATAAAACTTGAAATTTTTATATAAAAAAGAGTATATCACATTGTCTAATCGAGAATGGCTTATTTTAAACAGGTATATCTATTGTTAATGTCTAAGAGTAATGAATCCATGGAAAATCAGTTCCTTTATGAATGTTCTGATAATTACTAAACTTAATGAATAATTTGAACAAAGTATGTGACATCAAAATATTCAAATAATTCAATTTTAATGAATTTACTAATTGAAATAGAATTTATTATCAGATTGAGTGGTTTTGTGGAGATTTTAGTAATTTTATAGTGGGGTTCATGAGTTAATTAATGCTAGACCGTCATGGAAAACCTGGAAGTACTGGATGGCGGCGCAATTTCGTGGATTGGTTGAAGTTAGATATTGATATCGTTGGATGATGGCTCAGTAGTCTAGAGGTTAAGCGTTCGTCGGTGAGACAGACAGGCATTGGGTTCGAATCCTGCGAGTAGGATCGTGGATACCCACTGCTAAGGAGGAGTCCCAAACTAGGACGGAACGGTCGTCCAGTACTTTTAGGTTTTTCATGGTGGTCTAGCATTAACTGACTCATGAACTTAACTATAGAATTTATTACCGAAGGCGAAACCATAGATTTACTCAATATATAAATATCTATAGGTGATTGAATTTGTTATTATTATACAAAATAGTACCAGTTATAAATAACTTTCCGTATAAAAAGTGAACAATCAAGAGTAGAAATGAATGTTACTTAACTTGTAATTTGTTTGAGTATTCAAATTACTTTCGCATAGTCAATTAGTAATTTAACATATTACGTGGAATATAGAGTGGTGCGTTTTTTACTATTCACATAGTGCTGATGACAAAATTTTACTGTAACGAATGAGTGGCGACACTATAATTTATGAACGAACCAATCAGATTTCGGGTAGTAGGTTTTGGATTTCAGCGTTTTAGCATTTTAGCTTATGTCAGTTCGTAATGAAAATCCTAAATCTATTTTCTAACCCTAAACATCAACTGCAAATCATAATTCTAATTCTACACACTGTTTTACAACTCTTATATAGTCGTTGTTAGTAGGTGGATGTTATCGACGTCCCTTTGGCGTCGTTCAAACGTCGCCCATAAATTATAGTCTCACCCACTTAGCTTAGTGTTATCCTATTACTTGTCCGATGAACTTTTAATTTGCACTATGGTTTGATTACCATTCGTCTATATTTATTCAAGCATAATTTCTTCCCATTGGATTGTTTATTAGTGATTATTCGAATAATTTAATGAGGATAATTGACTTTCTGGTTTATAATCATTTATTAAGGTAGGTAGGTGGTGATGAAAACACTGATGATCTTAATAATCTTTATGTATTCAGTTAGGGAAAATATTTATATTAACTTGACCACATAGTAACAAATGAGATATTGCATTAAGGTCATACTGTGGATTTGCATTGTATAATCACCTAGTAGTTATCAATATCGTATTTGTCTAATCTTTAGATCTGGTCAAATCCTATCAATCAAGTTGACATGTAACTTCTGGTCTGAGTTTGATTAAGTAGTTAGATGTAATCGACGGGAAACATTGGATTTGTTACATACTAGTTGGCACTCGTGATGAATGTGTATTTGCAGTCTTTAGAGAATCGGTATTCCTTCTTCAAATAGTTAAAACGGAAACTTGGTTAGTTGTTGTCTTAACGACCCAAAAGTGTGATTACAGAGCTCAACTTTTATGCTTGACAATATTTTATAACTTTAGCATTACCTAAGCTAATAGAGTTTACTTGTATTCCAATTCTTTAGTGATAAATAAAGAAATTTTGTTGACTGTTCAGCTTTCTTATTATTGTTATTCTTATTCTTATTATAGATGTTTAGTTAATAATATTTTAACTGTCCAGTTGAATCGTCCTTCAACAGTCTCCAGTGGTCACATTCAATTATCGTCAATACAAGAATACGAACTATTACAAAGTCGTTTGATGTATTCCACAGCTGGCTTATTTTTTGATATTTTAAATGAATCAGAAAAGTTACTACACACATCGAATTCAAAGGTAAAACGTTTGTTATAATTTCGTGTATATCCATGTGTTATCAACATCAATTTCGTCATTATCTTTAAATTTTGAAGATTGAATTGATTGTATTATACTTTTTGTTATGTAAGTTGTTACAATAAAACAGAGTTACCTCAACTGCTTGGATATTTTTAATAGCTTTCATAGTAATAACAGTTTGAATCGAGAACTGACATTAGCCAGACCACTGCCTCTTTATACCCAAATGTACTGATAATAATCATCTACACACTATTGACCAGCTTCAAGATGCAATCCCTGTAATTCTAATGAGAAGCGGTGAACAGAGGAGTGCAAACATGTTGAGTGTGAGACAGTTATCCACCGCAAATAATGGAAGATAGTAGTAGAACATCAAATGTTGGCTATAATTAGATATGCACTTCATTGGATATCAACTCTGTGGTCTAACTATTGTTCATTCGTGCTCGAGACCAAAGTTTTTGGTTCAAACCCTCTGTAGTAGAGCCGTAGATAAGCACTGCTAATGAGTCCCATAATAGGATGAGACGCTCGTATAATGCTTCTAGGTTTTCAGTGACGACCCCCAAATGCCTTGGTACGGTCGAGGGTGGGGAGTGTCAGCTATTCCTTTCCAAATGCTGTCACATGACCACGTGCATACAACCACTGACGGGGAAGTTTTACTCACTGCCTTTTCTTGGCATTACTATTGTTTACGAAATTGTGAAGATAAACAGAGAATATCCGGTGCTCTAACCGGGTTGGTGGACATGGAGAGTCCACCTAGGGGAGACGGGGAATCCTGATTTGAAACCAACGGTGCACATGGGTTCCCGTATCCTGAGGGAACAAATGGGGTATGAACCAATCGTTGGTCACTGTCTACCATGCGACTGCATCTCCCAACGTTGATCCACTGCCTTGTTGATCAGATCTTTAGATCGAAGGCTTCGGGTGTGGCCCCCTAAAAAACCACCCGCTTAGGTCTGTGCACCCGTACAGCAACACAGCCCACACACAAATCAAGTGACTTGTGTGGCGCATATGCATTCGGTTCCCCATTGTACCCCTATTTATATGTTCAAATAAATAAAAATAAAATAAATTTCAATGACGGTCTAGCTATGATCAGTTCGTTATTTTAACTATGGAAACTATCATTTCCACGAATAAAGCTTATGCTTATGACATTAATAGTGAACACGGAGGATTCACCTAGGGAAGTTGGAAAACCCTGATTCGAAACCAATGGTGCACATGAGTTCCAGTATCCTAAAGGAACAAATGGCGTATGAACCAATTGTTGGTCACCGGCTTCCATGTGACTGCATCTCCTTACATTACTCCACTGTCTTGTGGATTAGACCTTTAGGTCGAAGGCTCCAGGTATGGCCCACCTAAAAAAAACCACCTGCTTTGATTTGGGCACCTGATCAGTATCCCTGCACCTATCTATTTGCTATCTGTTTGTACGAATGTTTATGTATTTAAATAACAGATGGTTTTTGTGGATATTATATCAATTTCAGTGGTTAAGATCATGAGTCAGTTGAAGCTAGACCACTATGGAAAACTTGGTAGCACTAGAGGGTTGTTTCGTCTTATTGTGGGACTCCTCAGCAGTGTGCATCCACGACCTCGCCCCCTGCGAGATTCGAACCCAGGACCTACCGCGCACTGCTGAGAAGTCTCAAAATAGTACGAAACGGCCGTCCAGTTCTTCCAAGTTTTCCATGGTGGTCTAGCTTCAACTGACTCATGATCTTAACCATTGAAATTATTTATATAAGTAAATAAATAATAATACATCTTTTCTCCTTCTATTTTCATAGACTATTGAAGAAATCATATCAATTTGGCAATTATTAGCTTATCTTATATTAATCTCTCATTCAAATTGGTCAAATCCACCAATGTTAATTAATTTAAATCAGAATTTATTTCATCATTCAATAATCAATGTTCAGAATTCAAATAAACATTCGAAAAAATCTTTTACTGAACTTGGTATTTCATTTATAAGTAAAGTTATACAAGTAAAGTTTTATATAGATGAAAACTACAAGGATCCAATTACTGATGTAGTTGATTTGCGAAATGTCAATCAATTAAATTCTTTAATTTTACCGCCAATGATTGTTTTACTTGAAATGATACCAAATATAGCGGTATGTTATTTGAATATTGTACAATAATTTTCTTTCTTTACTAGTTCTTTATTTATCATTCATTGCTATTGGAATTTTTATTCAATATTCAAAGTGAATGAACACTGTTAAGGAGTCCCATACTAGGACGATACGACCGTTCAGTGCTTCTAGGTTTTTTAATGGTGGGCTAGATTCAATTGATTCATGTTCTAAACTATTGAAATTACTAATAATATCCATAAAACCCTTACCAATATTCAATTGTTTTGTTAACATTAACAATGTTCACTGGTTCACAAAACATCTATATTCTGAAAGTGGCATCTTAGTATTTAAAGTATTCAGTTGGTTACGTATTTGAATCCTGTTTTATTTTCTAAAGTTTAGCTAAATGGGTAGTTTCATAAATCCCTATACAAGCAGCCTAATTCAAATTTTAATGTACAAATTGATATTCAATAAATGAGTTCCATTATATTGATTGAATATCTTGTCAGTCAGCTACAACGTAGGACCAGGGACATATATGCATCGGTCCAAATCGCCATACTTCATTAGCACAACAAGATGAACACCGAATTCATAGAAGTAGTTAATTCAATGGTGGTAATGTATAAAAGAAAGAAAGATATAAAGTACTTTTAATATCGGATTTTAAGGAAAGATAGAGAGTGTATACACCTACACCATTGTGATCGATTCTGAGCCATGTCATTCAGTCTCCAACCATTCGTTACCATAGTGACGCTGACCCCAATCAAGTAGTTTGCATCCACCAACATGGCTAAGACTAGAAGTTAGCGACTTTGTGGAATAATGCCACGTTTTGGTTTGGCGGCTACTAACTTTCTTCCAACCATCTAAGTGACATTAAATCTGTAGTCATATAATAGAATGTATAAGATTATCATTTCATTGAGTTCGGTTGTAATAATTTATGTTTTGAAAATCCTTACCGAGTACACTTTAGTTCACAAGGATGGTCGAGTCGATACAAAAAAGACTGTAATATGAAAGAAAATATGAGATAACATCATTTGAGAAAACATGATTTATAGATTGTTTTGTTTGCCAATTCGTCATAAGGGTTATAATAGTATGAAGCATAGTATTTCGTAACCATAGGTAGTAACGTTATAGAGCATAGGACTACTTGGTTGGGATCCGCGAGATGATAGCAACCGATGGTTAGAGACCTTGAATTACATGGCTTAAAGTCGTTTGCAATGGAGCGGGTGCATGCACTCTTTGTGTTCTCCCAAATCCTAACCTTCTGAATTCTTCATGTCCCTTATTTTTTATTTTTTCAAATTTGTTTAACTGGATTACAGTCCTTGAATAACATCTTCAAACCCTATTGTTTCTGATTACTGCTTATACTTTTACTACCTCTACCGCGATGGGATTTGTATCGACAACGGCATCTCTGTGTTAATGTGGTGTGGCAACTCGAACTGATGTACGTACGTACGAAGTTCTACGTTGTTACTGACTGACTGACTATTATTGAAACATACACCATAATAGGCGTCACCTTTGCAAGTACATTGTTTTCTTGTTTAAGCCATATAACGAGAGCGTAAGTGCACTGTAAGAATGATATAGTTACTATGTAATGAGCGTTTTGGAATGATAAATTGTACATACAACGCAATAGTTGAAAAACAGCATTTGCTTAATGAGATAACTAAGATATAATGCTTTCAATGGTATGGTGTAATGAATGAAGATTCTAGTTTCGTTGCTTGGTTCTTACAATCATCTATAACTGAAAAGAAAAAAGGTCCCCAAAACATGGAAAAGACAATAAAAATTATTATGATAGGCCTATCAAACTATATTCACTTAATAGTTTCCTGATTTAAATCAAGTATTTTATATACATCTTTACATTAATTATGTAAATGATACAATCTAACTAAAGTTTGGCGTGAGTGATAAATCTTCTAGTTGAACGCTTAGTTCGGTTTCGTAAGCTCTTCTAGTAACCCTCAGGTTAAGCCCACACGGTAACTTAAACATGAGAGAAAAGGCGCAAAATAGAGAAATATTACTTTACTCCAAGGTTCGTTTTTTTACAGGAAATCAAGGGTAATTATAACGGTTTAGTAGATAACCCTAGGTTTCTGGAAAGTTCTGGAACGCTACTAAGCATAGTAGTAGGATAGGTACTCATCCAATTAGAAATGTACCATTTGACTTTTCGCTTCCTAGATGTTTCTGGTAAACTACTATTGAATTACTTAATTTACTTACTGAATTACTCCTGTTACCCCCAATAGAGCATACACCACTGACCAGTATTCTCCAACCCACTCTGTCTTGGGCCTTCCTTTCTAGTTCTATTCAATTCTTTTTCATTCTCCTCATGTCTTTCTCCATTTCTCGGTGTATTGTTTTTGGTCTTCCTCTTTACCTTTGGCCTTTAAAATTACATGTGGGGTTTGTTTTGTGACTCAGTTAGGTGCTTTCTTCAATTTGTGTCCTATCGACTTCCAGCACTTCCTGATTTCTTTCTCCACTGGTATCTGGTTTGTTCTCTCCCACAGTAGGTTGTTGCTGATAGTTTCTGGCTGACGGGTCCGAAGTATTTTGCATAGACAACTATTAATAAACACTTGTATTATCTGGATGATGGCTTTCGTAGTTCTTCTGGTTTCCACCCCATATAGTAGAACTGTGTTGACATTTGTATTGAAAATTCTGAGTTTGGTGTTGTTTGACAGACAGTTGTTTTGAGTTCCAGATGTTTTTCAGTTGTAAATATGCTGCTCTTTCTTTGCCTTCACATCTGCATCAGATCCACTGTGTTCATCAATGATCCTGCCCCAATATGTAAAACTTCTATTGAATGCTGATTAAATAAGATGTTCCTCACTGTTTAAAGGGCCCCTTTTTGACTTTTTTTTTCTTAAGGAATTTTCTGGGTCTCATTAATAAAATCACATAACTGTTAGCGGATAGAATATTAGCTTGAGTGACAGTTAATAATATACACTTGATATTATGATAATAAAAAGAAATAGTATATTCTTGATTTCTACAATGAATATAAATTTTACATACAGACACGATTTATGTTTCTTTTCATAGTAATAATTAAGTTTTGATAGTTGCCTACTATTTTCTCCCTCCCTCCCTCCCTCCCTCTCTTTCTTTTTTTTACATTTCAGCCATTATTGAATAATGGTGATTCATATAGTGATAATCATAATAAGTATAACAATTCAATCGATCAGTTATTCACTATACTAGAAGATGCTTTTACACAAGTGCAATTTATTAGAACATATGGTTTTAATAATTTTTATGAGTTCCTTGTACATTTTATTCAGTATACCTTTCATGAAAATTCTTTTATAAACAACAATACTACTATTACTACTACTGCTACCAATAATGATAAGATAACATTATCTAATAAAATGTTCGACGAACGATCCCGATCTTCTTCATCATTAACTTCTGAGGAATCGATAAATAAAACATCAAATACTTGTACGGATAATCAATATTTTGGTAAGTCACCTGTTAATACTAATCGATTTCTATTAATTGGCGTGTAACGTGGCCACTAGTTCAAGGAACTCGATACTGCATGGACTATACTAAAATTTTAGGTGGTTGAATCTAATCGATAGAAATTCGTAGACCTAGGTTGGTTGCTATGTGATACACGTGGGCAAGCTGTACTCATAATCTTGAGGGAATTAGTACTCCCTGAAGGATTCAATCTCATGTCTCTCAGCTTTTTAGTCTGAAGTGTTACCATTGAGATACTCAAGAAGCAGGCCTCCTATCGACTAGCTTCAACTAATTAATAGATTTATGTTGGTGTTGTTGACTTCCCTGAGTTATATCATTCAGTTGGAGAGTTTTATTGTAGTTCAGGACATACACATTAGCGCTTACTTCACTTAGAAGTGAGTTTTTTTTAGTTATTCCTTGAGCCTTATACCAATTTATTATCGTGGGCATGTTTACGTAGCTATTTTTATCTTCATTTATCCTAATATTCAAGTTTGATCGACCCCAAACTATGTGGTTAAATAACCTCTTTTTCATGAGTTGATAAATCGAATATATGAGTACACGTTTATGCATATTATGTTATTGAGCGAAAATTTTTATTCTGAAGAGTGAGTAGAGCAATGGTTTCGTAGTTAATGAACTTTCCTTTAGCTATTAAATCACCGATTTGGATTCCTTTCTACATATTTGGCTTGGGGTACTCTAGTAGTAGCGTTAGCTCTCATAGGATGTGATTGATTCGAAGTCGAGTACGTAAATAAGTATTTTGTGAATTTTTTTTGTTTGTTTTGATAGTATCTAGTTGCTTAGAACGAAGTTATTAGAATGACAAAGGAACTGCTGGAAAATCAAAAGGTTGCATAGAAAAAACCGAAAGTATTAAGCAATAAATGAGACTGTTAATATGAGAATACAATCAAGATTAATTCCATTTAGTTAAGTGATGGATCTTATTCTATTGAAAAGTAATATAACAGAAAATTCTAGAACAATCACTCTTGACCTTTGTTCTGAGCCATACTTGAGTTGCTCAATCTTCAGGACAGCAACCAAAAATGTATCATGGACAAACAGATGCTAATCTAACGAAATTATTTTTCCCTCCTTGTTGCATTATCGTAACGTGACCACTCTATTGGTATTTTACCTGATCATGGTGTCGTAAAGTAGTATGTTTTTCGGAAGCCGCCATTTTTTTACACTTGTAAAAAAAGCCCTTAAATGCCCTGGTATGCCTGAGAGTGGGGAGAGTCATCTCTCCCTCTCCAAATGCTTTCACATGGCCACGTGCATAAAATCACTACCAGCGAAGTTCTACTCACTGCCTTGTCATGGATGGTGGTGTTGTTTACGAAATTGAGAGGATGAAAAGTGAATGTCCGTCACTAGTTGGTGAACACGGAGGGTTCATGTTATGGATGCAGAATAATATGCCAATCATTGTCATGTTAAGTCTATGGTGGCCTTGGACTTTAAATGTACATTCCCTATTGGCTATTATTTAATTCATTCGTTACATATTGTGTAAATGTTGTTTTCTATTTTATGGTACGATGTGGTTTGTTTGGTTAGTATATAAATAGAGTATGTCTGAAATACAATGATTCATATCTCAGAGGCTGTGACTTGTGTTCTAGACTCAACTGGCTGGGATAGACAGCGGAGCAGGGCCAATCAGGGCACTAGGTCGTCCATACGTGTTTTCCGTGTTACTGTGATCGATCGATATAAACGCTGCTTACCAAACCCTGAAGGCTCACATGTTACAACAGTTCACCTAGAAGAGATAGGAAACCCTGATTCCAATCCAATGGTATACACAAGTTCCAGTATCCTGAGTGAACAAATGGCGTATTAACCAATCGTTGGTCACCGTCTTCCATGGGACCTCATCTCCTCACGATGCTCCACTACCTTGTGGGTCAGACCTTTGGGTCAAAGGCCCCGGGTATGGCTCCCTAAGGAAACCTCATGCTTCGGTTTTGGGCACCCAGGCAGTATCCCAGCCCTCATATAAATTCACTGATTTATGTTTGCATCTATGTATTTGGTGCCTTATTGTACCAATGTTTATGTGTTTGAATAAATACACGAAAAAAACAACCACGAATTCTGCATTTTGATATGGTAGTACCAAGAGGATTATCACCTCTCTTGTGTCCAACTACAGTCCTACATATCTCAGTATTACTTAGAAGGCTCTGCTACCGACTATACTGAATGGTTTGTGGGCATGGATAACCCAAATAATATTTCTCCACAGTCAAAATTTTTTCTGAGAAACTGCTTTTACTAGTGTAAAATACGACTGTTTTTAACGATTCACTATCCATACAGTCTTTTACGGGTTGCTAAAATCAACGATGAGTGAGTGTAGGTAAAGTCTCCTAACTGCCTTGCAAAAGTTCAGAATAGCTGGTTGATTCGAAGTATATCCCCCGCTTATGGATACTGTTACCTAATTAAATAAATGTAATTTCTTAGGTATATATACCACTTCATAGTTAAACAATCTAGGTCTCAAAGTTATTTCTGAAAATCACACATCAACACTAGTTCTATTAGGAAAATTCCAATGAAACCATTCAAATTATACTTTTGTTAACTACATCAGTCAGTCAGCTACAACGTGGAACCAAGCACATACATGCATCGTTCAAAGTTGCCATACTTCATTAGCACAACAACATGAACACCAAATTCATAGAAGTAGTTAATTCAATGGTGGTAATATATAAAAGAAAGATTGCATATAAGGATATAGTACAGGAAGAAGGGATTAGTTCGTAGAAAGAAAGATATGGAGCGATTTTAACCTCATAGTTTAAGTGAAGATAGAGAGTGTATACACCTATACCATTGTGATCGATTCTAAGCCATGCCACCAAGAGTCTCCAGCCATTGGTTACGATAGTCACGCGGACCCCAACCAAGCAGACTGCATCTACCAACATGGCTCAGACTAAAAGTTAGTGACTTTGAGGAGTGATGCCACGTTTTGGTTTGGCGGCCCCTAACTTTCTTCCAACTATCCCCAACACTAGTCAGCTTTGAGCGTCGTAGTAATCTGTGTTCAGGCATACGTAACACGTAGCCCATTCATCTCGGTCGATAAAGATTCACTACTTCATCAACTTATTTTCTATCATTCCCTAATACTCTGCTTCTAAGCTCACTATTACCTACCCGGTGATCCCAACTGATGTGAATTTAAAGTCTTTGTCTTGTTCTCTCTCCCTCTCTCTATATATATACCCTATATAATCAGTTATCTTCTAGTTCAATACTTTCTATTACTTTATCTTTACCAGTATATCATTCTTCTTTTCATCTAGAAAATTCCCTTTTTTGTCTTTATTGAGAATAGATCAATCAAATGATAGAAACCAAAAGGATACAATATACAAGTATAATCCACAATCAGTACGACTATTAGTGTTTTCAACAAGATTATTTATTCGATTAACATTACATAATCTATCATTATTCAATTGTTGTCTACATACTAAATTATCATTATCTATTATGAATAATGTAAATGTTTCAATGAAATGTGAAAATCAATTATGGTCAAATTGTCTATCAATTATTATTGCTCATTATTTTAGTATATTTAAATCAGATATACATGGACCACATTCAATGGAGGATAAATATTTACAAGTAAGTACTGTTAGATCTATTAGGGTGCTTGGTACTTGTGTGATTTCGCCACAGGATTGAGCTGTATTATTCAGATCGTAACGTTAAAGTCTACATAATGTCTGGTTCTCTTGTGAAGTGGGATTGAAATGTACTGCTCGGGTTATAAAGTTTCAGTCTTGTTCTCTTGGCTATAAATTGTAAGCATGGGCAGTGTCTGGCTCTCTTATTAAACGGGATTGAGCTGTATTGTTTGGTTTGTTACGTGAAAGTTAGGGTGGTGTCTGGTTCTCCTGAAAACCGATTTCAAATTACAAGGGTATATTGTATAACTGTGAACTGTTAGATCCTGAATACATATATTTGTTTTTCTCATTGATCTCATAATCTCTAAGTGATGTCATCTTTTTTTTCAGGATTTTTTAAAATGAGAATATAGAAACCGTACTGTTGTTTCGAGTTGTATAATATTGTCTTCTACGGTACTAATGAACTGTGGAAATATGTTATATAAATCAAATTACACCGATAACACAGGAATCGACAAAAGGTATAATAGTAGCTAACCTTAGTACGTCATATTTCAAAGTACCTCAAGAATATCGTAAGATATCACCTAGCCTGTGAATTTAACACTTTAAATACATTTTTCGATGGCTTAAGTTATGGTGAAAAGTGGTTTATATGGTTCGTGCTGACTTACTCAACAACATTTTGAACCAGTTCATTTTTGTATCATATGTTTGAATCTTCCCATTTGATGTTTAGGACTGCAATTGTACAGTCTCTTATTAACGCATATGCGCATCAGGTGTGAATTGCTTAGATATTGATTTCAGTCAAAAGCATTATAAGCAAAGATGGATAGTGGCTAGCAGTGGAATCTAGGACGCGTGTTAGCTATATGTACCTGTAACCTAGATTTAATGTTTACTCTGGGCCTCGAACCCAGTATCGTTCACTTCAAACGCCATCGCGTTATCCACCTAGCTACTATGAATGAATTGTCTAATTGTATTGGCCGAAAACTTAGATACAGCAAACCAATTATTCATTGTAGGTTAAAGCACGAAATGTTTTTGGCAAATATAAGAATACATCATTTACATACTCTCCTTGAGTTGTCCATCATTATTCCAATTCTATTGTTATTCTGTTTTCCTTCCTCTCCTTTTTATTTGAATCTTTTACCGGTATTCATTTCACCTCCAATTCCTTCTATATACTAATTATATCGTTCCTCGTAAGTAGCGAACATCACACAATAAGGTTATTTTGACTATATAGTAGCAGCATGATTTAAAATCTGTGATGAGACTATAATTTATGGACGACCTTTGAGCGACGCTAGACTGACCTTGAGAGTATCCAATTAATAACTAGGACTAAATAAGGATTATGAACCTGTGTGAGGAATAATAATTATAATTTACAGTTGATGATTTTGCTTTGGAATTAGATTTCGGGTTTTCATCACGAACTGACAACAGCTATAATGCCAAAAGTCTATTTACCCAAATGGATGAATGAATTTCGCGCCAAAATCCGAGACCTATTGTTCTATACGTGATTAGTTCGTCCATAAATTATAGTCTCAGCAAATCTGTAGTGATTACATTTCTATGAATGACATAAAATGTTGATTTCTACTTAAACTAATTTCTAGTTAGTTGGAGACTCTGGGTGACATACCTCAGAATCGATAACAATGGTGTCGGTGTATACACTGTCTTCCCTTAAACTATGATATTAAAATCGTTTCATATCTTTCTTTCTACGAACTAATCCCTTCTTCCTGTACTATATCCTTATATGCAATCTTTCTTTTATATATTACCACCATTGAATTAACTACTATGAATTCGTTGTTCATGTTGTTGTGCTGATGCGGTATGGCATATTGGACTGATGCATATATATACCTGATCCTACGTTGTAGCTGACTGATTAATTGAACTAATTTCTATCACTAATATAAAATAGTTCGTTTGTTTTTATATCTTTTTAGATTAATATAAATCATTTAACCGAGGAGATTTTAAAATTAATGACTAATTTATCAAAGTGTTCAAGTAAGTTAACTTCTTATGTAACATTTACATGTAACTCAATTAAATGACATTAGGTTTCTAATAAAAATGTTCATCTTTTATTGTAATTAGAAGTAACTATTTTTGTAACTTGTGTCCGCCGATCAGAGAGCAGTGACTTATCGATCGAAACAATGACGCGTAAACCCGAATGAGTAGCATAGAGTTCTGATTGGTCCTGCTTTCCGCCTAGCCCAGTCAGTTAAGTCCAGAACACAAGTCTCAGCCTCTGCAACATGTATCATGTATTTCAAACATAGTCTGTTTATATACCAATCAAACAGACCACATTGTACCATAAATAGAAAATAACATTTGTACAATATTTGGCCAACAGGAAAATGACACGCGAAATGAATATTGACTATTAGGGAAACGATACGTGAAATAAAAATTGACCAATAGAAAAATGATGCCATTTCAAGTCCAAGGATAGCATTAAACTTAACAGGATAACTTTTGGGATATTGTTCTGAATATCCCAACACTATTGAAAATGATATGACTTTTCAATATCTTCAGCTCTTTCTGAACTTCTCAGAGCTTCCTTGAGTTCATCCATGAGCCGTCCTCACAGATAATGAATTACATTTATGATGAAAGATGACATTTTGTTTTTAGAAAGACTATATATCTCATTTGATAATATTGTACCTTGATAATTTACCAATTACGTGACACGTATTTCAATCACCAATGTTTTTGGGTTCAAAATGTATTTCAACTAATTCGATTGTAGGCAACAGGATAGTATTACTAACCTTTACATAAATAGTTTTAGTTAGGGCCCCCAAATGCCCTGGTAAGGCCGAGAGTTTTGGGAGTTAGCTCTCTCTCTGCAAATGCCCTCACATGTCCACATGCATACAACCACTGACAGGGATGTGCTACTCACTGCCTTCTCGAGGAATTACTGTTGTTTAGGAAATTGAGAGGACGAAAAGAGAATGTCCGGCGCTCTAACCGGCTTAGTGGACACGGAGAGTTCACCTAGGAGAGTTAAAAAATCTGATTCAAAACCAGTGGTTTACATGGGCTCTAGTATCCTGGATGAACAAATGGCGTATGAACCAATCGTTAGTCACCGGCTATCATGTGACTGCATCTCCTTACGTTGCTCCACTGTCTTGTGGATGAAATATTTAGGTCAAAGGCTCTGGGTGTGACCCCCTAAGCCAACCACCTTCGGTTTGGGCACCCGCATAGTATCCCAGCCCTCATGCAAATCGGATGATTTATGTTTGCGTCTATCTGTTTGGTTCCTCTTTGTGTCAATGTTCATGTGTTTATATAAATAAATGTGAAATATCACTGACGAATTTGCAGGAAATTTATCATTTTACATAATTCTCTTACTCGTTATGATCCAAAATGAAATACATTCATTGTGTTTTATTCGTATAATAGTGTTTAGCAGTTCATGAATATCCTGGATGTTTGTCCCATGTTGTCATAAATTTGATTCTCAGTTTATGTTCGTGTATTCCGTAAACAAACTATGTATTTAATAGTACTATGAGTTTGAGTGTATAGATATGCCTTTTTGTAAATATTTTTGAGCTTTGACTGGTTTACAATTTTATTAATATCACGAATCAACTCTGTTAGATATCCATTGAAAATCAGGGAGCATTGAACTTCTGTTTTGCATTAGTGTGAGAATTCTTGGCAGCGCGCATCCATGCCACACTTCAGATCGAGCTGTTAACATTCAGGTTTCTCAAAATGCGTTTAACCTCTAGTATGTTGAGTCAGAGTTCAGTGGTGTACATGTCTGGTTTCAACTAACTCGCGACATTGCCCAAACATCTTCCATTTCTTTTGTACCGGTAACTGTTTCATATCCAACATGATTTAGCTCCACCAATCACGTCTCATTAGAATCCTAGAAATTGCAGAAGGGGTTTTGTCGAGATTTTAGAAATTTCATTGATTGAAATCATGAGTCAATTGAAGCTGGACCATCATAGCAAACCTGGAAGCACTGAACGGCTGTTTCATCCTAGAATGGGACTCCCCAGCAGTGCGCATCCACGATCCCGCAGCCCGCGAGTTTCGAACCCAGGACCTATCAGTCTCGTGGATTGATTGAAGTTAGACATTAACACCGTTGGATGCCGGCTCAATGGTCTAGTTGGTTAAGCGCCTGGCGCGAAAATGATAGGTCCTGGGTTCGTATCTCGCGGGGTGTGGCATCGTGGATGCGCACTGCTAGGTTGTAACGACCGTCCAGTGATTCCAGGTATTCCATGGTGGTCTAGCTTCAGTTGACTCATGATTTCAATCAGTGAAAATTCTAGAGTTCTCTCGAAATTAGTTACCACTTAGCATTAGATGAAATTCAACAATCATTACAAACCGTTATATTGGTATTTTACAATTGTTCATGTTCTAAGTTTCTCACTTATCTCTGTTGTGTACATTTTGTTCTGTGCGCTGTTTTAACCTCTTTTTTCTTTTCCACTTTTTTTCTCTGTATTCGATACTTCATCTCTATACACCTACGCACATATATATCTAGTTATTCGACTAAGCTGTTTAGATTTATTACGATGTTTCATGATACCACAATATATCCGACCAATTCAATTTTGTACAGACTATTCACAACCACTTGGTGTATTAAGTGTGAAATCTGTAAAACATTTTATGCAGCTGATATTGAAAGATTTAAGACAAATACAAAATATTGAAGGCAGTAACAGTCTTAACAAAGGTAATAACCATAAATACCAACGCATTACTACTCATCATGATGATGACCTTACAGAACAGGATACGAAGCCTGCTACGCTTCATGCGATCAATAGTATATATCCATACGTAAGTAGAGGGTTTTAGTTAATTAACTGTTGTTGTTCAACTGTCATTTTTATATTTCGATGTCAATTTATTAATTACGTATTGCGATGATTTGATTGCAGTAGGGATTGGATAATCATTGCGCTATATCACGAAATGATTGAAGTTGGATTTATAACACTGGGTCTAAACAAAGCTACTCTAATGGTTAAACATTCGCTGCAACATCCGGATATTCTGAGCTCAACCGCTTATGCGTTCGTGGTTGTGCATTATTGAGTATTAAGATGAAACGGCTGCCCAGTGCTACTTGGCTTTCAGGAACAACTCATCTGAGATCAACTTGTGATAAGTACAAGCTACATATTGTGATAATTTTCTATGAATCAACGATCGATGACGTGTTCAACTTTCTCCCAGAGAATTGATAAAATCTACAAAACAGATATTTACAGTATGAATATCAATTTAAGTTATTTCATATCGGTAGACGTAACATTACAAATAAAGTTTATGTTTACTGATGTGCGTTACTATGAAGAATCTGCAGCTTTACTCGTGGGTTTTATATTTTATCGAGAATTCGAATGTTCGCCAGTCAGATTCAAGGTGCGTAATATGTTGTTCATGATGTGACTAACTTGCGTATTTGTTGAGAATTCGTCATATGATCAAACTGGTTAGTAGACAATACCATATCCACATTGTAAGTGTACACTTATTCTTATGGATTGTCGTATGCTGATGCTGTTTCGTCGTAGTATGAGTAACCTTCATTACGAATTGTCTAAATAGGATCAGTTTGTAAAATAAACTATAGACTGTAACAATCTCCACAAACCAACAAAACATTTAATTATTTACCCAAGTGATTCAAGCTAGCGTTCTTTAGAAAAGTCCTTCTCTACAAGATTGGGTCGCTAACCTCCTACCGAACTTCTCCACCTTTATCCAGGCTTTTGATCAGCAGTTATTCCATAAGGGCTTCAGGTGGAGCTAAAACTTGCAGAGCCACTACAACTATCATCAAAAAGGTACAAGTATTTATAAAAGGTTGTCTACGCAAGATACTCCATTTTCTTTTCTCGGATATCAGCAACAATCTAGTGTATCAAAAAGCCAACCAACTTCCAGGTGAAGAGGAAAATATGGAAAGAAGATTGAGGTGAATTGTACACATTGTGGAAATCACTGAAGTGCATCACAAAGCAGGCCAATAACATGAAATCCTGAAAAGAAAAAGAAAAGAGAAAGAACAAATGACACATTGTACTGGCCGTTGGAAGCAGACATTAAAAGGATAAATAGCACATGGAAACAACTTGAAAAGTGAGCCAAGGACAGAGTTGGTTGGAGAATCCTGATTGGTAGCCTATGCTCCACAAGAAAAACAGTTGTAGATAAGTAGATTAAGTATGAAAATAACATAATTTATCATTTATAAGTTAGATTTTCTATTGTTATATCAAATTCATATAAAGTGCCTCTTCACTACCATGTTTTATAAAGTTCTGTAGTTACGTCATTATTATTATTTTAACACATAGATATTGGTACAAGGAGGCACCAAATACATATGTGCCACAAAAATCTCATTCGATATGTGTGAGGGCTGTGATACTGCCCGGGTGCTCAAATTAAAGCAGATGGTTTTCTTGGGGGGCCACACTCGGAGCCTTCGACCTGAAGGTCTGATCCACAAGACAGTGAAGCATCGTAAGGAGATGCAGTCCCATGGTAGCTGGTGACCAACAATTGGTTCATATGCCATTTGTTCCCGCAGGATCCTGGAGCCCATGTGGAGCATTGGTTTGGAATCCAGTTAAAGCGCCGGACATTCACTTTTCGTCCTCTCAATTTCGTAAACAACACCCCCGCTACGAGAAGGCAATGAGTAGGACTTCCCTGGCAGAGGCTATATACGCATGGACATGTGAAAGCATTTCGAGAGGGAGAGCGGACTCTTCCTACTCTCGATCGTACTAGGGCGTTTGGAGGCAGTTTTACTTTCTTTTTCATTTTCTCTCTCTTTTTAAGGTTACATGTCAAATGTTCGATTTACTGATTGACTGGATTCAAACAAATAATGTTCTAATGCCAACCATATATACCATTTGGCCAAAATTATTAAACACTCATCTATTATGTTGTCAATATGGACAGCTACACTATCCAATTCTACAATGTACTAATATGTGCTCTCATCATTATTCTTATGCATTAGCATTTGAAGATAATCAATATGAAATTGATAATCATCAAATTTTATATCAAAAATTATTAAATCATATTTGTCCATTATCAACCATTATTAATCACCGGAGTAATCAATCATTTTTGTCTACTTCGTTTAATTATACTACTGATAATCATAGTTTGGGATTGTCGACCTGGTTTTGTTTACATGGAAAACAGTTAAATAATATGGTGAGCCCTTTGTATTTCCCCAGTTAAATCGTTTTATTCTCTCTTTTCTTTTATAAATATGAATGATAATTGGTTCATTACTGTATAGAGGAGAGTCTAAACTACCAAGTTATCTATATGAATAAATGTTATTTAAAATTTAAACGAAGACTTATGATCTCAGCTGTTGAAATTGCTATAATATCCACAAGAAAAAACCCATTCGGATACTAATCAGCGTGTGCTCAGCAGTGACTGGTTTCAAGAGGTATTTCCTAGAGTTCTAGTGAGAAGCAGTGACCAGTGGAGTTCAACCGGGTCTATTGTGAGTTAGTAACTCACTGAAGACAATGATGGACGTGCAGTTCAACTTTGTGTATTGGTTGAAGTTAGACATTAACACTGTTGAATGCTGGTCGGCTCAGTGATCTAGTGGTTAAGTGTTTGCATGTGAGACCGGTTGGTCCTGGTTTTGAATCTCGCGAGGCGGGATCGTGGATGTCCACTGCTGAGGAGTCCCATACTAGGACGAAGTTGCCGTCCAGTACTTCCAGGTTTTCCATTGTGGTCTAACTTCAATTGACTCATAATCTGAACTATTGAAATTACTATAATATTCACAAAGAACCTCTTCTGATACAAATTTTTATGACAAAATTGTAGTTTTTTAAAATTCCTATGATTGAAATTATCTTACTGGGTTGATTGATCATATTTGTATTGGCTGATAGTTAACAGCTGAATCCAATATATGAGATTTAATATATTTAGGATTAGAAATTGTTGAGGGTGCTAAATTCGAAAAATTACTTGGCGAATGTCTTATTTTTGTAATTTTGAATTTCTCACTTTCGCGCTAAAAGTGCCCATTTTCACCTTCATATTGTATTTCCCACTTGGCGGGATCTTAAATATCATTGGTTCGCTCCTTTTTATAATATGCTATATTGTGACGTTTCCCAAGAACATTTTATGCTGTATATATATGCTTGAGTTGTGCTTCTCGTTGTTCGTGCTTTTGTCTGATTGTGAAATACATTTCTCCCCTTCTTCCTGTACTATATCCTTATATGCAATCTTTCTTTTATATATTACCACCATTGAATTAACTACTTCTATGAATTTGGTGTTCATGTTGTTGTGCTAATGAAGTATGGCAACTTGGACCGATGCACGTACGTGCCTGATCCTACGTTGTAGATCACCGACTGACTGGCTAACTCAAATCATATTCTTTGTAACTGAATCTTTTTACTACCACTGATATTACTACAATGCTTAGTACTCTGGTTTTCATCTTTATATATTTATCTCTTTGTGCCAATATTTTATGATAACTTAGGTTCTACATTGCTTATGACAGACTAACTGAATGATAGTCAAATAGATGCTCTGGGCATAGGTTTTTCACTAGTCGACACTCATCAACAAAATGTATTTACAATTTCAAAGGAAGCGATACTCCTCTGGGATATTCTCACTTATATCATCCGATCTCCACGTACTGAAGCACAGACAGGAAGAAAGGCAAAGATGAAAGTCAATAGAATGACATTATATATATATATATATATATATATATATATATATATATATCATTATTATTATTATTATTAAAGTGTATGTTTAACTTTGTTATAATAATAATAATCATATTTATTATTATGATTATTTGTTAGAAGGTTAAACCTAAGTTCAATCAATTATCTGAAGTGGATCTATTTCAATTTGTACAATTAAATCAGTTACAACATTTCATCAGTTTGGATATACTATCTTCATCCTTATGTCACAATAATCAATCTGGATATCAATCATCGATAAATACCACAAACACATTACCACCTTGTTCAACTAATCGTAGTCACCTCTCACTTCAAGTATGAGTATACAGTTTTCGTGTTAATAATTTCACTTTACTGATTTTTATAAAAAAATATCTGTAAGAACCGACTTGCCATAGCTGTTAAAGAAATTGTTCAATACGGTTACTGACGTACTAAATGGGAATTTACTTTTTTGTAGAGTCTTTTGATGGCACTGAGCAACAATGCCAGGATGTTTGGGATGCGTTCCTTCTCTTCTAAACACAAATTGTTGCTTCAGGACTGGGCTATGTCAGCACCTAAGCTAAGGATTAAGACTGGATTAGTCGAACACTTCAACGACTTCACTTATCTTTGTAGTCTGATAAGCCCTAGCCGTAGAACAAGAAGTCAAATCTTGTCCAATTGCATCAGCTTAACATTCGGTCAATATCTGAATAACTGATTGTATCACCACTCCCTCCTGAAGGAAAATAGGTCTGGTCTGAGTTCAGCTGTAGGGATTTAGATATGAGCATATAATTCCTTTAATCAATATTGATTACTTAATGAATTATTCAAGGAGTGCATACTCTTAAATTTATATCAAAATATAATTAGTGAGCTGAGAAGCTATCTACAAGCATTTCTTTGAATGACGTTATTCTGGTTCATTGTTATATTTATTGGTCCTTATTGATTGATACAATTGTTGTTCTTAAATACAATTCTATTACTGAACGATAAATACTTACAGCAAGTATTGCTTCGATAAGCTTTGTGTACAATGAGTTCGATGTATTAATATCTCAAGAACAGCAAGAGTTTCGAAGAAAGTTGATGCTTCCTACTGATCCTTTGCTAATGCGTGGAATATTTTCATGTGACACAGACACTTTTCTTGTTACTGTAGTTAGTTTATTGAATTGATTGAATTTCTTCATTTCCACCTTAATTAGAAAACTATTCAAAACCGGTAAATAGTGGCTAGCGATTTCATCTTACTATAAAACTCTTCTTCAACAATATACATTCACGATCCTATGGGAAATAGAACTTAGGACCGTCTGTTCTCACTATGAATGTTGAATCTTTAAACTACTGAACTGTCATTTAATGTCTTACATGCAATATCACCCAACAACTATCCACTGCTACTGTTAACTAACTACTTCACACACACACACACACCATAATTGAATTGTTGTTGTTTAGTCAAGTTGTATAGTGTTTTTCATTTCGATTGCCTTGATACTTAAATAGTAACCTGATATACACAGGTTTTTATGTGTTTCTATTTAAATAGAAAACACATGGTTAATATTTCAGAATTATTTCAACTTGTTTTGATTGTAATTAGGTATATTGATTTTTTGTAATTTCTAGCTGTGATATAACTTACATTACGTAACTTAAGGGTAAATTTTACTGAATGAAATCTGTTGATCAGATTGTATAGATGAGGGTTTCATTTCGCACGGTTATAAGAAGTCTACACATTGTGATATGATGTGGGCTCCAGTATGCTGAAGGAACAAATGGCGTACGAACAAATCATTGGTCACCGTCTACCATGGGACTGCATCTCCTAACGTTGCTCCACTGCCTCGTGGATTAGACCTTTAGGTCAACGATTCTGGGTTTGGCCCCCTAAGAAAATCACCTGCTTTGATTTGGACATCCGAGCAGTATACTAGCCCTCATACAAATCGAATGATTTATGTGGTGCATATCTGTTTGGTGCCTTCTTGTACCAATGTAAATAAATAAATAAAGCAATAATGTTTGGACATCTGCCACTGCATCATTGTAATACGAAAATTTTGATCTGATCTGAGACTAGAACATTGTTGTGAATATAAAAGTAAAGAGATTGGGAGAAAGGATGTTAGTATCATGACAAGAAACAGTTGAAATAAAAATAGTAATACCGTCAAAAATACATCTGTTCTACTGTCTAAAACAGATAATCAAAATGAATGGTTCCGATTACTGACTCAATGTGTTCTTTGGTCCGTTGACAAATGTTTATAAATACTTGTACTGTTTCGACGATGGTTGTGGTAGTTCTTGAAGTTTTAGATGTGTACAACAGAACTGTCTTAACCTTCGAATTGAAGATTCTGACTTTGACGTTGGCATGCAGACAATTGTTTTGAGTTCTATGTGTTCTTCAACTGTAAGAATGCTGTCCTTGCTCGGAGAGAATATTCGTGGGTTACTAGTATTCGATCATAGGTGTCTTCGATTCATTGATCCTGTGTTTTGGGATTATCGGGTAAACAATGTCTGATTTAGGAGTGAGTTACTAGGTAAGATTGGAAAATCTTTCAAATATGTAGTAAATCTTCACCAGCTGAGGTGGTTAGGATGCCTATTACGTATTCCGAACCGCCGCCTATTTCAACGGTTGATGTCTGGTGTAGGAGAAGGCTGGAAGAATACTAAGAGCGTCTGTATCAATACATAGTATGAGTCCATGAAGTCATTGACATTTGGACCGAGTCATGCTAATAGATGTAGACTACCTGGTTGGGCTTCGCGTGATCATTGTAACTAGAGGTTAGAGAATTTGAATTACGTGTCTGGGAATCGTTTGCAATGGCACAGGGGTATTCGTTTTTTTATCTTTCTTCTAATTCTGAGCTTTTAAATTCTTTATAACGTATTCTTGTTTTTATTTCGCCAAACTATGTTTTCTTCCCGAATCGTATCTTCGACATTCCATCTTTTCAGTCACTACTGATTCTGTTAATACTTTTACTAATCATGGAATTGGCTTGACAATCTCATCTCACTTGGAACGATGTGCTTACTTGTCAGGTCCTATCTTCCGACTGACAAACTGGCTTGTATTCTTTCGTCTTACTTCGTTATTCAATATTACTTTTATTTATGTTTGTTCTAGGGTATCGAATTTTCTTTTAGACAATTATTTATTACAGTTTTCATCGAACTTTACCGGTAAGCACAACTGTCTGGTTCTATGACAGAACGTTAGTCATGCTTGCGCGAAACCAAAAGTCCTGGTTTCGATTTGTGTGTGTGAATTCTTTGGTACACATTAATTTGGTCCCATACTAGGACGAAACGTCTGTCCAGTACTTCTAGGTCGTTAATGGTGGTCTAACTTAGATCGCTTCATGATTCCAATGGAATTCAACGGTCTCTACAACCCCTTACTGACAGCAGGGCAAACGTTGTGGAAGTTTAGGTTGCTTTTTCGATGTACATATGCCCTACAGTTTCTAGCAATAACAACTACAGACTCCTTCAAACGCTCAAAAACTGTCGTTTTAAGCTGACTGTTTTTACTATTTACGTTGTTTTGCCTAATTTCTTGTTGATGGCTAATTCTCTTTGTTTTTGTGACAAATCATTATGTTGCTATGTTAGACAAATATGTTTTTGTTCGTTTAAGTGGGCTTTTGGAGATTTATGTTCCAAGGTTTCTGACATCTCTTACGGCTAATATCCATCGTTGGAGTAAAAGATGTCTGAAAAAAGTCATACATACTGTTAAAATAAATAATGATCTTGTTTTTTACTAGTGGCTGGATTCAAAATAAATTTCTTTAATTTGGAAATGTAAGTCATTGAAATTCCACCTACTAACTGGTCCAATTTGATCATTTTCACTCCACAACATCTGGAGCTTATTGAACCACTGTCATTTTGAGTTATAAGGTGTACACTAGTGTATGATTTTAAACTAAGACAGATCTTTTGATTGACATAATGAATTAATCAATGTTAAACGACCATTAAAAACCTGGAAGTGCTGGGCAGCCATTTCGTCCTTGTATGGGAATCTCCAACAATGCACATCCACGATCCTGCACGAGGGATTCCAACACAGGACCTTCAGTTTCACGCACGAATGCTTAATCTCTAAACCACTGAACCGTCATCCCTCGGTGCTAATGTCTAACTCCAACCAATCCACGATACTGTGCGACTATTTTCGATTGTCTTCGATGGGTAACTGCCTCACACTTGACACATATTAGCAACACTAGTCGCGTCTTCTCACTCAAACTCCGAGAATTACGTCTCGAAGTTGGTCATTAGTCTCCCAAGTTTTTAATAGTAGCCTAGCATTGACCAACTGGTGATCTCAATTCAATATTTGTCATCGAACCTTCTGGTTTCAGTAGCGCTTTCAATCGCCTACTTACTTATGCCTGTTACTCCCAGTGAAGCATAGGCCGCCGACCAGCATTCTCCAACCCACTCTGTCTTGGGCCTTCCTTTCTAGTTCTATCCAATTCTTTTTCATTCTCCTCATGTCTTTCTCCATTTCTCGGTGTATTGCTTTTGGTCTTCCTCTTTACCTTTGGCCTTTAAAATTACATGTGGGGGTTTGTTTTGTGACTCAGTTAGGTGCTTTCTTCAATTTGTGTCCTATCGACTTCCAGCACTTCCTGATTTCTTTCTCCACTGGTATCTGGTTTGTTCTCTCCCACAGTAGGTTGTTGCTGATAGTTTCTGGCTGACGGGTCCGAAGTATTTTGCATAGACAACTATTAATAAACACTTGTATTATCTGGATGATGGCTTTCGTAGTTCTTCTGGTTTCCACCCCATATAGTAGAATTGTGTTGACATTTGTATTGAAAATTCTGAGTTTGGTGTTGTTTGACAGACAGTTGTTTTGAGTTCCAGATGTTTTTCAGTTGTAAATATGCTGCTCTTGCTTTGCCTTCACATCTGTATCAGATTCACTGTGTTCATCAATGACGCTTACCAGTAAGCGCTTTGAATAGCAGTAGGAAATTAGATATTCAAATCTAATTGATTTGGTTTTGTTTGTTTTTGTTATATCAGTTCTTATTGACTATGTTTATTTGTTGGTTATTTGATTGAGTAATCAAATTAAATACTTTACATGATACAAATTTGTAACTTGTATATGTCATTGTTATAACTTGTAGCTTGTGTGCCCTGTTAATGTATAACGTAATGATACCGCCAATTAGATAGCAGTGAACTATCGATCAAACCAATGATGCTTAAAAACCCGTACGAGCAGTCTAGAATCCTTACTGATCCTGCTCCCAACCTAGCCCAGCCTGTTAACAACAGAACACAAATCACAGCCTCTGTGATATGAATCATGTACTGGGTTTATATACCAACCAGACAGACTACATCGTACCATAAAATAGGAAACAACACCTGTACAAGATCTAGCCAAATGTGGCTGTGAATGTAGGAGGTAGTAATTGATAGACTTGGGTATAACTGAAGAATGGTAAATCGTATAACAATAGTCCATAGGTAAAAATAAAACTCATAATAAGAGGGGCATGAATATGTATAGTTTAATTATTTAACAATTATACGATAAAAATATACGTTTACTAGTGGTCCATAAATGGATCCTCAAAGTTACCATTCATTATTCTCATTGGGATATAACAGTTATTAATGTTTTTTCATTTCATTTACATTAACAGATATGGATATCATCTATTTATTCATGTATATATATTCGTATTGTTGAAATGTCAATCAATAAAGAGAATACAACATTAGACTATCATGAAACATCTATATCATTAAAGGGGAATACAAATGAAATTGTATTGCTTAGTGATTTATGCTTAGATTTTCCTAAAGAATTTAATATTTATGATGAATGGAATCATTTATTTTTATATATTGAATGGATAAATTATTTCAATGCCAAAGTATGTTAAATTAGTTTTCGCTTTTTTCTTGTTTCTTTCCTTTCTAAATATCGAATGTTTGTCATTTAAACTTTTAAAAGAAGTCACATTGTACGAGTATTCCATGTACCTAAATTAATGGTTGCTATGATTGTCAGAAGGGGCATCAACCTCATGACTTCCAAAGGAAATCGATTTTCACCATAAGGCGTTATAACTCTTCTAGATGAAAACCTTCTAACTCGCAGGGCAGAGTTTAAATGGTTATTATTATTGTTTGTTCTGGTTAGCGTTTTTTAGCGAGTTAGTTTTCTGCGGTATGGGGTTGCTAACCTCATGTTCAACCCCCCTTCTTTATCCGGGCTTAGGACCGGTGGTAGACCCAGAGAGGTTCATCAATAATTGAGTTGACAAGTATAATTTTCGGAGAATAGATGTTACTATGATTGAAGTGGGTGATTTTAGTTATTGATTGTCAATGACACTTGGGTAGAAATTTCCATATATTTTAGATAATTAGGGATAATCTGTACGAAACCCTAGCTCTAAGTTTCGAGTTAGTCACCACTGATGAGCTAAATGTACGTAGATCCTTGATTGAACTTATGCTCATTTTGGAGTTTAGAATCTTGTCATTCAGTTCACAGACTGAATATCGGTGATCCATATTCAAGTCCCACAATATGATCTGCCATTCCTTAAATAGTCACAGTGATAATGCCGTTTAGATTTAGCGGTAATTATTTTCATAAACATTTTATGAAGATTCTTGAGTAAATTAGGTGATTTATGTGACCCATTATTCAACGAATCAAAAGTATGAGGATTTCTTTTATTAGTTGCAAGTTCTGAAAAGTAGTCATCGCAAAAAGTTTGATGGTCTCCTTTGATTTAATTGAGGTTTTGTTATATGTAGGGCTTAGATTCTTAATATACCACGTACAACTTGAGCATTCAAACGCTAGAACCATCCAAGTCGTAAATGAGAAGACAGAAGACAACTTAAAGGAATACTATTCTAAATAGTGTCAATTATGGAACAAAACTGTCAGGTAGTTATAGTTTTTAGTAAAAAACGAAATCATCATTACAGTCCTCCAATCCGCATACAGGGGGTTATTAGCAATTTGTCCAACAGGGAAGTTACACATAGGGATTCTGAAATATTCTTCCAAAAGGTGATTGAATGGAATATCTTCGGCTCTTTCTGAGCTTCTTACGGTTTCTTCAAGTTTACCCGTGAACTGTCTTCATAGATTTATTCTTAAGTTTTTATATTTATGATAATTCGTGGAATAATTCTTTTCATTTATCTACTATTAATTAAGGTGTCACTTGTAATCAATGGTTGGTTTGAATCTATCGGTGATCTAATATTGATTAACAAAGAGTTTGCCGATTCACATATAAACGGTCAACATCAGTTTATACCTCCTGTGTTGCGTTTTGGTCATGTACTTGATGTATACTCTTCTTTAGAATGTAGAAGAAATACTTTTGATTTAGGGAATTTACTTTTGTTTACTGGTAAGCTTATTTTTAAAGTCAATCTATTATTCCTAGATAGAAACAAATTGGTTATATTAATATATTTGCAAATGTTTATCTGTTGCTTTTGTATTGCAATTGTCCAGAATCTTCGAGATTTTCTCTTAAAGTCTTCTGGACCTGAGAAAATATTTTATCGAATCAGTTTTCAGTAGTAACCTTTCAGAGAACTAAAAAAACGATGGATTAATTATCATATTACTTAATTACACCTGTTACTCCTCGTGGAGGAGCATAGGCCACCCACCAGCACTCTCCATCCAACCCTGTCCTGGGCAATTCTTTCCAGCTCTTTCCAGTTCTTATTCATCCTTTTCATATCTGCTTCTATTTCCTGACGTAATGTTTTCTCTTGCTTTCCACTTTTGCGATTCCCTTCAGGATTCCATGTTAGGGCTTGTCTCATGATGCAGTTTGGTGATTTGCGTAATGCATTTCCTATCCATTTCCAAAATCTTTTCTTAATTTCCTCTTCAACTGAGAGGTGGTTTATTCTCGCCCACAATAGACTGTTGCTGATGGTATCCGGTGAATGTATGTTGAGTATTTTGCGTAGACAAATATTTATAAATACTTGTACGATCTTGATGATGGTTGTAGTGTTTCTCGAATTTTCAGCTCCGTACAATAGTACTGACTGTGTTGATGTTCGTATTGAAGATTATGACTTTGATATTGGTTGACAGACAGTTGTTTTGAGTTTCACATGTTCCTCAATTGTAGGAATGCGGCCCTTGCTTTGCTAGTCCTCGCCTTTACGTTTGCATCCGATTCTCCTTCTAATTGGTTCCCCTCAGATGTCAGGGTTTTCATAATCCAGTCAACCACCAGAAGAAAGAGGAAGGGGGAGAGTAAACAGCCTATTTTAGCTCCGATCCTAACTTGGAATGCATCTGCCAGCTGTCCTCCATGCACCATTGTTTCAGTGGTAATTATCATATCCTGATTGAGTAATTACCGATTGGTTATCAATGTTAACATATTTTCAAAAATCTCTAGAATATCGTGGTCACCAACGAACGTGCAGCCCAACTTGTCATTATCGAAAAGACAAGGTCTATGTTTCACCAAAAGCCCAAGCAGCACGAAAACGATTGTGTCACATCCCATTGTGTCTATAAATTTACATGTACGTGTGGAAACACGTACATAGGAAGGAGCAATCGTGATTTGCAATTAAGGGTGGGTGAACATATACCAAAATGGTTGCAGAATCAAATGAATTCCAATGGTGAAATAAGACCACAGGGTAGACAGACATCATCATCCATTGCTAAACATTTGATTGAGACGGGTCATAAGGTTGAAATCAAATCAGCATTTGTTGTGTTGTACAAAAGCCTTCAAGGATGTATACTAAGGTTTATTGAAGCCTTGGCTATACGAAAATTGAAACCCCCTTTATGTGTTCAAAAACAATTTGTGCTTACACTTAACCTACCCTGGTAGTACTGATTTACTATCCAAAGTGGTAATCACATTTGTTTTTGTGTACTTTAGTATTTTTCCTTTGTTATGACTTACCCTTAACCTGTCTAGTTGACCTTTTAACTTTTCATATATAAATGTTCTTAACAAGTATATGTGTGATCAGATTGTTCGAAATGTATTGCGCAAATATATCACATAATTCTGATGAACTACATCTTCTCAGTAGTGTTTGTTTACTTAACAAGCTTATCGAATAATTATTTGTTTCCCATTGAAAATATGGCGGCATTGGAAGACTATTTTTTGTCCCAATGTGGTACTCCTCAAGAATGCGCAAACATGACATCAAACCGAGGAATTGAACCCAGTATTTTTGGTCTCGTGTGCAAATGCTTAGCTTCTAGACCACTGAATCGGCAAGCAACAATGTTAGTATCTAAGTTCTATCAATCCACAATATTGTGCGATCATTTTCCATTGTCTTCGACGGGTGACTGCCTCACACTCGATCCAGTATAACTCCACTGGTCACGGATTCTGCTAAAGCGTTTTATACTATGGCAAAACGGCCGTATAGTGCTTCCACGTATTGAGCGGTAGTTTAACTTGGACCAGTTCATAGCTTCTATGAAATCCAACCTTCTCCACAACTAAATATTTGTTTGTTCCTTTTTGTTAGAATCGTCATTCTCTCCAGAATTTTTGTATGTCAATCAATACTGAAAATCACTAATTCTGTTCTACATAATCTGGATTCTGTTTCTGGTTTTTCTTTTCCTCCTAGGTTTACCTTCTAGTGTGCAAAAACTTTCTTCATCATCTTCTGATTATGTCTTCAAATGCAAAAAGAAATCTTCAAAACAACATCATGAACAAATGTCACAACAGTTAGACCATCAAAATGAAAATTATTTTAACAATTCAATTAAAGCAATCGCTTTATCACTTAGCCTTTTAGGCCCATTATTCAATGGTTATTTTGATTCAATTGAATCAAGTGCATACTATCGAAATTCAGCTGATTGTATACTTCATGCATTTATACGTAGATATGCATTAAAGGATTCAACATTGAAAAGTAATCATTATCATCCTTATCATCATGACTATGATTATATCAGTCAATTATTGATGAAAGCTCATTCTTTAATCCATTCAGAATTTTGGTTAAGATTCTTAAAAACATACTGTTCAGTAAGTTATTTCTTCAAATTTTGACTAAAGCACCCAGTATATCCATTTTATCTCATTTTAAACTTATGCTTATTATTCTCTTTACTGTTCCCCATCATTTTTGTTTCCAAACTGTTTAAGAAGACATTTTTACGAGTTGTCAAGAGTGTTAAAGTCAGTTAGCAGAATGTGTAATTAATCTTTTAAGGTCATTATGAATATTATTATTATTATTATTATCATTATTATTATTATTATTATTATTATTATTATTATTATTATTTGAACACAAATATTGGTACAAGAGGGCTCCAATATATATGCGCCACACAAAACAATGAGAATTTGAAGACAAGGAATCCTGACAGTCTTGTAGAAGTACTTTGCACTTCGAAGCTGCAAAGCTCATACCGTACCTACGGACACTGATTGCCAACTGATTAAGTGCGGATTGCATGCCTTGGGCATTATCGCACAGTAAGACAATATCGTCCGCATACTCAAGGTCGAGAAGTCTTTCTCCAGGCAACAGATCCACACCACCATTACTTACATTCATCAGAGCTGTTTCCAGAATGTCATCGATGGCAAAGTTGAAGAGGAATGGTGAGATTGGGCAACCCTGCCTAACCCCACTGCTCGAATGGAACAATGGAGAGAGGTGGTTGTATGCCCTCACTCTGCCTGAGGTGTTTTATATAGGGCTTTTAGGATGTTAATAAACTTCTCAGGCACACCCTTCTTCAATAGACAATCCCAGAGAACAGTCCTGTCCAACGAATCGAAGGCAGCCCTGATGTCAAGAAACACTACGATTGTTGGCCTTTGATAAGTATGGCGGTGTTCTAACATTTGGCGGAGGGTGAAGATATGATCAATACATCCTCGACCAGAACGAAACCCAGCCTGCTCCTCGCGAGTCAATCTTTCTCGGGTTTTGAACAACCTACGAAGTATGACGGAAGCCAATAGCTTGGACGCAATCGGAAGTAGACTTATCCCCCGATAGTTGTTACAGGAACGACGTGAACCCTTTTTAAAGATAGGGACAACTATCGACTCATTCCATGACGTTGGTACACTCTCTAGTTCCCAAACCTTTGTAAACAACGTCGTCAATTCCTTAGTCAAAAAGTCACCACCATCTTTAAAAAGAGCCGGAGGTAAGTCATCTGGGCCAGGTGATTTGTAACGCTTCAAGAGTTGGAGTTCCTTGCGGACTTCCTCCTCATTTGGTGGATCAGTCGTCACCGGCCATGGAGGGCAGGACAGTCTGACCGATGTTGCCGGAGCAGCAGGCCAGTTGAACTGCCCTTCGAAAAATTCTGCCCATCGTCCAAGACGTCGATGGATGTTAGTGATTGGCATCCCATCATCCTCGCAGATTGTTTCACTCACACCAGACTTCTTGCTGCCAGTGGCTCGGATGAGCTGGAAGAGCTTCCGGTAGTTACCAGATGCAGCTGCTGCTTCCAGCTCATTAGCACGCATCGACCACCAGGCTTCTCGGTCCTTACGCAAGCTTTGCCCAATTTCCTTACGTAACATCCTTCGTTTATGGTCAAACTCACGGTCACCCGGAGTAGACCGACGGGCTTCAATGAGTTGTAAGGAACCAGAAGAAACCCAGTGCTTAAAAGCGGGACGTTTCGCAAACCCACAACTGACTGTTCCCGCCATTTTCATGGCGTCATGCAATTGCAACCAATGCTCATCTATACTTTTCGGTGGAGTGGTAGCTAGCCTAGAGGCTAGCTCGGTTCGATACTTACTTGCAACAGAAGTTGCAACCAGCTTGCTAACATCAATCCGTTGATGGCGGTCACTTCGTTGTCCACTGAAAAGTAAGGCAAGATTGGCGCAGACCAAGGCATGGTCAGAGTCCAGATAGGTACTCCAAAAGGAGCGGCAGTCTTGTACACAACCACGCCAGCGGTAGCTGATCGCGATGTGATCAATCTGAGTCCAGGCTTGAGATGCAGAGGGAGGACGCCAGGTGGCACATCGGCGATGACTGTGCCGAAAGTTAGTGCTAGCCAGAAACAGGTTGTGGTCTGTGCACAGTTGCAGTAGACGGTCCCCGTTATCTGAGCATTCAAGTCTCCGGCTAGTACTACAATATATGTCGAACGCACTTTCTGGAGAACAGTTAACTGGTGGTAGAATTCATCCTTGATTGCATCCGGGCTGCAATCTGTCGGGGCATAGGCGGAGATGACGAAAAGACATCGTTTCTCACGCCGATTTCTCACTTTGATGGAACTTTCTGATCTAACAGCACATAACCGACTGTTAATGGGGATCCAGTCGGTTAGTGCTGCCTCAGCTCTAGCGCTTAGTGCGACACCAACGCCAGCAAGACCAGACGAAGATGCCACAGGGTCCGCGGATAAACGCACGTCAGACAAGCTTTTTGAATCGACAGATGAAGAGCGAATTTGTAGTACTTCACCAGAGTCTTGAATAAGGGTCTCGGATAGACAACAAACGTCGATATTAAGACTTTCCAAAGACATAGCCAGCCTTATCTGTTGTCCGACCTGCTTAAGTATGCGAACGTTGAAGGAAGCCAGTTTGAATGGTGCATGTGGTTTCAGAAGCACTGCTTCAGTATTCGTATTTGGTGGTAGCATACAATTTTCAACCAGGCAGTGACTCGAGAACGTTTAGATAGAGCCTAATTTCAACCATAGACGAGCTGCTGTATAAGTCGAAAAAATAAGTATAGACAGAGTAGGAATGAAAGAGGGTAAATAGTGATTTAGCAAATAATAATAATAATAATAATAACAATAATAATAATAATAATAATAATAATAATAATAATAATTTGGTTGAATATAGACACTTAAAATGTTTCAAACTTCTGGCTAGTGTTATCTTATCAGATATTAACCATCCAATTCATTTATATCTTTCTATTGTGACAGAACGAGACGTCAATACATTGGAATCCATGCAAACAAGCAAATGTATATGAGCTCTACAATATTTTATCTTGCAAATATATTAAGTAATTAAGAGGTTGTTTGAGTTGACCTAATTAAAACTTATACTCTAGGTAGTTTATCTACGTAATTCATGTATATATGTTTGTAGTAATCTTTTCATGTCTTTGTTTTGTACAAGATACTTGTTGAAATCTTTAGCTCTAAAAATTCAATATTGTACTAGACATATGATACTGAATAAAGCCACTAATATCGATACTAATAATAGTAATAATAATTATTTTAATTACTAGCTATTGTTTATTTATTTAAACACGTAAACATTGGTACAAGAAGGCACTGAACAGATATGCGCCAAAAGAATCTTTCAATTTATGTGAGGGCTAGGATATTGCCCAGGTGCCCAAAACCAAAGCAGGTGGTTTTCTTAATGGATCACTTAAGGAGCATTCGACCAAAACATCTTAGCCACAAGGTAGTGGAGCAACGTAAGGAGATGCAGTCCTATGTTAGCTGGTGACCAACATTAGATATATATGCCATTTGTTCCTTCAGGATACTGGAGCCCATGTGCATCATTAGTTTAGAATGAGAGTTTTCCAACTCCCGTAGGTGGACCCTCCGTATCCATCAACCGGATTAAAGCGCCGGACATTCACTTTTCGTCCTTTTAATTTTGTAAGCAACAGTGATACCTCGAGAAGGCATTAAGTAGGACTTCTGTGGAAGTGTTTGTACGCACGTGGCCACGTGAAAACATTTCGAGAGGGTGAGCTGACTCTCTTTACTCTCAGCCGTACCAAAGCATTTGGGGGCACTGAGCTACTTATTGTTACTGAATTTTTTTCGTTGGTATTTTATTTCTAAAGATTTGTATTTTTGTGGTGACCATCTAGGGCGCCCATCTGTTAACAAACACTATTCATCACATATGATCTTCTCGATAACTAGTGAATATATTTCCTATCTATCTGGTTTCATTTCACTTATCAGAAATTCAAAAGATGTTCAACACGGAACTATTGAAATTCGAATAGCTTATCCGACGTTATCAGTCTAGTTTAGTTTCATCATTTTCATTAATAAATATCCAAAAAAACCCGTTTGATGTTAATCAACATATGCTCAAAAGTGATTGGCTTCAAGAGGTATTTTCTGGAGTTCTAGTGAGAAACAGTGACTAGTGGAGTTCAACTGAGTTTGTTGTGAGATAGTAACACACTGAAGACAATGGTCAATGTATCGCTCTGTTTAGTGGGTTGGGTGAAGTTAGACATTAACACCATTGGATGCTGGCCGGCCCAGTGGTCTAGAGGTTAAGCGTTCGCACGCGAGAACGATAGGCCCTGGGTTCAAGTCTCGCGAGGCGGTATCGTGGATGTGCACTGCTGAGGAGTCCCATGGTAGGACGAAACAGCCGTCCAGTGCTTCCAGGTTTTCCATTGTAGTCTAGCTTCAATTGATTCATGATCTCAACTATTAGAGTGTTTTACTCCTTATTCTTTTTATTCATTTACTTTTCCCTTCTTTTTCTTTTTATTTAAAGGAGCATTTATTCATCATTTTGTTGAGTCATAATCTAACTTGTGTACAATTCATTTTACCAAAATCGCTTAAATCATTCCATAAAGCTGAATATAATGAATCGTTAACGACGGAAGTGAACAACGATAACATGCATGACATATACTTGTTAAATTCCAATGTTAGCCAACATTACAAATCATTTGATGAAAATACAATGCAAATTTAGTAAGTTATAATTTGTTGGATACTACTTTTGTTTTTATTTTAGTGGAGGTCTTCTTTTTGTCATCAAGTAGATCAGACGATATTGTCGACGGTCTCACCATTTTAGTGGCCTGGGAACTGACTCCAATTAAATCGTATGATCGATTGTTGCCAAAATATACATCCTGGCTATCCTCGTATATAACTATCGGCCTAATTTATCGAGTTATTGAATAACGGAATTAAAATAAGTCAAATAGGAGAATGGATTTTCGAATACATATACCTTGTACACTCATTTTTCTGGGCAGGCAATCAGAGGGACGAAGGGAATAGAAGAGAGACGCGTAGTGGAGAAGTCATGTAAGCCAACTCCGTTTAATCAAACGATTATCAATATTTATAGTCAGATAAAAATAGGTTACAAACATGTGATGAACAGGATAAGAAGTGTACACAAACACACGCCATATAAAAACAGTCAAGGTTCATAAGTGAATAATTAACAAGGTCAAAACGTGACTCCAAAGGCTAGAATAAGCTGTGTGGGCTGAACATAGTAACTGATACTACACTATTATCATAAGTGTTATTATTATTATTATTATTATTATTATTATTATTATTATTGATAACAGTGATTGCGTAACTTTTAAACTTTGTACCCATCAAATTATTTTTAAAACCGGTTATTAAGTTATACCAGTGTTGGTATTACTTGACACTTTTGTACCGATCAATTTCCACTTTTTTTTAAAATAATATTTTGTAAGCGAATCGATGAGGTACTTCCGGGCATTATTAAATTCCAAAGAAACATCCCTCTCTTTTGGACTTTCCAAATATAAAGAGACAATATGTTTCCTGTATAATACTTCTATACTTTGTTAATGTACCTAAATAAGTAGTTACTCAGAAGGGACATCAGCCTCGTGGCTTCCGAAGGAACTCGGCTTTCAACATGATTTGTCATAACTCTTCTAAATGAAGACATTCTGACTCCCATGGCAGAGTTTAAATGGTTTGAATAATTTTTTCTGGTTAGCGTTCTTTTAACGAGTTAGTTTTTTACGATATGGGGTCGCTAACCCCATTCCCAACCCTCCTCCTTTATCCGGGCTTAGGACTGGTAGTAGCCCCAGAGGGGCTCCAGGCAAAGTTAATGAATGTTAGTGATTACAAGATTTAGTTCAACCAGTATATATAACTAAATGATTATCACTGTTTTAAAGACTTTACACCTGGAGTCATGTTTAGTCAAAAATTATTAAAACGTTGGTGGTATATAGAAATTTTCTCATTTTTAGTACTCTTTTAATGTACCCAAACTGTTTGTTTCTTAAATATCGGTCTAGTAATAAAGAGGATTCAAATCAGTCTGTAGACTTTCAAAAATGATGACTTTGTTGAAATTCATCTGCTATTGGATTATATTAATTGAGATCATGAACTGATCAGTGTTAGACGGCCATTGAAAACCTATAAATTTTAGGCTACCGTTTCGTCGTAGTATGGGACTCCTCAGCAGTGCGCATCCACGATCCCGCCTGCGGTATTCGAACCCAGGGCCTTCAGTCTCGCGCACGAACGCCTTACCTACTGGACCACTGAGGACAGCTGTCCAGTGCTTCCAGGTTTCCAATGGTGGTCTAAAATCGATTGGTTCATGATCTCAATTAAAAGAAGAAATCTTCTGTAGGTATTGCCTTATGGTTAAGTTTAGTCGTAAAAACGTGATCTACAATACTAAGTAGTGATCTGAAAAAGTCTTCGGCATTCAATTTGATGGTAAGCTTTTGTAATATAATGCTCTTAAATGATTGGTCTCAGTTGAGATATCACTGAAAATTACAAGCACTGAACAAATTGTTCGCCCTAGTGCTCATCTATGACTTCACTGGAGGCTGAACTCTTGAGATTTCGGTGTCACAGCAAGCACTCAACCATTAAACCACTGGACTCATATCCAACAGTTCTTCTTTTCAACCTTAATCAACCTATAATAAAGCATGAGGATCTTACACTTTCATCACTGAGTACTGCTTCACTTCACCGTGCCCGTTTTTAGTCAAACTTCAGGAATTCATTCAATAATAAATTAAGTCCAAAACAATTTTGAATTACTTCAAGATGGGTTCCTGAAGTTATTTTGTTAACTAATCTCCACAAAATTCACTTTTAATAATATTGTTTTTTATTTCTTGTTTCACCTTCAAAAGTATATGTATATGTTAATGCCTATTGAACACAATTCAACTGGTCTGTGAATGTTTTCCAGTTACTTATTATCTACCTATTAACTGGTCTTCTAACTCTTATTAAGTTAAAGAAAACCCTAAGAGCATGGGTCCTAAAGAGTTTGTTTCAACTGTCTTGAATGATTGTTTGCTAGATGTAACTATATCTATGTATTTTCTTATTTAATTGTTAGATCTTACCAGTGATTATGACTTATTCCCTTTTCTTTATACCTCCTATTTAATCAGTTATGCTCATTCGTCTAAAAAGCGATTATGGTTATTAAGGAGCATATATTCACCTGATAACAATCAATCAATATCTCACTATGTTAACTACTATTATCGGGAAAGTTTTGATTCAGTTTTTGAACCCCATGGAGGTATTGAAGTGGCAATTTGCCTTCTTGGTGAAGTAAGTTTTTGTGGAATATTTTTACCACATATTATATCACCCATATAACTGATTTTAAAATTTCTATGTAAATCGATTATTATCACTTTTAAGTACTTTATAATAACTTAACAAACATCTTTCATGATGGAGAAGATTCGTAGCTCAGGTGGATGATTTTGATGGGGTTTTGTTCTTTGAGCTGGATGGTTTGGTCATGGAGCTTTCATCAACAATCTACAAGCACATTAAAATCGATCCAATTTATCAAGCATTCAGAAAAATTATACACAAACATAAAATGAAAAATCAAACCAATATGAGATACAACCAAAACGAAGAACCAAACAATGACAAGTTTAAGGTCAACAAGAACCAATCCACATCGAGTTGTATAGGACAAGCTGTCAACCACATGTGGAGAAATTCGAACACTTCATTTATATCTGAAGTTTGTGCTAATGATTTTATTCAGAAGAACGATGGAAATTCCACGACCAAACCATCCAGCTCAGAGAACAGAACTCCATCAAAAACATTTACCATCCCTTGTTGATATTCAGGTACAAATTTCGATCGACCTTTCTTATGATATATGGATCCTAAGCCTATTTCTACTTGAACCGATTGTTTATTGGTTAGTATTAGAATAAAGGACGTTTGTTCAGTCCTACTTGTGACTTATCAGCTAAACGTATCTCTATCTCAATGTTGAAGTTCACACTGTGTGTAAATTAAACTGAGGTACACTTCGACAGTCTATTTTTTATTCAGTCCGATGTAGACAACATGGTAGGTGTTTATCGATCTAATTTACATAAGAATGAGAAATGAAAATTACTAGGTAAGTTGCAAATAGGTCGAGATTATAGTGCTAACCGTAACATTGAAGATATAAATAACGGTAGAGAATTATGTATAACCGTAATAGTAATAATAATGAAACTTATTACCGTAATTTATAAAGACGTTTTTATAATCTTAAAGGTTTTTAATGTTCATATTCAAAGTCTTCGTTTATGTAGTGCCTTAATATAGACTTTGCTGACATAATCAAGATCATGATTCTCAGCAGAAGTGTCGGTAGGAAGGAATCCACTTGGAGAGTAGTCACCATTGAGCATAAGGTTTTGAATGGAGACAATGTCTCCAAAGTAATTATTATAATCGATATCCATTACTTATTATTATTATTATTATTATTATTATTATTATTATTATTATATTTACTACAATTCTCTTTTATCTATACAGCTTGTCTGTCAATCACACAGTTCTAATTTGATTTCATATGGACTAAAATTACTCTTTACAATGTTACATCATTCTAGTATAATGTATGCAAAATTTTATGCACCAGCATTATCACATCCTGGTTTAGAGAATTCAATGGAAAGACGACATAAAAAACTATGGTTATTTCAAAATTGTAATAATCAGCTAAATTGTAAACCAGTTCCATTAAGTTTTGGACATTGTCTGTTAGCTCGTCTATTCAAACATCCAAAATTTAATATGATCTCATCTAAATCATATGAAATTATGAAAGTAAGTAGTTTCAGCGGGTTTTTTTTCTTCAGACACTATTTGCTCAGATTTCATGTAAGTTTACTTTTGCAAAAAACATATCTTTATCATGATTTGATACGAACTTGGAAACTATGGAATATATGACAACCATTGCATTCCAGATTGAAATTCCTCTTAATAATTTCATCTTTTGTACTATTGATATAATGTCATGGTGTGTGCTACTTATATTGACATAAGTAGTATATAACGCGAGTCAGGAATATAATGTCTGGCAGCGGAAGATTGAGATGATCAAGAAGAGAAGAATGGGAATAGAAAGCAATTAGTATGGAAATGCAGGAACAATGGAATTCGGGACAATTCATGAACATTTCGCAAATTAAGTATTAGAGTATGGTTTTGCTATTTTACCAAGTTCTCCTCCTTCTCTACAACGTGACAACTTGGACTGACGTACAGTTGTATTAGTCTCTACGCTTAGTTATAACTGACACTTACAACCTCATAAATTACATAACAAGATTATAATTATATACTAACTAGTGAGAATCCATCTTGAATCTCTATAGGGAACTTATGTTCGATAAAGGGTTCACAACTGTAACTGATACATTGATTTCTATTCTAGTTTCATGTAGAATGCAAAATCTTAATTTGTCATAGTTTTGAACGTTGAAAAGTTGAAACAAAATGATAAAGCTAATTAGTTCATTTTACTTCTAAATGTATTTCAATGTAGACGGGTATATGTTGTATGTCAAGCTTAACATGTTCATTTATCTATTTCTGCAGATGATATAAAACTTTGATTCCTTTGTTATTACACCATTATTTAATATTTTGTTGATTACTTAACCAATTTATTTGTTTTTTTTTTAAATCGCTGAATACATGAGTCGATTCTAGCTAGACTACCATTAAAAACCTGGAAGCACTGGACGGCCGTTCAGTCTTTGTATGGGACTCCTAAGCAGTGGGCACTCATGATTCCCCAGGCGGGTATCGAACTCAGGACCTTCGCCCTCGTGCGCGAATACCTCTAGACTACTGATCCGGCACCAGACTGTGGTAATGTCTACCTTTAGTCGCTCCATGCTCTTGCACAATTATTCATCCATTGTCTGAGATAGATACCTGTCTCAACTCGACATGGATTGCATTCCACTGGTCACGACTTCTCATTAGAACTGCAGGAAATGTGTCTCGAAGCCAGTCACTAGTGAACATATGACGAATAATATCAGATTGTAGTGACTTTAATAGTCGAGTCCCGCATGCATGATCGTGGATGCGTACTACTGAGGAGTCCTATAGTAGGACGAGACGGCCGTTGATTGCTTCCAAGTTTTCAATAATGCTTTAGCTTAGATCGACTCATGACTTCAACTACTAAAATCACTACAATCTCCACCCCCCATTTTATTATTTCTTTTTGTTAATTTTTAATCTTTTATCCCCAGATTTCACATAATCTTTTTTATATTTATAGGTTTTGCTAAATGAAATCATATTGACATTTACTGTAAATATTTTATGTAAAAAATCTATGAACCATACATCATCCATTGCACATTTATTGATCAATCCAAGTTTATTACGCTGTCTTATCTTATTCGGTTCACAATCATTCTGGTATCCTTCATCGAAACAACAACAACAGCAATCTGGATTTGGTACTCAGAATTCAACTCATCTTTCTAAATCAACAAACAAATCAATTTTATTTAATTATGGTTTAATACCTGGAATATTTGAATTATTAATGAATATTAATGAATTGTCAAATTCAACTATAATCATTATCAAATTATATAATTTGTCTATATTAGATAATGGCAATTAATTATGGCAATGTTGACTGGATTTCGAGTTAGTTTGATTTGAATATAATAATGACTATTATTAATGGTTTGTGGAGATTGATGAATTTGGTGATTTATATCTCAGATCAATGTTTGTAAGACAAGTATTAAAAAATTAAGACGTTATTTCATCCTAGTATAATATTCTTAAACAATTGAGTTATGAGACCTTCAGGTTTCACTATCCTTGAAGGATGGGTGGACATTTTTGAGGAATTATAGACTAGGATGAAATAGATATTCTCCGCTTCCTATTGTTCAATGGTTGTTTTATGAAGATCAATTCGACTTATACATTAGAAAATTGGTAATAATTTGGAAGTCGTGTGGATTTTTCTAGTTAATTTTGTAAACGATGTTTACTCTGTAATGATTAATTTTTTACCACTTTCAGTATTGGTTTATTGTGTACCTCAATGTCATGTTTCTGTTACTACATATACTGAGCTTGAGTATTTGGTCTTTCTTCTACTTTATCGTGTTCGTGTGCTAGCGGTATCCAGACGACGTTTTTAGTTATTTATTTAAACACATTAATATCGTTACAAGGAGGTACCAAAAAGATATGCATCACATAAATCATTCGGTTTATGTGAGGTCTGGGATACTGCCCGGGTGCTCAAAACCGAAGTAGGTGGTTTACTTAGAGAGACACCTCCAGAGCCTTCAACCTAAAGATTTAATCCACAAGGTAGTGGAGAAACATTAGGAGATGCATTCTCATGTTAGCCGGTGATCGACGATTGCTTTGTACGCCATTTTTTCTTTCAGGAAACTGGAGCCCATGTGCACCATTAGTTTGGAATCAGGGTTTTCCTACTCCTCTAGGTAGATCCTCCGTATCCACCAACCCCATTAAAGCATCGGATATTCGTTTTTCATCCTTTCAGTTTCGTAAACAACAGTATCGCCGCGAGAATGCAGTGAGTAGGACTTTCCTGGTAGTGTTTGTATGCACGAGGTCATGTAAGAGCGCTTCGAGAAGAGGGCTAACTTTCCCCACTCTCTGCCTTACCAGGGCATTTGGGGGCAAATTCACACTCACGGCAGGACCTGAACCGCAATTATCATAGATCAACTGAAAACCCCGATGGACATAGTCGATCCTATCAAGATTGAATGTATTCTTTGTTGTTCTTGTAATTTCTCAAAATTTCTTTCGTTTTGTTTACGCTTCATTTTTTTCACAGGAATTGTTCCTAGAAAATGATAATCATCATTCAATGCAAAGAACATTAATGAGTCATGAACATTTGAGATGTATAACACAGCAGTGGCCAATTACTTCATTGATGAATTGTCTGATAAATCGTCTTTCATTATCCGTAGTGACAAATGAGCCGAGTAAAACTGGAGCAACCTTAGAATCAATACATAGACAGTCATTGTATAATAATAATAATACTGATTATATTCATTCATTTTATTGTGCAAAACGATTATGTCTATTGAATTTATGTCGTTTAATTATTAATTTAGATGCTAATATGTATTTATCTGCAGCTGAACAAGTATTTTATACTATGTCAGATTATAATAACGATGATGATGATCCCGATCATAAGAGTAATATTGATCATCAATTATTTATACATAATGATGAGTTAGAAACTAAAGTGTCAACATCAACATCACCATTATCCATGTCTACATCACAAATATCATTATCAACATTAGATAATGATTATTTATTTTGGCATAAAATTACACGAAAGTGTTTAAATTATACGGAACGTTTAAAATTTTGGGAATACTTATCATTTAATCATAATAAAGTGATAGGTAATAGTGATAACAGTACTGAAGGCAAATGTGAACGTATGTTTATTCGTTTTTTTTCAGTCAAGTTACTAGTTTTATTCCATTTTGCACTCATCAGTGGTCTTGAGTGCTGTTAGACGTATGAGGCCGGTTGCTCACACCGTGGAAGGGTTCTTCTGGAGGTTAGCTCCGTACTTGTTGAGACCTTACCGCCACAAACGGATATCCGTGGGATAAGGCGAGGTGTGCATTTCAAAGGTTGATCTTTTCTAATCCCACCCCTCCTTGTAGGAAGGCAGCATTGCTGTTATGTTGGCTGTCTGTAGAAAAAAATTGACTGCCGTCACACTTCTGTACTGTCAGCAGTACGACTTCGCCCTTAGACCTTGGTTTGCTGCTTTTAGTCTTACCGCTCTTCAACCGACCTGTCCGTAATTTTAGGACCTTGAGAAACGGTTGTCCCAGCCAGTATAGTTCGATTGGTTCAACACGATAGGCAAGCCCGACCACCATGTCAAGGTAGCAACAACGGTTAGCGTAGGTGTATATATACACTCTCTATTGTCCCTTAGACTGTGAGATTAAAATCGCTTCATATCTTTCTACCTACTATTTCTTTCTTCCTGTACTATATCCTTATTGCAATCTTTCTTTTATATATTACCACTATTGAACTAACTATTTCTATGAATCCGGTGTCCATCTTGTTGTGTTAATGAGGTATGTTAACTTGGATCAATGCACATATATGCCCAGCCGATGCCCCTTCTAACAACCAGAGCAAAAATTTTTATAGGTACATGGAACGTTCGAACAATGTGGGAAACCGGGAAGACCAGTCAAATAGCAATGGAAATGAGGAGATACAACTTAGCAGTACTGGGAATCAGCGAAACCCACTGGACCCAAGCTGGACAGAAAAGGCTAGCTACGGGAGAGATGCTGCTATACTCCGGTCACGAGGAGGACAATGCTCCACACACTCAGGGAGTCGCTCTTATGCTGTCCAAAGTAGCACGAAATGCACTTGTAGGATGGGAGTCTCACGGATCCAGAATCATCAAAGCATCATTCAAAACAAAGAAGGAGGGGATCTTAATGAATATTATCCAATGTTATGCACCCACCAATGATAGCAACGACGACATTAAAGATCAGTTCTACGAGCGGCTGCAGTCAATCATTGAGAAATGCCAAGAAAGGACCTAACTATTCTGATGGGAGATCTAAATGCCAAAGTCGGAATAGACAACACTGGATATGAAGATATTATGGGACGACATGGACTGGAGAAAGAAACGAAAATGGAGAAAGATTTGCAAATCTATGTGCATTCAACAAATTGGTCATAGGAGGCACAATATTTCCACACAAGCGTATACACAAGGCTACATGGATCTCACCGGACCACACTACAGAGAACCAAATAGATCATATTTGCATCAACAAAAAATTCCGAAGGACAATGGAAGATGTGAGAACCAGGAGAGGTGCTGACGTAGCTTCAGATCACCACCTAGTTGTAGCCAATTTAAAACTGAAGCTAAAAAAGAACTGGACAAGTGGACAAACAGCACTACAAAGGTTCAATACAGCCTTCCTTCGAGATACTGACAAACTCAATGAATTCAAGATAGCTCTCAACAACAGGTTCCAAGCCTTACAAGATCTACTGAAAGAAGAAGAAACTACTATGGAGGACAACTGGAAAGGCATCAAGGAAGCATTAACTTCAACGTGTCAAGAGGTTCTGGGCCTAAAGAAACACCATCATAAGGAATGGATCTCTATAGAAACACTGGACAAGATCAAAGAAAGGAAGAACAAGAAGGCAGCAATTAACAACAGCCGAACACGAGCAGAGAAAGTCCAAGCACAAGCTGAATACATAGAAGCAAACAAACAAGTGAAGAGGAGCATTAGAGCCGACAAGAAGAAATACGTGGAAGAACTAGCAACGACGGCAGAAAAAGCTGCTAGAGAAGGAAATATGAAACAGCTTTACGATACAACGAAGAAACTAGCAGGGAAATACAGTAAACCAGAGAGGCCGGTCAAAGACAAAGAAGGCAAGCCAATCACCGAAATTCAACAACAGCGTAACAGATGGGTGGAATACTTCGAGGAACTCCTGAATAGGCCGGCTCCAATGAATCCACCGGACATCGAAGCAGCACACATAGATCTTCCTATAGATGTCAACCCACCAACGACGGAAGAAATTAGAATGGCCGTCAGACAAATCAAGAACGGGAAAGCAGCAGGACCCGACAACATACCAGCTGAAGCACTGAAATCAGACATCGAAGCAACCACAAGCATGCTTACCTTCTATTCAAAAAGATTTGGGAGGAGGAACAAGTGCCGATGGACTGGAAAGAAGGACACCTCGTCAAGATTCCAAAGAAAGGAGATCTGAGCAAATGTGAAAACTACAGAGGCATTACACTACTGTCAATACCAGGGAAAGTCTTCAACAGAGTGTTGCTGAACCGGATGAAGGATGCAGTAGACGCCCAACTTCGAGATCAACAAGCTGGATTCCGTAAGGATCGGTCGTGCACAGACCAAATTGCAACACTACGGATCATCGTCGAACAATCAGTTGAGTGGAACTCATCACTATACATCAACTTCATTGATTATGAAAAGGCATTCGACAGTGTAGATAGGAGGACATTATGGAAACTTCTTCGACACTACGGAGTTCCTGAGAAGATTGTCAACATTATCCGGAACTCATACGACGGACTACAGTGCAAAGTAGTGCATGGAGGACAGCTGACAGATGCATTCCAAGTAAGGACTGGAGTCAGACAAGGCTGTTTACTCTCTCCCTTCCTCTTTCTTCTGGTGGTCGACTGGATTATGAAGACCTCGACATCTGAAGGAAAACACGGAATACAATGGACAACTCAGAATCAATTAGACGATTTGGACTTCGCAGACGACCTAGCCCTCCTATCACGTACACACGAACAGATGCAGATGAAGACAGCCAGTGTAGCAGCAGTCTCTGCATCAGTAGGCCTCAGCATACACAAAGGGAAAACCAAGGTCCTCAAATTCAAAGCGGAGAACAGCAATCCAATCACTCTTGATGGCGAAACTCTGGAAGATGTAGAGTCCTTCACATACCTAGGAAGCATCATCGATGAACAAGGAGGTTCAGATGCAGACGTAAAGGCGAGGATCGGCAAAGCAAGGGTCGCATTCCTACAATTGAAGAACATATGGAACTCAAAACAACTTTCAACCAATATCAAAGTGAGAATCTTCAATACGAACGTCAAGGCAGTTCTACTGTATGGAGCTGAAACTTGGAGAACTACAACAACCACAATCAAGAAAGTACAAGTATTTATAAATAGCTGCCTACGCAAGATACTCAACATCCACTGGCCGGATACCATCAGCAATAGCCTTCTGTGGGAGAGAACAAACCAACTTCCAGCTGAAGAAGAAATTAGGAAAAGACGATGGAAATGGATAGGACATACATTACGCAAATCGTCAAACTGCATCACGAGGCAAGCCCTAACTTGGAACCCTGAAGGGAAGCGAAAAAGAGGAAGGCCAAAGAACACATTGCGTCGGATTATAGAAGCAGATATGAAAAGGATGAATTACAACTGGACGGAGCTAGAAAGGATTGCCCAGGACAGGGTTGGATGGAGAATGCTGGTGAGTGGCCTATGCTCCTTCACGAGGAGTAACAGGCGTAAGTAAGTAAGTAAGCTACGTTATAGCTGATTGACTGTCTTACACTTACCAACCGAGTCACACGTACACGTATTTTGAATGTATTAATTACTATACTAAAGTTACCACTTTTTAATTTATTATGTAGCTCAAATTTCATTTAAATACAAACATCAAGATTGTTCATTTAAGTGTTCCATTATGTATGAAAAAAAAAACAAAAAGAACAACTTCAAATCCGTTTAAGACAAGAAAAAAACATACAATAAATGTAGTTAGAAACGTAATTAAATCAATAATGTATAATGTATAGCTCTGTAATCCAATTTGTTGTATTCCTAATTAGAATGCAAATATTTAATTACATTTAGATCAGCCTAATACGTATATATAATACAATAACAAGTGAATGATTTATGTTGATTAACCCGATGATAGAATAAATTGTCTTATAAGTTTATTCAAATCATATTACAGTAGAAGTCACTAACTTCTAGACTGAGCCATGTTGATAAATGCAAACTACTTGGTAGATGCAGACTACTCGGTTGGGGTACGCGTGACTACCGCAACAAATGGTTGGAGACTGTGGGCGACATGACTCAGAATCGATCACAATGGTGTAGGTGTATACACTCTCTGTCTTCCCTTAAACTAAGAGATTAAAATCACTTCATATCTTCCTTTCTACGTACTCATTCTTTCTTCCTGTACTATAATCCTTATTGCAATCTTTCTTTTATATATTACCACCATTGAATTAACTACTTTTATGAATTCGGTGTTCATGTTGTTGTGCTAACGAAGTATGGCATCTTGGACTGATGCATATGTGTGCCTGGTCGTACGTTGTAGCTAACTGACTGACTGATAGTAAAAATCTTAGTTGGCATTACACACATTTTTACTTCATCGATTAAAAATAACAAAAATACTTGATTTTAGGTATTTTCAGACAGTATCTTGTATTTAAGTGTTTCTATAATAGTAAACCTTGTGAAATGAGTGCGAATCAAGCCTGATAGTCATTAGACTGTAAGTGGCCTACAAAATATCTAGTTACTTATGATATCCAATCATATTTATTGTTCAGTTGATAATTCTGAAAGAAACATATTAGATTTTAAAAGAACCTGTTCGTTTTGCTAGTTGTCTTGTCTTTAAGGGCTTGTGTCAATAATAATTCGCTATCGTACGTAGACATTAGTTATTATTTTCATCGACCACCATTCTATTTTGTCATTACCACAATTACATTTTTCATTCACTATCGAACTCTAGTGAATGATAGGAACAATTGGTTGTGATTATTCAGGCTTTCTCGTCGTTTTCTTAAGTGTACTGTATCCTTCACTTTTGGACACTTTCCTGTTTTTTTGTGGATGAGTAGTAGTGCATAAAAGAGTGTAATTATTACTGGAGGTTTCACTTACAATCTTAATTTTCAGTATATTTTTGTGTGTCATTTTGTACGTTTAGATGCGCTAAACTGACTTGTTCATAGCAGATATATATATATATATATATATATATATATATATATATATATATATATATATATATATATATATTCAGTGAAAATTATACTCCCAAATTTAGTATTCACCTACTAAATGAACGGAACATATCTAAAGATACCGAATTCTGCAAACTTATTGAACATTGGAAAATACTCGAATAACTTTAGTTTAACAGAATTTATTATTTTATGGTTGGATTAATGAATCAATTGAAGCCAGATCACCATGGAATACCTGGAAGCACTGGATGGCTGTTTCGTCCTAGTATAGGACTCCTCAGTAGTGCGCATCCACGATTTCGCCTCACGAGATTCGAACCCAGGACCTATCAGTCTCGCGCGCGAGCACTTAGCCTCCAGACCACTGAGCTGGTTGGCATCCAACGATGCCAATGTCTAACTTCAACCAATCCACGAAATCGCGCCACCGTCCACCATCGTCATCAGTGAATTACTATCTCACAACAGACCTGGTCCCGTACTAGGACGAAACGGCTGTCCATTACTTCCAGATTTTTCATGGTGGTCTAGCTTCAAATGACTCATGAATTCAATTATAAAATTACTTAAATCTCCACGAAATCCTTTCACATTGTATTATCGCTACTAACTATTCATTTCTGCATATATTTCAAATAATAAAATTGGTATTGTAATTTTTTCTTTGGTTTGTTTAAGTCATTCAAACTTCATTTGAAAAAAATTCATCTAAACTTTTAATTGATTCTTCTACATCATATGATATTACTCGAACACAAACACAAAATTTAAGTAATACTGAAGATAATCAAATTAAAGCAGCAGAAATTCAATCTAATCACTGTCAATCATTGTCATCATTATCATCATCTACATCGAAACAACAACACCAACAAAAAGAACAATTGTCAAGTAATGAAGGCTACCAATTGAACACGATTGAATCTATAAAGTATCCAATGGTTATTTCAGATTCCGGTGTAAGTATATCATCTTTACCGGTTAGTAGTGTTGATCTAATAAATGTAGAAAAGGATGTATGTCATATATGTGAAGGTTAGTTAGTTTTGATTGTTTATCTTTAATTATTCATTTATAATTTATTAATCACTTAATAACTGTTAACCAATCTCTTAATATTCATGAATTCTAAGCTAATTTCCTTGATACTGGTAGTGTAACAAGTTTGTGTGTGATTGGTTAAATAACTTATCGGTTATTTCAATTCATTAGCTCAATGTAGGATGCATTGTATGGTTAGAGTGAAAGGTAATGGGAAGCAGGAATATTCAGCTAATGAGTCCTAATTAAAATGAAACACAAATTTTGTACTCCATTGCTAACTGCATGCTAAATATACTAAAAAGAATAACATTTGAAACATGAGGAGAATATAGTATTGATAAATGATTTCATAATTCTAAGCAAATCACTACTCTCAGTGTATAATCGATTGTAAATAGCTTAGTCCTACAGGAAGTCAGTGATTATCTGAATAACTTAGTGATAACTTTTAAGACTGTCAAGCTGGATGGTGAGCTTCGACGTTCTGAAAAGTACATGAATTCACTTAGGTTTACAAGGATTTCTTGCTGATGAGTACCAGCTCACACGAAACTTAGTCCCATGGTGACGTGACAAGTAACATGATACCGATAACCACTCATCAATCAATCAATTGTAGATATTGAGAAAAACACCTCTAACCTAGTTTCGTTCATAAAAATTCAATTCTCTTTGGTCTTAAATGTTGAGTAATGAAAAGAACATTGAGATTTTCAGAATACAATTAACTTATCATTCCGTTTTGAGACTTTTCATCAATTGAAGGGACACATAAATGTCAAAATAGAAGTAAATGACTTTATGTTTTGATTATCACATAACATTAAAATCATTACGTAATAAGAAGTGTGTAAATAATTAGATAATGAAGAATACAAACGAAAAGATCAAGCAAATACAGGATGTGAAGCTAGACTACCATGGAAAACCTGAAAGCATTGGACGGTCGTTTTGTCCTAGTATGGGGCTCCTCAGCAGTGCACATCCACTATCCCGCCCCCACGAAATTCGAACCCAGGACCTATCAGCATATGGATGAAACGGTCATCCAGTGCTTCCAGGTTTTCCATTGTGCTCTATCTTCAATTGACTCATGATTTCAACTATTGAAAATAATAATTATTAAAAAAGGGCGTTTAAGTTATATCCGGCCATGAAAAGGATTGGGGGGGGGTGGTCACGGATTTCTTCTATACACATAAATTGGGGTTAAATATATAAATTCTGATGGCTTCATCTGTATGTAGGAGATGAGATCGAACTCTTTTCGAAAATCATAAAGGTATATGGTAGATCGCTCGAAATGTTTGATTGTTCTACAGAATCTCCCTTTGTCCTGACGTTGTTTTACTAATCTTTTCATCCTATTCTAGTTTTCTCTTCTTTTTTTTCTTTCTTTACGTTATAGATAATGAATCCATTCCTACAAAACATATTCAAGAAGAATTAAATAATTTCATTGAAACTGATTATACTACTAATAAATATATATTAAATTGTGTTCAATTACGTATTGAACAAAATAGTATATTTTCTAAACATTTAATTCATTGTTTAAATCTTGTTTGGTATAGACATTTTCCAATTGAATTATTATCAAAGTTTATTTCAAAGATAAGCTGAAACGAAATATAATCAAATTCTATAACAATAATGAGATGGATGGAGAGAAGAAGGAGGAGAAGGACGACGTCGACGACGACGAGGAGGAGGAGGAGCAGGGGGATAAACATGAAGGATTTATTAATGTTTTCACAAAAAATATTTCACATTCAAATGATTGGAATCTATATAAATTGAAATCAACTTATCCTTTATTATTAGATCATGTTAATAGTAATTCATTAATTGCATCACATTGTTCTACTTCAATTCGACCACCTTTATGGTTGATTTATAGTTTAATACGACATCCATATTTATCTCAACGTGAATGTGTAAGTATTTATTGTATTATTTTATATCGTAATAATGAGAATTCATTGTGGAACTGTGACACTTAAGTTTCATTTTGTTCTATATCAGTTATAGAAGTTGCATGGGTGACACTATAATTCATGTACGACATTTTAGCCACGCTGAACTAACCTTGAAGGTGTTCACCTAATAGGTTTGAATTATTTTTTCTGGTTAGCGTTTTTTTAGCGAGTTAGTTTTCTACGGGATGGGGACGCTAACCCCATGCCCAACCCTCCTCCTTTATCCGTGCTTGGGACCGGCAGTAGCCCCGGAGGGACCAAATGATGGTTATAAACCTGTGTGAGGAATTAAAATTAGGATTAAGGGTTTTCATCGCGAATTGACATTAGTTGTAGTGCCGAAAATCTATTTAACCAAATGGATGAATGAATTTCGCGCCAAAATCCAAGACCTGTTTTCTTATACGTGATTGGTTCGTCCATAAATTATAGTCTCGCCGTTGCATGGGTATCAAAAATTTGGCTTGAAAAGTATTGCTCAAAGCCAGTTGTAAATAAATGTACTTTGATTATGAATAATTTTATTTTTATTATATTTATAAATGTTGATTTATCCCCACCAAATCTGCTGCTTTTAAGTGATAGTCTGGTTCACCTATCACTATGACTGAATTGAGCTAAACTGGTTGGAACACGATCAGAGTTATCTATTCTGTGACTGGATTTCTTTAAAAATGAAATATACTAATTAATTTCGAATCTGATTGAACTATATCGACAAAGTTACAATGTGGTCGTTATTGTTAAGATCATAATTCTACTCACACGATATTTACATGTTAAGTTGTTGGAAACAATCTAATGAAAGTCCTTGAATTATTTACATTATACTGTCCACTCAGGGGAGAGTTCATTAGTGTATCTTTGAATTGAAAGCGTTCAATAGCTATCGTGGATATATTATATGCAACCAAATTTTCCGTTAGTGAAAGATGAAGTCACTTGGTTCTATACATACGCTTTAACATCGCAATAATGCTAACATCATATTCCTATTGAGCTTAAAAGTTCTCATATGTTCATAGACACCCATTCATTGAAAGGGAAGAAAGGTGGGACAAATCTAATTGGTTTAAAATTCATTTTGGATCCTAATCTCAAATCAGTGTACGTGGTAGTTAACCGTACTCCTGTGCATCATAGCCTTTCAGTTGTCAGTTTTACAGCATACCGAAGTGCATACAGCACATATGACATTTAGAAGTGTTCACTAATTTTGATAAGAGATGATGTAAAAAATATATATCTGAGAGGCGTTTCGTGGATATTATAGTAATTTATTAGTTGAATTCATGTGTCAATTGAAGCTAGACCACCATTTAATGCCTGGAAGCACTGGATGGCTGTTTCGTCCTAGTATAGGACTCCTCAGTAGTGCACATCCACGATTTCAGATCTGAAGATTCGAACCCAGGACCTATCAGTCTTGCGCGTGAGCACTTAGCCACTAGACCACTGAGCTGGTCGGCATCCAACGGTGTTATTATCTGACTTCAACCAATCCACGAATTTGCGCCACCGTCACCATCGTCTTTAGTGAGTCACTGACCCACAACAGACCTGGTTGAACTCCACTGTTCACTGCTTCTCACTAGAAGTCCAGAATATACATCTTGAAGCCAGTTACTAATGAGCATATGCACAATTGCTCATTATTAAGGAGTCCCACAATAGGACGAAACGGCCGACCAATACTGCCAGATTTTCCATGATAGTCTAGCTTCAATTGATTCATGAATTTTATTCATATATCTGTTCACTATTACTTATTTTATCTTCTCATTAAAGGCTCTTACCGGTTACTGTGTTTGGTTACATTTTGAAGCTAATAAATGGATAAAAAAATGTGAACAATTATCAACCAATTTCAGTCAATCTATGTACTTTGATTGGTCTATTCCTGCAACAACATTACATCATCATGATCATCATCCTACTGCTAATACTACTAAAAATACTACTAATACTACACAATTGCATAGAATTATACCATATCAATTATCAAGAATACGTTTCATTTGCTATAGGATTATTATTACCAACATTACCATTTCTATGTATAGCAAATTGTCATTCAGATATTGATCTTAAGACTTATTATTCTAATCGTCATTTATGTTCTAAAAAATTATTAAATCGTTCATTAGGTTTAATTTTACATGGATTAGAAAAATTTTCATTCATGAATTCTAATGAAATAATAATAGTGAATAAATATTTTATGGTAAGATTTATGAATTATATATGTGTATTGATCAATTTGTATTGATTATTGGATTTATCATTTTGATAAGATTATCATTTATGAACAATTTTGAAGAGAGATGATAATGAAAGATCATGAGAATATCCATGTACAGTCAGTCAGTCAATCACAACGTAGGACTTCGTACGTACGTACGTACGTACGCATATCAGTTCGAGTTGCCATACCACATTAACACAGAGATGCAGTTCTCCATTCAAATCCCGTAGTGGTAGAGGCGGTAAGAGTATAATCAGTAATCTGAAAGATTGGGGTTCGAGGATGTTATTCAAGGAGTATAATCAAGTTAGGTAAATTTGGAAAGAGAAAATAAAGAAAGGGATATGAGGAATTCAGAAGACTAGAATTTAGGCGAACACAAAGAGTAGATGCACAGGTGCCATTGCAAACGATTTTGAGCCATGTCATTCAGGGTCTCTAACCATCGGTTTCTATCATCTCCCCTTGTCCTCAACCAGATAGTCTATACCTACCAACATGACTCACTCTGTGCACTTGTCAGTGACTTCATGGACTTGTGTCCGTTCTGTTTTAATTTACGGCAGCGAAACATGGCCCTTAAGAGTAGAAGACACCCGTAAGCTACTAGTATTTGACCACAGATGCCTTAGAAATATTGCTGGCATCTGCTGGGATCACCGGGTAAGTAATAGTGAGGTTAGACGCAGGGTATTAGGGAATGATGGTAAATCAGTTGATGAGGTTATGAATCTTCATCGACTGAGATGGTTGGGCCACGTATTACGTATGCCTGAACACCGATTACCGCGACGTGCAATGCTAACCGGTGTAGGGGATGGTTGGAAGAAAGTTAGGGGCGGCCAAACCAAAACGTGGCATCAGTGCTTGAAGACACTAACTTCTAGTCTCAGCCATGTTGGTAGATGCAGACTACTTGGTTGGGGTCCGCGTGACTTTCGTAACCAATGGTTGGAGACCCTTGGTGACATGGCTCAGAATCGATCACAATGGCGTCGGTGTATACACTCTCTGTCTTCTCTTAAACTAAGAGATTAAGATCACTTCACATCTTTCTTTCTACGAACTAATTCTTTCTTCCTATACTATATCCTTATTGCAATCTTTCTCCTATATATTACCACCTTTGACCTAACCACTCCTATGAATCCAGTGTTCATCTTGCTGTGCTAATGAGGTATGGCAACCTGGGCCGATGCATACATGTGCCTGGTCCTACGTTGTAGCTGACTGACTGACTGACTGTCATATTTTGCTCTGGTCAATATCCATGTACATATTATGATCAATTCAGTACTATAAACCACTGTGGAGAATTAAGATTATTATTTACAGGCGAAAATCGTGAAATCTTTCACTTATCTAGAAAGCATCATCGATTAACAAGAAGGATCAAAAGCAAATGTAAAAGCGAGGTTTGGAAAACCAAGGACAGCATTCCTACAATTGAAGAACATATGGAACTTAAAACAACTGTCTGTCAACCAATATCAAAGTCACAATCTTCAATACGAACATCAACACACTCAGTACTACTGTATGCAGCTGAAAATTCGAGAAACACTACAACCATCATCAAGATCGTACAAGTATTTATAAATATTTGTCTACGCAAAATACTCAACATACATTCACCGGATACCATCAGCAACAGCCTGCTGTGGGAGTGAACAAACCGGCTTCCGACTGAAGAGGAAATTAAGAAAACCGATGGAAATGGATAGGAAATACATTACGCAAATCATCAAACTGTATCATGGAACAAGCCTTAACATAAAATGCTAAAGGGAATCGGAAAAGTGGAAGGCCAGAGAAAACATTACGTCATGAAATAGAATCAGGTATAAAAAGGATGAATAAGAACTGAAAAGAGTTGGAAAGGATCGCCCAAGACAAGGTTGGATGAAGAGTGCTGGTGGGTGGTCTATGCTCCTCCACGAGGAGTAACGATCGTAAGTAAGTAAGTTTACAGTTGATAGTTAGGGTTAGGAATTAAATTTAGGGTTTTCATCATGAACTGACATCACCTTTAATATCAAAATTCTACTTAGCCAAATAGACAACTTAAATTTGCGCACAAAATAATGATCTTTAATCGCAAGTCTGATTGGTTCGTCCACAAATCATAGTTTTGCCGAGATTCTTTCTGATTATATAAGTTTCTCGCAGGTGTTCATAGATTTCTTTGAGGCTTTTTTCGAGTATATATTAATGTTTCAAAGTGAATTATTCTGAAGTTTGATGTAGGGTTCTAGATAACTATGATAAATAATGTTTTTTAGGATGTGAATTATCATCAACTCCGGTCAGATTTTCTTACTTAATGATGATAGTTTATATCATAGAAACGGATCTCCCATATATTACTGCCGAATAACAAAGACCATTGAAAAACTGTTTAATCCTAACTTGGCACTCTTCATCAGTGCTCTATACAATTCCACCCAGGATCGAATGTAGGGCTTTTAGGTTTTGATCCTAGTGTATTTTCGTTAAACCATTTTGTCGGGATATAACACTGCATATTACCGAATCCAGGCAGTTTTCAATTTTGTCGATATCAATACCGCCTAAAAAAAGATCTATATATGTATTGTCAGTTTATTTCTTTACGTTATTATTTTTTCTTTTTGCTTACAATTATAGAAAACTAATTGTTTATTAGAATCTTCTTCGCATGATGTAACTGGATTTATCTCTGAACCAACTTACATTCATCATGCTCATCATCAGTGTCATCATCACCATCCTATTATCTCTGTTGAATTTGAAAATATTATCAACCATGCAAATAATAATTCAAATGTCAATAATGCGAGATATGATCAATTGCCAGCTAATAAAAATGCTACTACCACTACTGCTCCTAATACTACCACTACTATTATTGCTACTACCACTGCTACTACTACCACTGCTACTACTACCACCACTACTACTGCTACTACCACTTCTACTACTACTACCACTACTACTGCTACTGCTACTACTACCACCACTACTACTACTACTACTACTACCATCACTGCTAGTAACAATAATAATAACCGTTGTAATAATCCTAATTTTCATAAATATTATCTATTATCTACATTTCCAGTGTTATTTTCAACATTGATTGGTAGTTTCATTGATGCATTAATAAGCTGTATTGTTAAATTAAAAATAATTAATCATACAAAGTTAAAATCTGATCAGAAAGATAATAAAGATGATCATCACAAAGGAAATCATTGTAGTTCTTCTACGGCTACTATCAATAATGACGATAATGATGCTGATGATGAAACCAGTACACCAGAGATTGATTTATGTACTTACGGTTTAGATGCTTTCATTATTTTATTACAGGTTAGTTTATGTATATGTTTGTTTGTTTGTTTTTTGAATTATTATGTATTCATTTGATTACAGTTTATGCTGAATATTCATGAAACAGTCAGTCAGTCAATCACAACGTAGAACTTCGTACGTACGTACGTACGCATATCAGTTCGAGTTCCCATACCACATTAGCATAGAGATGCAGTTGTCCATTCAAATCCCGTAGTGGTAAAGGTAGTAAAAGTATAAACAGCAATCTGAAAGATTAGGGTTCGAGGATAATATTCAAGGAGTATAATCCAGTGAAATAAATTTGGAAAGAGAAGAAAAGAAAGGGATATGAGGAATTCAGAAGACTAGAATTTAGGCGAACACAAAGAGTAGATGCACAGGTGCCATTGCAAACGATTTTGAGCCATGACATTCAGGGTCTCTAACCATCGGTTTCTATCATCTCCCCTTGTCCTCAACCAGATAGTCTATACCTACCAACATGACTCACTCTGTGCACTTGTCAGTGACTTCATGGAATTGTGCCGTGTTTTAGTCTGACCGCCCCTAGCTTTCTTACAACCTAATTCTATACTATAGTACATTGCACGTCGAGGCAGTCGGTGGTTGTGTATACGTAACGCATGTCCCAGCCATCTCATCAGATGAGATTTCACTACTTCATCAATTGATTTGCCATCCTTACCTAGTACCCCTTTCCTAACATAAATGGGTCTACTCAATAACCCTCCAAATATATAAGTAGGTCGTTATATAGTACTAAGTTTAGTTTATAGGTTTTTGCAATTACCTTCTGTATTCACTCAGTAGTTTATCTATAGCCGCGTCTTTATATTCTCTTCTTTAAATTGTTACCTCTACTTGGCGCAAAATGAAGTGTCAAATTGTATTGTTCGGTTCGTAACCATTGTTAATGATGATATAGAAACCAACTAGGGCAGTTTGCAAAGTAATAGTACATTTGGGTTTCAGAATCCCAAGGCAAAGAATGGCGTAGGCATGTATATTGTTCACGGGTTATCTGATCACACTTTTAGGTGCAAAGCTCGATGACTGTTCCTCAACAAAAGAAACAATCTATTCCAGGTGTGGATTCTGGACAGTTTTTCATTCTTCATTTAAATAATGATGATTCCCTATGGAAATTTTGAATGATCCTCTCAACACATCAAGCCTCTCAGATCATAAAGATAAAACTTTCGAGTTATACTGTCTACATTGGTAATTTTCTATACAAAAATTGTATTCATTCTTTCTATTACAGAATCATCTTGTTAACAAAAGTGGTCAAATTCATTCTCCATTTTCTTTTTGAATTTCACATAGGATTCAGATAATTGTGTTCTTAGTTCGGCTATCAAATCTAATTTATTACCAGTATTATACAATATGGCTTGGTTATTGGAATTCGGTATCCATGAAGCTAATTCATTATTACATATGCATAATAATGATTATCATAACACTAATAGACCAATGTCTATTATTCCATCTCTCTTAATGCCTATTTTCACTAGTTTAAATCGTTTAATTGGTCGTGTAATTAGTTGGATGATAATGGATGAAAAATTCAGTAATGAATTAATTCCTTCATCTTGTCCTGTATTTCATTATTCATTGGATACATCATTACGATTTCAGTTGATAAGAACTTTTCTACAATATTTAGTTTCAATGAAACCTGATTTAAATAATGAAGATTATGATGGTTATGTTGTAAATTTGGAATCAGGTAAGTTACTATTAGATATTATCACTGTCGTTATTATTGCTGGATTTCTGTTTTGTTCTATGACTATGAAATACAATCGTTTAAAAATAGAGAATATTAGTATATTACTAGTGTTGGGATGCGATTCTCCACCTCGAAATGTAAAATGTTGATTCAGGATTGAGTTGCATTGACACCTGAACTAATGATAGGGAGTGGAGTAATTGAGCGTGTCGACCGCTTCACTTATCTTGGAAGTCTCATCAGCCCTTGTGGTCTGGTGTGTGACGAAGTCTCAGCACAGATACAGAAGGCTCAACTAGCTTATACCAACTTGCGTCATTTATGGCGTAGGTGAGATATCCGCCTATCAACCAAAGGACGTGTTTACTGTGCAGCAGTTCGTTCCGTCCTACTTTATGGCAGTGAGACATGGCCGGTAAGAGTAGAGAATATTCGTAGGTTCCTAGTATTCGATCATAGGTGTCTTCGAAACATTGCTCGTATATCATGGACCACCGAGTAAGTAACACAGTTGTTAGGAAACGGGTACTAGGTAAGAATGGCAAATCAATTGATGAAGTAGTGAAACTTCATCAGTTGAGATGACTGGGACACATGTTACGTATTCCAAACCACCGACTGCCTCGACGTGCAATGTACTATAGTATAGAATTAGGTTGTAAGAAAGCTAGGGGCGGTCAGACCAAAACACGGCACAAGTCCATGAAGTCACTGACAAGTGCACAGAGTGAGTCATGTTGGTAGGTGTAGACTATCTGGTTGGCGACCGCGAGATGATAGAAACCGATGGTTAGAGACCCTGAATGACATGGCTCAAAATCGTTTGCAATGGCACCTGTGCATCTACTCTTTGTGTTCGCCTAAATTCTAGTCTTCTGAATTCCTCATATCCCTTTCTTTTCTTCTCTTTCCAAATTTATTTCACTGGATTATACTCCTTGAATATTATCCTCGAACCCTAATCTTTCAGATTACTGATCATACTCTTACCGCCTCTACCACTACGGGATTTGAATGGAGAACTGCATCTCTGTGTTAATGTGGTATGGGAACTCGAACTGATATGCGTACGTACGTACGTACGAAGTTCTACGTTGTGATTGACTGACTGACTGACATTACTAGTGTTCGATCATTGATGCCTTCGAATACATTGTTCGAATTTCCTCAAAACCACTGTGATGATATCTGTTTTTGGTCTACCATACTAATGTTGAATATAAAGTACGAGGTAAAATTTCTAACTTACTTGACGTTGGGGACGTTAGATCCCCAGAACTCACTGGGGAAACGACCTAATTTTGTAATTTTATTTCGAAAATTTGAATTTTTTTGTTTTCACACCAAAGGCGTTCTTGTCACCTTCATGTCTTGTTTCCCACTGGGAAATATCTTAAATGCTATTGGTCTGTTGCGTCTTTTAGTATGCTATTTGGTAACTCTCCCCAAGGATGGTTTTGTACTGTATATTTACGTTTTGAATTGTTTTTATTGTTATCGCTCGTTTCTGGCTGTCTGCAGAATATACTTCCCCATTCCAAGCTTGGGTTTCTCCTTCTAGTTAGTGGGGCTGGGATGCATCAATAGCCAGCTTACTGGTCTTTGGTCACCGAGTCTCGTTTCTCGTTCGCAGATTAAGTGAACTTGTGATAGCTTCAACCCTAGCACTTGATCAAGTTGTAGATCTTCACTTATTAAGGTGGTTAAGACATTTATTACGTAATGCTTAATACCATCTGTCACGATGTGTAACGTTATGTGGCAGAGGAATACGTTGTAAGAAAGCTAGGAATGATCAAACCACTGAATAAAATCATTCTATAAAGTAATTAACTGCTGTCCTAAGCTATGTCGTAGGAATAGACCATCTGTTTTGTGTTTTTTTGGTGCGTTGTATTACATTGATTAGAAATGGTTTGAATCCTGCAGATGCACTCACATCTTATATTGTCTTAAATCTTAGGTTTCACAGTTATTTTATACCTTTTATTCTGCCGATCCCTTCTTCTTAAGTTCAATTTCTATCTAGAAATGAATTAAGATTTGTAATGAATTTATTCTATATATTTGATGCATTATAGAATGCTTTTAACCTAAATATTTAACAATATACAGTGAGGTATTACTTGAAGATTATTGGATGGTCATAATAATTTCATATTATAATTTTTCTCTTTCATTTTATTCTCAACTTCAGAAGTACAGTTGAATCCTGGACCAGTTAGTCGATGTCTTGTTCGTCGAGTTTTACATAGTCTTTTAGAAACTTCAGTTAGTCAGCTAGATCGAATTGGACAAGAACTTAACAAATCAGTAGCCTTTAGTCAACAAAATATAGGTAAACAACAAGAAAGTGAGTCTATCCAGGGGAAAGTTTTTTAAATATTTGAATCGACACCGGTACTTTACAATAAAATGTGAATTAGCGTTAGTACATGTGAAAACTATATATATATTCTATTTTATCGAGTTAGTGATTGATTGTAGTAGTACACTGTAGATAGCTCGAAATTAGCATAGCCGATGTTTCAAGAAGATGCAGGTATTCGTAAACAATTGTATACGTAAAATAATTAACATCTGTTGGCCAGAAACTATCAGGAACAACGTATTCTGGCAGAGAACATACCAGCTTTTAGCTTAATTGGGGATTAGCAAAAGACACTGGAGGCGGATAGGATACACATTACGGGAATCATCAAAACTGAACCACAAGACAGGCTGTTAAAGGGTAAAAGGAAAGAGGAAGACCAAAAGATACATTGCTTCGGGAATTCAAGGAAGACATCGGAATAATTAATAGCACTTATCAACAGTTTGGAAAGGGGACCCATCATATAGTAGGTCGATGATTTCTGATCGACGGTCTATGTATCACGAAGGGCAAGAGGCGTAAAGAAATAACTATATGACAAAGTCGTTGAAATATGACAGTGATGTAAATTATACCGGATAGAGGTTTCGATTGATCTTAGGTGTCCGTGAATCTTCATCGACTGATTTATTTAAAGCATATTTTACATCAATCCAGTCACCATGTATCCCTCACCATATGACTTCAGGTCATCAATTTATTGACTGTTATTTTAAACTGTAAAAACAGGTGAATGATTGTTGGTTGTGGTGTCTGTAAAATAATAATAATTTATACTTTTCAATAGTTTAATGACGTGACAGACTTGATCTACAAAATGTGCGATTTATCTCGAACAATCTGGTCACACATCTACTTATCATGCGATTTTATATCGAAACTAATGAAGATCAGTTAAATAAAATATCAAAGGAACCTAAATAGAGAAAAGAATAGAAAAGAGAGGTGCACAGAACAAGCTGTGAAACACATATGGAGAAATTCGAACACTTCACTTCTATCTGAAGTTTGTGCTGATGATGTCGTTCAGAAGAACGATGAAAGCTCCACAACCAAACCATCCAGCTCAGAGAACAAAACTCCACACAAGTTACAACTATTATATAGTTTTTGAGATGGTGGAGAAGATTTGTAGCTCAGGTGGATGATTTTGATGGAGTTTTGTTCTCGGAACTGGATGTTTTGGTCATGGAGCTTTCATCAACAATCTACAAGCACATTAAAATCGATCCAATTTATCAAGCATTCAGAAAAATTATACACAAACATAAAAAGAAAAATCAAACCAATATGAGATACAACCAAAACGAAGAACCAAACAATGACAAGTTTAAGGTCAACAAGAACCAATCCACATCGAGTTGTATAGGACAAGCTGTCAACCACATGTGGAGAAATTCGAACACTTCATTTCTATCTGAAGTTTGTGCTAATGATTTTATTCAGAAGAACGATGGAAACTCTACAATCAAACCTTCCAGCTCAGAGAACAAAACTCCATCACTATCATATAGTTATAAACACACTGATCAAATATATATGAGAATAACCAACATTTTTTCACTGTTCAATTAAAGTGAAATATCTAGGTTTTTCCAACACTTCCATTCATTGAGTATAATTTTCACTAGAGATTTCACTTGAATCATCTTCATAGGTCTTCTATGAACACAAAACGTTAATGTGTTTGTACTTCTTGAATGAAAAGAGCTTCAATTAAATTAATGAAAATGAATTCGTTTAATACGTAGCATTCACTTATCAAGTGAACGGAAAAAAGTGATAGATATTCCATACCTTATAAATATTGAAATTCAAATGGACTGCGATTCCATGAATGTAAATCTTATCCCTTAAACGTTATCAGAGCAAAATTAAAGTTTGAACACTAAAGATGTTTAAATTTTCTAGTGGCTTAGGCTTCCGTTAACCTAAGAATCCGTTCTCGGCTTTTCACATACAAAGTTTTAAATATTGTTTTAAGATTAATCCAATGTCTTGTTTCAACTATGCATCTATGTTGCCTGTGTTTATTGTATCTGACTCTAAGTTTTCATAAATTCATTTCATTAAGTATTTCATCACCCTTGAATAAATTCTGTGGTTTCTTTTCTCGATAAACATTTGTACACATCCACGTATGTTATTTGGTAAATGCGTCCGAATGTAATATAACAATATGTGATATTGAGTCCTATTTAGGACTGTGAGTTTAATTCTCTTAGTAACGACCAGCTATGCAGCGTGGTGTTTTCTCGATTGATACTTTCAGTCGTTACAGTTTGAGTAATTCATAGCTTAAATAAAAAAACTGATATTGGTTAAAGTGCCATATAAAACCTGGAACCATTAGGTGGTCGTTTTCGTCCTGGTATAGGACTCCAACAATGTGTATTTACGACCTTGTGTCCGAGATTCGAAGCTAGGATTCTTGGTCTTGTACCGGAATCAAATCGCGTACATCTTTGCCTTGAATCAATTGACGACAGTGTGCAAAACCCACCCACTCACTCTCTGCAGTGAGTAACTCTTTCAGCATACATGGTCATTTTTTACTGTTCCACCCTAAATAGAATTGTTAATTAGAAATAATTATTATTGGTATGGAGGGATTTGTCGACATTGTAAGTTTTTCATATCTTAGTTCATACTCGTCAGTTGAATTCCCAAATGCGGGGTCTTAAATGTACACTAATAGAAAGCCCCATACTAGAACGAAATGAGTTTCTATTGCTTCCAGGTTTTCAATGCTCGTCTAGGTAAGACCACTTTGTGATATAATCTGGATGATTGTACCGATTTTCAATGTTTCATTGTATTTGGGTTTTTCTTTCCCTTCCTCTTTCTCTGTTTTTCATTACTACAGATGATGTACAAACAACTACTGAAGATGGGAATGTTAAGTATCTTTGTGAAAATTTAAAATTACATTATAATCATTTAGTATGGATATTAAATTGTACTGTAAATGTACTGATTTATTCACGTATGTTTACCCATAATTATTGTTCATTTTTTTGGTTAGCTAAACTGTTTTTGATACGATTAGTTCATGATTTATTCAATAGCTACTTATTGTTATTCATAATAGTAGTATAGTGAACGAGAACACAAATGGGGCCATAATCAAATGTATTTACAAAATGTCTAAGAACCATGTAGTAAACACTTCATTTGCAAAACGTTCAATAATTGTCTTAGACTTCATTGTTCCTGTATTTCCATATCAATTGCTTTCTGTTCCCATTCCTTCTGTTACTCCAGACTTGTCAACTGGATGTATGTGTATCCCAGTGTTGATATTCACTCTAGAACTCGAATCCGGTTCCGTCCGCTATCACGTTATCCACTTAGCTACCGAGTCCTGATAGGCACTGGTTTATACAGTCTCAAACATCGATGGAATGATTCAAACAACTAATACGAAATAAAAATGAATTAAATACCATCAAATGTTGTTTTGCGTTAAATATTGACTGCGATTTTTAAAACAAAATGACAAATAGCACTAGACATTTTTCTGGTCTACACATCGGTGTTTGGTCTCATTGTAAAATAAAACAGTTTGCTAGATTTCAATGATTATCTGATTGAAATGAGTTCATGTTTTGAAACTTTATTTTAACTGTTAATTAATAAATCTGTTGAAGTATTTTACAGGCTCTTTTGACTGTGAACAAAAATAACGGCATAGAGATATATATTCATACCGTTATAGAAAACCCGCTTTTTTATCGTTAGAGAGTTACAAATAGTGTTTTCTGAAGATCCTACATTTACCTGGTTGTGCATGTGTGTAGGTCTATGCTTGAATTGCTTACTTACTTACTTACGCCTGTTACTCGTGGAGCAGCATAGACCATCCACCAGCAATCTTCATACAACATAGTCCTGAGCAATCCTTTCCAACTCTTTCCAGTTGTTATTTATCCTTTTCATATCTGATTCTATTTCCTGACGTAATATTTTCTCTGGCTTTCCTCTTTTCCGCTACCATTCAGCATTCCATGTTAGGGCTTTTCTCATGATGCAGTTCGGTGATTGCCGTAATTTATGTCCTATCTATTTCCATCGTCTTTTCCTAATTTCTTCATCTGGAAGGTGGTTTGTTCTCTCCCACACTACACTGTTGCTGATGGTATCCGGTGAATGTATGTTGAGTATTTTGAGTAGACAAATATTTATAAATACTTGTACCTTCTTGATGTTTGTTGTAGTAGTTGTCGAATTTTCAGCTTCGTACAGTAGTACTGTGTGTTGATCCTTCGTGTTCATCGATGATGCTTCCTAGGTACGTGGAGGATACTACATCTTATAGAGTTTCGCCATCAAGAGTGGCTGTGTTTGTGTTCTATGTGTTGTATTTGAGGATCTTGGTTTTCCCTTGTGTATGTTGAGGCCTACTGATGCAATGTTTGCTGATGTTTAAATTGCATACAATCTATATTATTCTTTGAAAGAAATGAGCATTATATACGTTTACCGCTATCGTTTTTACTCAATGATAAATTCTTAAAGAAATGTATATGATTATTTCTGCTATCGATTTTACATGAGTTTTTTTTCAGTTTTATAAAGAATGTTAAATAAAACTATACTAGAAACGTAACTGACCTCTGAAGCGCTGTCGCAACGATCTCAACAGGGAGTTGTAATGAATCGACAGAAGCTAGATTTTTTTTCATACCACCTTGTGAATGATTTAGTGAATGTTAGTTATCTAACCTCAATCATTTTAACTCTCAGAAAAATATTAGTAGGTCAATTTATCAAACAAACAATAAAAAAACAGAATTCTTCTTAACCACATGTTGTAAAATGCAATGTATCATTCAACTATCTGTTGTAGCTTATCGAGATGAACAAATGATTAATATTCTGAATCAGTTAAATTCAATGCCTGAAACATCCAAGCATAAAAATACAACCATTTCTCCAGTTCCTGTAAGAACACAACGTTTTCATGTTGATTTGGGGGAAGAGATTGATGTAGATCAAAATATGAATCAAGCTTGCACTACTCCTTCTACGCCTAATCAACATCATCATGATCTTGGTGATAGAAAACAAACTTCATGTGATCTGTCGAAATATTGTTTCCATCATGACAGCAACAAGAACTCTAGATGTGAGGTAATGAGAGAGAGACATTTGTTATTTTCAAAGCATAAGAGTTTATTTTTATGCATGCATCAAAGTTTGGAACAAGCTATTATCACTTCAATGTTTACTACAGCACAACATATTCAGGTGTGTCATACTAATTAAAAATATGCTTTTCTGTTTATTTTCTCCTATTCCTTTTTTATTCTATTTAATTTAATGAATTTGTAGTGCGAGACTACAATTTATGGACGAAACAACCAGATTTAGGATAACAGGTCTTGGATTTCGGTGCGAAATTCATTCGTCCATTTGGCTAAATAGCGTTTTGCCATTTTAGCTGATGTCAGTTCGTGATGAAAATCTTAAATCTAATTGTTAGCCTCAACCATCAACTGTGAATCATAATTCGATAGGAATATATCTGTAGTAAGAAGGACCTGACATACATGACATTGATCATCAACCAATTATCAATTAATTGTAAATGCATCTCAGTCTTACAGGAGGTCAGTCGCGGCCGGAATAGCTTAGTTGTAACGTCTCTGACTGTGAAACTGAGTAACATGGGATCGAATCTGTCAGGGAGCGCCGGTTACATATTGCTGACGAGTGCCAAATAGCACGAAATCCAGCTCCAGGTTTTCCTGTTGACTATCTCCAACCATCATCTTATTTCAACATAGTACACGCAATGTCGAGTCATCTAGACTAGTGTCCACATTGCAACTTGTTTGACAGCATTTAATCTGCACTAAGAAGGATCTGATTGGCTGGTAAATCAGCTGAAACACTACTCGACTTATTCCCGATTCCGATTTGGTGCCCGATTCAAATTACTGTAAAAATATACATGAATAGATAGATGACTAACCACAACGCACAGACAGTTAGGAAAATACAATTATGTCCAAAACTGAGGATTAGCGTAGAAGACAGTACAAAAGATTACGTTTAAATTACAGTAGCTTTGGAACATCAAACGAAAGCTTATAGTCTGTAGAACAGATTAGGCACAAAATTAAATGTTGCTATTTTACAAGCTTTAAATTAAACAAGATAACGTCCCCAAAAATAGCTTTCGTAGTAAGTCAAGGCTTCTTGTTTCTCTGTTCACATCAAACCCTTACTAGTCCTGCTTGAGGATTCGGACCCATGGCCTTCAGTCTCACGCGCGGACGCTTAGCCTACTATCTCGCAAGCGGGAACGTTGATGCGCACTGCCGAAGAGTTCCACGATATGACGAAACGGCCGTCCAGTGCTTCCAGCCTTTCAGTGGTGGTCTAACATCAGTCGGTTCAAAATCTCAATCAATAACTTAATAATCTCCACAACACTATACTTATTTATAATCTCTATCACTGATTCATATTTTTTTCTCTCTTCAAATATGTGTATTCTTTCAGAATGGTAATTTACTAAAAATTCCAAATATTTCAAATTATATAACAACGAATGATTTTATGAATTTATACAATAAAGCACTTGGTCGAATTCTTGTTTCACGTATACAATTACCAGAAATTGATGTAACTGTCGATTTCTTAGTTACCTATTTATTAAAACTATTTAATGAAGACTCTTATTTGTTAAATTCATGTTTAGCAGCCCTGCCACCAATGGTAAGTTGATTTTTAATGAAGATTATATTGAATTGCTTATTATTATGATATTCATTTCTATGTGATGTTTGTTATGGATTGGTTTCTTTTTTGGGCACCAGATAGCACTAGAAATTTATTCCATGATATTACGAAACTCTTTAATAGTCGAACTTAAAACTTTCTAGTCTTGTGGCAAGTCATCGATTATTAGACCACTTGCTTGTTATTCACCGATTATTGTCAATCGTATTGTTAACAGAATATTGATTAAGCTTTATCTTTAGATTTTTTTAAAACACCTGTTGATACTCGATTATCATAGAAGAAGCTATGCAGACAGTCCACCGGTTAACTTGAGGAAGTTCTAGGGAGCTCAGAGAAAGCCCAAGATATTCAATCCAACCATCTTGTTGAAGAATATTCCAGAGTCCATACATGGAGCTTCCCCATTGGACAAATGCTAATAACCTCATGTGTGCAGGTTGGAGGACTATAATGATGATTTCCCGACCATAGTTGCTACCTTGAAGCGGTGATCGGGCTTGCCTATCGTGATGACCCAACCAAGCTATATTGGCTGGAACATATGTTCCTGTAGGTTCTACCATGCCAGGCAGGTCGATTGGAGAACGGTAAGACTAAAAGCAGCAACTCAAGGTCTGAGGGCGAAGTCGTACTGCTGACTGTAGAGGGGTGTGACAGCAGTAAGGTGTTTCCCTCGGACAACCAGCATGACAGCGATGCTGCCTTCCCACAAGGATAAATGGGGTTAGAAAAGGTCGACCCTAAAAATGTCACACCTCACCTTACCTCACGGATTTCCGTCTCCGGCGGTAAGGCCCTTTGAAGAACGGAGCTAACACGTCAAAAACCTTCCACAAAAAGGCCGTGCGCGACCGGCCTCAAGCAGTTGTCCCTTGGGCTCTGCGGTCACGCTCCCAGGTCGTCAAGACCAACACTAATCCAATTTCCTTTTCAGGTTCCTCAAGAAATACCCTTCCACGGTGTGGGCAGCCGGGAAGTGACATCAGCCCTCATACCCGTAACAGCACAAGAGACCAAGGTGGTCACATTCAAATCCTTCCTACACCTCCTAATACCTCTCTTATCTCCCTGACTAACCCTCCTCACGTCTCTTTATCACCTCGCACCGCTAGGGCAAACGATTCGAGTACGTGGAACGCCATTCCTGGTCTCCTGAAACCACGCTCTAAACTACACGTAGGAGCTTTTAACGTACGAACACTTTGCCAAATAGGACAGCAGGCTTCCTTAGCTAAAACTTTAGAATCTCGCGCCATCGATGTGTGCTGCGTCTCCGAAACGCGCATACAGGATCCAAGTAGCGTCATTCATTTGACCTCACCATGCCAAAATAAAGAACCGACTCGATTTACGCTTCGTGTATCTGGAAGCCCTGATTCTGCTTCCCGTGGCCTCGCCGGCGTAGGTATAGCATTGAGTCCTAGGGCAGAACTAGCTCTCTTAGAGTGGATCCCAGTAGACAGTCGTTTGTGCGCTGTCCGACTGAACGGAACAGTAAGAATCCGGAAAGATAGGGACACTCGTCGTTGCCTCTTCGTCGTCTCTGCCTATTCTCCCACTGACTGCAGCTCAGATGATGTAAAAGATGAGTTTTACAGAAAGCTCTTCGACCTTCTCCGAAAAGCTAGGCGCTCGGATGTAGTAATAGTGGCCGGTGACTTTAATGCTCAAGTAGGTAAACTAAGCGAAAGGGAAAGACACCTAGGTGGATCTTATGGTGTCGTGGCTCAAAGAACAGATAATGGCGACCGTCTGTTGCAGCTATGCTCAGATAACCGCCTGTTCCTTGCAAATACTAACTTTAAGCATAAGGAAAAACATCTTTTAACATGGCGACCCCCTAATTCGTCCCAACGTTGGACCCAAATAGATCACATCGCTATCAGCCACCGATGGAGGGGCTCGATAGAAGACTGTCGCTCATTCTGGAGCACATGCCTAGATTCAGATCATGCTCTAGTGCGAGCGCGTATTTGCTTGCGTCTTACTGGACGTAGGAAAGACGCTGCAAGGAAACCTCTTAGGTCCTACTTAATGATAGTCAAGCTAAGAGTATATTTCAGGAACAACTAGGAAAACAGTTAGGCAGCCATGTATGTGATGCCCACCCCGAGGCAGCATGGAATGACATTCGAAAAGCTGTGATATCTGCTAGTAAGGTAAACCAGAAGGTTAGGGAGCAACACTGGATCTCAGCAGCATCTACTGCACTGATAGATGCTCGAAAACTGATTCCACCTGGCTCTGAACATAATGAAGAGCGGAGTCAGCTTAAGCGCAAGCTGACAAGAAGTCTACGCAATGATCGTGAACAGTGGTGGGTAGCGAAAGCAAGAGAGATGGAAAAGGCAGCGGCAATAGGTAATAGCAGACAATTGTTCAGACTTGTTAAGGAAAACGGTATTAGGAACCCGACTGTTAGCGAAACACTCTCAGAGAAAGATGGACATATTATTCATTCTCAATCCAGGAGATTGGATCGATGGGCAGAACACTTTAGGGATCAGTTCAACTGGCCTTCAGCCACACTTCGGTTTCCCACGATCTCCAGTCAACCTGAATGGCAAGTTAATGTAGGTCCTCCGTCCCTTTACGAAGTTGAAAAAGCCATAGGAAATCTGAAACGAGGGAGAGCAGCAGGCCCTGACAGGTTTACTCCTGAGATTTTTAAGGATGGTGGTCCAGTATTAGCAATGAGATTAACTGAGGTCTTAGGTAGAATTTGGGAACTGGACGTAATCCCATCTGACTGGTCTCAATCACTGATTGTGCCAGTTTTTAAGAAAGGACAAAAGTCGTCTTGTGACAGTCAAAGAGCCCCTAAATACCCTGGTACGGTTGAGAGTGCGGAGAGTCCTCTCGAAGTGCTCTCACATGTCCACGTGTATATTACCTCTGCCAGGGAAGTCCTACTCACTGACTTCTCGTGACAAGAGTGTTGTTTACGAAATTGAGAGGATGGAAATCAAATGTCTGGCGCTTTAACCGGGTTGGTGGGCATGGAGAGTCCACCTAGTAGAGCTGGAAAACCCTGATTCAAAACCAATGGTGCACATGGGCTCCAGTATCCTGAAGGAACAAATGGCGTATGAACCAATCGTTTGTCAACGGCTTCCATGAGACTGCATCTCCTGACGTTGCTCCACTGCCTTGTAGATCAGACCTTCAGGTCGAAGGTCCCGGGTGTGGCCCCTAAAAATCACCCGCTTCGGTCTGGGCACCTGGGCAATATCAAACACATCAAATGAGGTTTGTGTGGTGCATATGTATCAGGTGCCTCCTTGTACCAATATCTGTGTGTTAAAATAAAAAAATAAAATCACAAAGGAATCAGTTTGACAAATATAGTGTCTAAAATACTAGATTCAATAATACTTTGACACATAACTAAAGCTCGTGAAGAACAGACTAGAGAAAATCAGGCTGGTTTTCGACCTGGACGTGGTTGTATAGACCAGATATTCACACTACATCAGGTTCTAGAACACAGACACACATTCAGACGCCACACAATTGTAGTATTTCTCGACCTTAAGTCAGCAATCGACTTTGTTGATCGTAAGGTTCTATGGCAGTGTTTGTCACTGAAAGGAGTACCAAGGAAGTACATTAGCCTTATACAGGCTCTCTACTCGAACACAACTGAACTGGTCGAGTTAGAGCTTATGGCGAACTGTCATCAGAATTGATTACCTCAAGTGGTGATCGTCAGGGCTGTCCACTCTCCCCATTCTTGTTCAACTTAGTGGTCGACATACTTTTAGAAATAACACTGTCCTCATCTAAATTTCCAAGGGTTGAACTTCTGCCGGGAGGTTCACTTGTTGACTTAGAATATGCAGATGACATAGTTTTATTTGGTGAAGACGCTGACAAAATGCAGTCTTCTGACCACTCTAAGCAACAATGCAAGCATGTTCGGGATGCGATTCTCTCCCTCGAAATGCAAAATGTTGCTTCAGGATTGGGTTACATCGACACCCGAACTAGTGATAGGGAGTGAAGTAGTTGAGTGTGTCGACCGCTTCACTTATCTTGGAAGTCTCATCAGCCCTTGTGGTATGGTGTGTGACGAAATCTCAGCACGGATACAGAAGGCTCGACTAGCTTTTGCCAACTTGCGTCATTTATGGCGTAGGCGAGATATCCGTCTATCAACCAAAGGACGTGTTTACTGCGCAGCAGTTCGTTCCGTCCTACTTTATGGCAGTGAGACATGGCCGGTAAGAGTAGAGAATATTCGTAGGTTCCTAGTATTTGATCATAGGTGTCTTCGAAACATTGCTCGTATATCATGGGACCACCGAGTAAGTAACACAGTTGTTAGGAAACGGGTACTAGGTAAGAATGGCAAATCAATTGATGAAGTAGTGAAAATTCATCAGTTGAGATGTCTGGGACACGTGTTACGTATGCCCAACCACCGACTGCCTCGACGTGCTATGTTCAGTGGTATAGGAATAGGTTGGAAGAAAGCTAGGGGTGGCCAGACTGAAACATGGCACAAATCCATGAAGTCACTGACAAGTGCACAGAGTGAGTCATGTTGGTAGGTGTAGACTATCTGGTTGGCGACCGCGAGATGATAGAAACCGATGGTTAGAGACGTTGAATGGCATGGCTCAAAATCGTTTGCAATGGGGCAGGTGCGTCCACTGTTTGTGTTCTCCCAAATTCTAATCTTCTGAATTCATATCGCTTTCTTTTTTTTCTCTTCCCAAATTTATTTCAATTTATTATACTCCTTGAATAATATTTTCAGACCCTAATGTTTCCGATTACTGCTTATAATTTTACTATCTCTACCACTACGGGATTTGAAAGGAGAGCTGCATCTCTGTGCTAATATGGTGTGGCAACTTGAACTGATGTACGTACATACGAAGTTCTGCGTTGTTACTGGCTGACTGAATGATGAATTCGTGTTTACTGAAAACTATGAATAACTGACAGTTTTTTACCACAATAGACACCATTTGGAACAGTATTCCTTTCACTTGTCTGTTCTTCTCATTTACGACTTGGATGGTTTTAGCTTTTGAATGCTCAATTTGTACGTGGTATATTAAGAATCTAAGCTCTAGACCTAGCAGCAACATTGATCTATTTCAAACATACTGGGTTCATATACCAATTAGATCTACCACATCGTACCAATAAAATAGGAAACAACACCTGAATAAGATTTAGCCAAATGTGGCTATGAACGTGGGAGATAGTGATTGGTAGGCTTGAGTTTAACTCAAGAATAGTAAATCGTATAACAATAGTCCATAGGTAAAAATAAAACTCATAATAAGAGGGGCATGAATATGTATAGTTTAGTTTCTTAACAACTATACGATAAAAATATACGTTTACTGGTGGTCCACAAATGGATCTCCAAAGTTACCAATGATTTTTCTCATAGGGATAATAAGATATTTATTCATATCCTATTTTCTATTTTATTAATTATTTAGTATTCCCCTACATTTTGGAATAATTTAATCACTATAAAATATTGGTTACATCAAAATCAATCAATATGGTTCACATATATATCATCCAATACATTAGATATTCATCATAATATAAATCATAATTTATTATTCAACTTAACAACTAATAATGAAATGAATATCATGTCTAATTATTATATAAATCAACAATTAACTCAATTATATACAATTATTGAAATGTTACTTATCAATAATCATATTATCAGTGATAAATCAATACAAAATTTACCATCTATATTATTATCACCTTGGATACAAGAGAAATTCAATCATGTTACACCATCTGAATTGTATACATATCATGATATAATTAAAATTGAATATAAAAAACTTGGTGAACAATGGAAATTATCACTGCCTGATCTAAACAAATTGATACATTTAAAACTATCTACAAATAATAAAAGTGTATCTATGGTTCATGATAAAAAGGTTTGTAATTGTGAATATTGTTTTTTTTTCTTTTTAATTTATTTAATAGTTGAATTCGTCAATCAATTGAAGTTAGATCAGCATGGAAAACCTGCAAGTATTAGATGGCCATTTTGTTCTAGTGATTGGATTCAAGAGGTTATTTCCTGGAGTTCTAGTGAGAAGCTGGGTCTGTTGTGAGATAGTAACTCACTGATGACAATGGTGGATGTGTCGCTGAATTTCATGGATTAGTTGAAGTTAGACATTAACACCGTTGGATGCCGTCGGGCTCAGTGGTCTAGAGGCTAAGCGCTTGTACGTGAGAATGATAAGGTCCTGGGTGCGCACTGCTGAGGAGTACCATAATAGAACGAGACGGTCATCTAGTGCTTTCAAGTTTTCCATGATGGTCTAGCTTCAATTGACTCATGAAGTCAACTATTAAATTACTGTAATATCCACAAAACCCCACTTTTATTTATTTATTTGAACACATAAATATTAGTGCAAAGAGGCACTGAATACATATACGCCACACAAGTTACATTATTTGTGTATGGGCCCTGTTACTGCTCGGGTGCTCAGATCGAAGGAGGCGGTTTTCTTAGAGAGCCACACTTCGAGCCTTAGACCTGAAGGTCTGAACCAAAAGGTAGTGGATCAACGTCAGGAGATGCAGTCCCATGGTAGACGTTGGCCAGCGATTGATTCATACGCCAATCGTTCCTTCAGGATTCTGGAGGCCATGTAAACCATTTGTTTGAAATCAAGGTTATCTAACTCCCCTAGGTGGATTCCCCGTGTCCATCAACCCAGTTAAAATGCCAGATATTCGCTTTTTGTCCTCTGAATTTCGTAACCAACATCCTCGCCACGAGAAGGCAGCGAGTATTTTACTTCTTTTCAAGTGAGATTTTTTTCTCATATTTTCATGGTGTTTATTAATTGGATGAACTTCTGTTAACAGTTTGTTATATTTGATTGTTATGGCTCGGTATGGGCTTACGACACTTGCTAATCGAGAAGTGATTGCGCTATTCTCTAATATGAACGGTTTTATTACAGACTCGATGTTGGTAGTTGTAACGCCACACTTTAACAGTTAGCTTTTAAAACAGGAAGAAGATAAACCATGGGGAAATTCGATATCCAAAGACCTTACAAATGGTACAACTTAGTGTATATAGAGTAATGAGGACTTGGAAGTAACGTTGACGGACATTGTAAATAGTAGAAACCAATGAGAAGAGAGCCACTAGTGTTAGATAATTAAATTAGATAAAAATCATTTTGAGTAACCTTTGTTAGTAACACACAATAATAATAATTAAGTAATTATCAGTATAGGGTTGTGGAGATTGTTTAGTTATGATTGAGATCATGAACCGATTGATGTTAAACCACCATTGAAAACCTGGAAGCACTGGACGGTCGTGACCAGTGGAGCTAATCCGTGTCGGGTAGATACAGGTATCTACCTCAGTATAATGGAAGATGGTTGCTTAACTTCATGGATTGGTTGAGGTTAGGCATTAACACCATTGGGTGCTGGCTCAGTGGTCCATTAGGTTAAGCGTTCGCGCGCGAGACTGAAGGCCCTGGGTCTGAATCCCGCGAGCGGGATCGTGGACGCGCACTGCTGAGGAGTCCCATAATAGGACGAAACGGCCTTCCAGGTTTTCAGTGGTGATCTAACATCAATCAGTTCATAATCTCAATCAAAAATTAAATAATTATATAGAGTTCCTTAGCACGTTTATGATTTTTTCCTCAGCTTTGAGTAAGTAGATGAGAAGCTCTAAAATGATTTTCGTATCTGTTACCATCAACCTTCACTAATCATACGAACTGACAGAGATCAGACTAAAATTAGTGATATTTGATTGAAGAAAATTTATAGTATCTAGTTAAAAGTAAACAAATGAGCAATTTATCTATCAGAATTGTAAACTTCAAGGGATTACATCGTGAAATGTTTTCAATTAGTGGAATATTCAATAATTTGTCAAGTTGTAGAAATTCATGATTTCGTCCTGATGAAGATTTCAAATCTTTAAAATTCTGTTAAGAAGACTATGCTATGAAGTTTTGTGACCAGTTTTAGTGATTAACACTTTTTTAATTTGGCAAACGGAAGTTTCTGGCCTTTTTTTAAGCTTTATAATTTTATGTGAATTACTGTCATCGTAATCATAAGCAGAAATCAGTTGGGGTTAACTGAATGTTTCCTTCCATTCTAAACAAGGTTTATCTGGTATCGATCATGGAATGGAACATCGAAATCTTCATGTCTTGTGGTTAGAAATATGGGTCATTATATTCTGATGTTGTGGTTGAACATATTCTTATTCACTTTAAGATCTTGCTAGTTCTAGGTTCTGTCTTTTTTAAGTTTCCTAATGTTAGAAGTTAAATTAGTGTTTAATATTCCAGCTTACCTAATTGTTCAACAGAAATCTCATCTTCATATAACGATGCTTATAATATTGCCTACATATTTATTTTATCAACTTGTTTATCAGTCAGTCAGTCACAACGTAGAACTTCGTACGTACGTACGTACATCAGTTCGAGTTGCTATAACACGTTAGCACAGAGATGCAGTTGTCCATTCAAATCCCGTAGTGGTAAAAGTAGTAAGAGTTTACTCAGTGATCGGAAAGATTAGAGTTCGAGGATGTTATTCAACGAGTATAATCCAGTTAAATAAATTTGGAAAGAGAAAAAGAATTCAGAATATTAGAATTCGGAAGAACACAAAGAGTGGATTCACCTGCACCGTTGCAAACGATTTGGAGCCATGTCATTCAAGGTCTCTAACAATCGATTGCTATCATCTTGCTGATCACAACCAGGTATCCTATATCTACCAACATGACTCACTCTGTCCACTTGCAAGTGACTTCATAGATTTGTTTGTATTCACTAATTCCATTGTATTCTTAACTGAATTATCCAAATCTATTCTTTTTCTGGTTTGTCTTTTTTTTTGTTAACTTTTCAAGTCAATACTTGTTCAATTGATACAAATGTTTTGGCCAAAATCAACTAATAGCAAATTAACAAATAATGAAAATCTCTTTTCATCATTGAATGCTTCATCGAAAAAATATTTACCAAGAAAATTTCCTATTACACAATTGTGTAATCAAGCACGTAAACAATGCGTTGATGGTCATAATGCATGGTTAGATGCTTATAGTGAACGTAAACGTATTGTAGGCCCATTAGGTACTGTACTTTGGGCTCGTGTAGCTGAGCATTTAAGTCATAGCAGGTAATACAATTGATTTTTTTATGAAAATTTATGTTCTGATTTACTGTTTTATTTTTTTTATTGAATGTTGCGAATATTTAGGAGATGTTTCTTTGTGTCTGTTACTTCTCAACTGAATATGCTTGCACCAAATCGATTGTTCATTACTTCAAACTCCAAAGGGTTATCCTCGTTATCTTTTAGATCATTTAGAATTACATTTTGGGGATTTAAGTAGGTACAAGTGTGTTCACTAAATAAAGCAAAATGTTCCTTCTAAACTTCACTAATATTCACAGTCCTAAATCAAACAGTCTTGGAAATACTTGAAATATGAAGTCATTTGTTCAAGTAATCCATAAATCAACTGAATCTGATTTTGAAGCCATTAATCGATAGTTGATCCTTCTCTGATTCGAACCCCGTTCTATCTACTTCCACTGTAAGCAACCGAATAATAGTATTACATGAATTGTTTGGTTTATGTCGTTCAATAAAAATGACTTATATGCTTATCAATTATAAATCGATAGTATCGAGATATGTAGTAATGGTCAGGCAGTTTGTGACATGTATATACTTCATCATGATTCAAATGGTAACTTTTGTTTAATCTCATGTAGAAGTGTAAGGAAGATAATCATTAAGACAAAATATTTTCATATTGATTCCTTTGGTGTAACATTTAGCTGTTGATACATTTATATCTAGTCGAGAGGTACGTTGTTATTGATTTTTCGATGTATGACAAAAGGCGTCCCTATGTAAGAGGTTGGAAGTGATATGAATAAAAAAAAGCGCTTACAATTCCGTAAATTTATACATATGGGATCCACTGACACTGAATATTGAAAATAATCAATAACAATTCGGAAACGATAACAGGACTACACACATGCAAAGATGGATAGTGGCTAGGAGCGGAATCCAGGATGCGCGTTCGAGCCCCAGAGGGAACATCAACATCAATGAGAGGATTCAAATGTCATGTGTGTCAAGTCCTTATTTAGTGCAGATCGAATGCTATCGACTATGTTGCAATGTGGCCACCAGTCTAAGTGACTCGACACTGCGGGCACTATGTAATGAGAATGGATGGTGGTTGGAGGTAGTCGACAGGATGACACGGGATTGAATCCTCCAGGGAGCACCAGTCCCCTCAAGATTACAGGTACACCTTGCTGACGAGTGCCAAGTAGCACGAAACCCGGGTCCAGGGTTTCTTGTCGACTACCTCCAACCACCATCTAATCTCAAAACAATACCAAGTGAATTTAGAACTAAACATAGTTTATTGAATAAAAACAAAAGAAATCGAACTGATATTTTCGTGTCATTTTTGTTGTTGTCGATAAAGCTCTTATTATTTCTTATTTTGCTTGTGTGTTTGTTTATTTCTATTTATAAAGAGGATTATTTTATCATTCGGAATCTACTCCATTTGGTTGGTGTGTTGATCCTGTAGAAGATTCATTACGTCAACATGGTCGATTTTATTATACACATTTACCAATGGCTGAACGTTTAATACATACAACTTCACGATCGAATCTATGTAAGATAAGATTAGATTTCGTTATCTATTTATTGTTTTTTTCTGTTTATGTAATACTTGTATTATTGTTGAATAGATGGATGAACAATTTTGAATACAAATGTCAAGACAGAAGATACAAGTGTTTATTAACAGTTGTCTACGCAAAATACTTCGGATCCGTTGGCCGGACACTATTAGCAACAACCAACTGTGGGAAAGAACAAACCAGATCCCAACGGAGGAAGAAATTAGGAAGAAGTGCTGGAAGTGGATAGGACACACATTGAGAAAAGCACCCAACTGCATCACAAGACAAGCCCTCACATGGAATCCTCAAGGCCAAAGGAGGACGAAAGAGCAAAGAACACATTACGCCGGGAAATGGAGATAGACATGAGAAAAATGAATGAGAATTGGATGGAATTAGAAAAGAAGGCCCAGGACAGAGTGGGTTGGAGAATGCTGGTCAGCGGCCTATGCTCCATTAGGAGTAACAGGCGTAAGTAAGTGAGATGAATGAAAAATATAAAGAGGAAGAATGTTGTATTTGTGAAATCTCAACAAATGAATTTGAAGTAAATTCAACGTTCCGTCTGATAATCTTGTTCAAGCTTTGTCAAGGAAAATATAATCAAAATATCAAAATTATCAAATATAAATAAGGTACATGGTTCTTCGGTTCACTGTATACTAAGTATGTTATCCAATCCATGTTAAAAGTGTTTAAAGCAGATATTGACATTAGTGTGTAAGACATATGGTGTGAAACGAAGTGTTATGATAACAGATTGTATGTATACGTAATTGAATAGAAATTAAATTTACTATATATTGTCTTAGTCGGTGAATATTAAGAAAACATACAATTTTATAGGCAAAGATGGATAGTGGCTAGCAGTGGAATCCAGGATGCGCGTTTCGTTCTATCTGGGACTTGTTGGCTGGATATAATTGCATCCCAGAATTGATGTTCAGGTGGCTATCAGGACTTAGTAGCTAAGTGGATAATGCGATTGCATTTCAATTTTTTAATGGTGGTCTAACATCACTCGATTCATGATTTCAATCAAAAACATAATAATCTACACAACCTCATTTTGATAATTATCATGCGCTCACTACTGACTAGCTTCGTAAGGGGATTCTCCGAGTTCTGGTGAGGAGCTGTGACCAGTGGAGCTATTCCGTGTCGGGTAGAGACAGGTATATACCTCAGTACCATAGAAGATGGTCGCGCAATTTTGTGGATTGGTTGAGGCTAAGCATTAGCACTGTTAGATGACGGCTCGGTGGTCTAGTGGTTAAGCGTTCGCGAGCGAGACTGAAGGCCCTGGGTTCGAATCCCGCGAGCGGTGTTGTGGATGAGCACTGCTGAAGACGAAACAGTCATCCACTGCTTCCAGGTTTTCAAGAGTGATCTAACATCAATCACTTCATGATCTCAATCAAAATATCATGGAATCTCTCCTAGATTTATTTTAAATTATAATCTACTATTCAAGTCGACCTAATGAGTTGAGTTCAAAATTATATTAAAATTATTTCTATTCACTAGATTTTCCAATTGTAGAACTGAAACATTTTGATGTGAACCCTTATCATGTTTATTTTCAACCACATATTACATCATATTTGTTTTTGTATGAATCAATTGAAATTGTTAATCATAAATGGTCTAGTCTTTCAGATAAACTAATTTGTATTTAATGTTCTTTAGATATTATTTCATCTGATTTTGTGCCAGTTGATATTCATCACCCTGATTTGTTAATAATCTTGAAAGACCTGATGTTCCATTTGATTGATATTCAAGTTTGCCTCATCTAGCTCCACAGTCGGAGATGCTTTCATTTGACCTCATGTAAAACTAGATATTTGCAAAAGATTCATCAATGAATGGTAGTAATGAATGTCATTTTTGTTGGAACATTTAGTGTTGATTGAATATTATCAGTCTCGTTGTAGAATCTTAGTATAATCCTCTCATTGGTGTGTACATTATACTAATAGGACACACTAAGACCTAATCAATAGTGCTGATCAAATTGTGTTAATAAGCTAGTCTGAGTGACTAGATATCACGTACACTCCATTTTGACGTAACAGGGTTAGAGGTAGTCGTCAGGAAATCCTAGGCTTGCGTTTCATGGTGTTAACAGTAGCACAAATTGGATATACAATTTTGTTAGTATTGGCCGTTCTTATGGTATTGAAACCCATTTTAGCCAGTGTATAACCTGAATACCTCTGTGGTAAAATCTTGCAATGTGAACCTGGATAACTTGGGTTGAAATTTTAAAAGAATAATCATTTCCTTCAAAATTTCAGTTACATCTTAGTGATATATACTAAGTAACACACTATTTACTATCAATAACCCACACTAAACTAGTATTCAACTTTAAGCCGCCATTTCAATATTGGTTTTATTTGTAAAGAAAAGTATCGTTATATCAATATTATTGCTTCTTGTTTCTTAATTTTACAGTATCCGCGCGTCAATCACATCCACTTGCCTCGTTAATTGGTTTACCATCAATCATGAATCATTCTCCACCTGTAATTGGTGCAGCTTGTACATGGCATAATTTACCATTATGTTCACCATTATCATCTATTCCATTAATACAATTAGCATCAGCTAGCCGATATCATATTCAAGCTGTTTGGGCATGTCGTTTAGTTGGTATTCTACATATTCCACCTATTGAAGGCGATTTAATACTTGGTCAAACATGGTTAAGATTTCAACCTGATCCATTAATGAATAGAAATTTATTGATGAATGATGATTGTAATAATAATGACAGTAAGAATGTACAATTTATTGAGATTGTAAGTAGATTATTATTATTATTTCAATTTCATCGATATTACTTTGTGTTTTGTTATTTCCTGTAAGTTAAAAATGGTTGGCAAAAACCAACACTTTTTTCCTGTTTAAGCGAAGATGGATAGTGGTTAGCAATGGAATCCAGTTTGACGCGCATTTCGTCCCATTCGGGGCTTGTTAGCTGGATTTACCTGCATCCCAGAGTTGATGTTTACTCTGAGACTCGAACCGAGTACCGTTTGCTTCAAACGCCATTGCGTTCTACACTTAGCTACTGAGTCATGGTAGCGACGTACTTGTATAATGTAGTGGTTTTTTCATACGTAGACAAATACGATCCATACTAATTGCTCGTTAAGTAATTGTAACAATGAATGTCATATTTATCAATCTATTTTGCTGATCAAGTTGTAACTACTAAGTTGAATTGTAATTTAACGTAATATACAATATGTTGAAATATTAAATGGTTGGAAGTTGTCACCAGAATGATCCGTTTGTGCTAGTTGGCACTTGTCAGCATAATGTACATACCTGCAACTTAATTTTTTTAGTCATGTTAAAGCTACTTTTAACATAGACGAGTAAATTAGAGATTGCTTTTCATTCATTTAGTCACACTACTTTCACTCACTTGATCATGACTTTTTGAAATCCTTCAATTCCCCCTATCATTTACTTTCATACATTGATGACATGAATTACAATTCTTGTTTTAAGGAATGAATAAGTTTGCATTAGAAATAAAAAAATCTTTAAATTACATACTATAGAACATATTAGTGAACTTTACTGAGTTCAACACCTTGTTCTGTATTTAGTCTCGAGGTAAATCAGTTTTGTTTACTTAGCGCATTATATTGATTTTTCTTAATCAATTCTTAACACAAAATCTCTTTTAGCTTCATGTCATTTTATGTTTTGTTTGGAAAATGGTGCTACTGGACATTTTACGGTCAAATGAGATCTTATCATGAATGTCGTTTATCTATAGTAAACAATTACTTAGGTGGAGACGATCAATTCATTGTTTAATATAAAATTACAGAGTTCTTTCGTAAAAATGAAAACCATACTGATAAGTCTCGTTAATTTGGACGCTTTATTCGGTTCCTAAGCTATTCTGGTAACCCCCAAGCTAGAACTAGGCAGCGACTTGAACTCGAGAGAAAAGGCGCAAAATAAGCGAAAATACTTTACTCCAAAGTTTCATTTTTGTACAGAAAAACACGGGTATTTATAGATGTTAACATTTGTTAAATCAACATATTTTGGCCAATCCGCTAAAAAAAATATTATGCTACTGACCAATAGTAGCACACCACGTTGATATTCTAGAAAGCTCCATTATGCTCTGATTGGTTAGGACTCTATGGCTCCTTTAGGGTCTCTGGAGTCTCCGTTGCAGTTCTTGGAAAGCCGACTGAACACATACTTCATTTGCGAATCCTCCATCAATTGTCTCAATTTTCATTGTTCCTTCACTGCTATTATAATTATTATCTGTTCCCATTCTCTTCGACTTGATCTTCTGAACCTTCTGCTGTTAGGAGCTCCACTTCCGATTCGTGTTACATACTACTTATGTCTGATGATATAAATAGCAAACACCATATATCACCTTAAATGAGGGATACGGATATGATTTTGCAATGTCCAACATCCTCTTAAATCTATCCGTTTGAGGTTTTTTGTTTATATCTTTTTATCATTACGTTCATGGACTGATTTCATTACTTTAAAAAAATGGATCTATCACAACGACGGTTATAAATATATATTCACACCTTTCTACATCTATTTGTATACTGATGGATTCCGTAAAGTATATGATTAGCTGAGGCTGGTATTGAAAGAAAAAGTCAGAAAGCTTCTCATTTTCGAAATATAGAGTCTAGCATAAAAGATAGATTCGTATTCCTGACATCTGTTGGATTATCATGACTCGTTGGTTGAAATTTTAAAAGCTATACAACTCCGTGACTATGAGATTGTCATAAGATGTAGTTCAGAGTTCAAGTTACAGGAAGTTTTGTTGTAGTATCCCAGCATACTTATGAGACAATATTTATGTACATATCTTATTTTCCTGTTTTTGTGGCATTTTTCTTCCAAGCCAAAAGATTATGTATTATAAATAAAAAGAATAAATCTGTTATTGTATTTATACAAATCTACCAATCAAGTCACATTTTGTTTTCCTATTTAGGAATCATTGTATCCTTATCAAAGTCCTTCTAATCGATTATGGTTTGCATGGTCTTTCAAATCAATTCATCATATTGAAGCACGTCGATATTCATTACGTGATATTGCAGTGGAAATATTTCCTGATGAAACAGATGTGAATGCACCAATGCTTTTTGCTATGTATTCTTCTAAAGTAAGTTAATTAAATTAAATAAATCAACTTTCATCTGAAGAAGTTGTCTATGCGAACGTCACATTTCTTTTTCGGGTTTGAACTTCTACTTATCATTACTAATAAAAGTTTCTAAACAATAAGTACATAAGACTCTACTAGATATGTGAGTCACATAGTTTCTATTATTATCAATATTATTATTATTATTATTACTTCACTCGACAACATTAGTATTTGTGTCAGATAGATATATTTATGAATATATCAACTAGTGTCTTTTGTTCTGGGTTGTCAGGTTCTGCTTTAAAAACGTTAATAACTTACGCCTGTTACTCCTCGTGAAGGACCATAGGCCGCTCACCAGCATTCTCTATCCAACCCTGTCCTAGGCAATCCCTTCAAGCTCCTTCCAGTTCTTATTCATCCTTTTCATATCTGATTCTATTTCTCGACGTAATGTGTTCTTTGGCCTTCCTCTTTTCCGCTTCCCTTCAGGATTCTAAGTTAGGGCTTGCCTCGTGATGCAGTTTCATGATTTGCGTCATGTATGTCCTATTTATTTCTATCGCCTTTACCTAATTTCCTCCTCAACTGGAAGGTGGTTTGTTCTCTCTCACAGTAGGTTATTGCTGATGGTATCTGGCCAATGGATATTGAGTATTTTGTGTAGACAATTATTTATAAATATTTGTACTCTTTTGATGATGATTGTGATAGTTCTCGAAGTTTTAGATCTGTATAATAAAACTGTCTTGACGTTCGTATTGAAGATTGTAACTTTGATATCGGTTGAAAGTTGTTTTGATCTCCATATGTTCTTCAATTATAGGAATGCTGTCCTTGATTTGCCAATCCTCACCTTTACGTTCGCATCTGATCCTTCTTGTTCATCAGTGATGATGATGATGAGGAAAGCCGAGTTCCTTTAAAAACGTAATCTTGACTAATTTCTATATTAGTCAAAATCGTGAATTTTTTAAGACAAGCGATAAACTTTACTATCGATACATCTAAACAGTATTCCTAGCCGGTTCTGATATTGCCAACTTGAATAAAAAAGAGAAGGCGTGAACCGAGAGTAAACTTTTTACTCCAAGATCATTTTGTGTATGAGAAAAAAGCAATGGTATCTATGGAGTTACACATGGCCTTTGGCTCCTAGAAATTTCCAATACTATAATAAATATATTAACAGTATAGGTAAATACTCAGTCAAACCGTAAGACATGGTTCTGTATTGTCTAGACTTTTCTCCGCAAGACTTCTATTCAACGAGTATTGGATAAAATGTTTTCTAACGTTTTTAAGCTTATATAGACTCTAATGATGGATGTTTTGGAACTCTTTTAGCAAAAAGCGTGTATTTTTTCCTCGTGTTTGTCCTGTTATCTGACCATATCTTTTCTGATGTGCCTGTTAAACATTTGATTAAGTTTATTTTGCAATAAATGGCCATGAAACTAAGGATAGTGTTTATATGCGTGCAGATAAACGTTCTATAGACACATTTCTACTGATCAGATTATCTTATCTGCCTGATGAAACTGTCGATGAACTGTAATTTGTCGTTTTTAAAGCTCCTCCTCTTCACAAATGATTTCATTTTTCCGAATTTGCACTAGTAAACTTCTCCTATAGTTCTCTTTTTCCAATACACTGATCGACGATAATGAATGTGTCATCGATGCGAATGCACATATTGCTTTAGTTTTGTACCTATTCATTATATGAGCAACCTAAATATTATATGTACCGTCCAAATGGATGATATCACTTTTCTCAACTTTTCATTCATCCCATCAATTAATATCAACAAGAAATCATGAAATTTACAGTGTAATCTAGGAAATTACTTACTGTTGATTTTGCTCCTCAGATATTATACTAACTTGTTCTATGATCTGTTTAAAATATATATATAATCCTAATTACTATACTACTTTCTTTAATCAGTAGTATAGTTATCAGTACAATTAGTCCCAATACTAATTGAGTTAATTTGCCAAGATGAATATTACTCACTCTAATTTCTATATTTTGTAATGGTGGAGAAGATTTGTAGCTCAGGTGGGTGATTTTAGTGGAGTTATATTTTTTGAGCTGGATGCATCCTATACAAACCAAAGGACGAAATGACAAATGAAGAAAAACTGAACATCATCTACAAAATAAATTCTTACAACTGCGAAAAATGCCACATCGGGCAAAGTGGACGCCCTCTTCATCTTCACCATCACGAATATCAATTAGCGGTCAAACTCCATGGCATATCCTCCCCCATATTAATCCATGTGGACAACTGTGGATACATATTCGACTGGGAAAATATTGAAATCTTGGACAGAGGGGATACCAAAATCACCAAAGTATTTTTCAGGTACTTGGCACTCAGTTCAGTCAATAATCAACAAACACATCGAAATTAATACAATTTATCAACCAATCCCAAGAAATCTTGGATAAATCTAGAACCAAGAATCAAATCAACGGGAGATATCAAAATAAAGAATTAAACAATCACAGGTTAAATGTCAACAATAACCAATCAACATCGAGGTCGACAAGATAAGGTGTTAGTCGTGTGTGAAGAAATTCTAACATTTCGCTTCTACCTGACGTTTATGCTGTTGATGTCGTTTAGAAGAACGATGAAAGCTCCACGATCAAACCATCCAGCTCAAAGAACAAAACTCCATCAAAATCTATATTTTATCCTCGTTTTACAAACTACATATTTTGTTATATTATAATAATATTTCTTTCTTATATTTATTTCGTTTAAATCATAGGACAGGGATAATTTTATTGAAACTATCACTCCTTTAATTGGTCATCATTCATGTTATTGTATTCATCATTATCATAATCCATTATTAGTGAATACCGATGAACAATCTGCCATAGCTAATCCTCTCCCATCGATTCATCATCATCATCATTGTACTTTTAAACAATTAAAAAAATGTAAATTACAGAATGTACAACAAGCATGGTTAAATGGTGAATTATCAAATTTTGATTATTTAATGAAATTAAACACAACTGCTGGTCGAAGTTATAATGATTTAATGCAATATCCTATATTTCCATGGATTATACGTGTATGCCTTTTGTTGTTGTTGTTGTTATTGTTGAATAATTTCGTAAAATGTTCTCCTCTCTATTTACTTCTCCTTTAAATTCTGTATTTTGAGATGGTGGAGAACATTTGTAACTCAGATGGATGATTAAAGTAGAGTTTCGTTTTCGGAGCTGGATGATTTGGTCGTAAAGCTTCAGATAGTTTGTGTTGATGATGTCGTCCAGAAGAACAATGAAAGCTTTACAACCAAAATATTCAGCTCATAGAATGGAACAGCACCTAAATTCTGTATTTAACTGTATATGCTTGAGATGTGGTTATCTGTAATGTTGCCATATTCACTAATTATATCGTACTTGAACTTTTCTACACTTATTTGTTCATTTAGTGGACGAGTATGGACTATTTCGAAAGCGTACGTTTTATCAAAAATTTCATTTCAAGCCTTATACTTTAATAAATGCATATTTTTAACTCGATATCGTAGTTAACAACCAGCATAACAGTGATGCTGCCTTCCCACAAGCAAGGGTGGGGTTAGAAAAGGTCGGCCCTAAAAATGCACACCTCGCCTTATCCCATCGCTATCCATCTCTGGCGGTAAAGTCTCAACAAGTACGAAGCTAACACGAAATTACTGACAGAAAGGTCGTGTTTGACCGACCTCAATCAGTTGTTCCTTAGGCACTGTGGTCACTCTCTCAGGTCACTAAGACCACCTTTAATCCAATTTCCTTTTCAGGTACCTCCAGAAGAACCCTTCCACGGTGTGAGCAACCGGGAATTGATAACAGTCTTGATACCTCTAACAAAACCCAACACCACTGTATTCATAATCAACCTCCCTGTTCAATTCCTATTATTCCTTCTACTTCTACTAACATGGACGAAACACATTTTCTAGCTTATTTTACGTAGATAATGGAAGCAACAAACAGCTCATCATTAATGCATGTACCTGATTGGTTACTACGATTGAACTCCGAAATTATAAAATGAAATTTTCAAATAACTCCTATTAACATCTAAGGGACAATGTTGAAAAGTACAGACCTAAATGATTGATATGTGTAGTTGAGTATCATGATACAGTTTTCAGTTGGTCAATCTTGGAGTGGCTTCATTTCAATATGTAAAATTGTTTTTATTCTAAATAGTTTATTGATTTGCGTTGTAACATGTTGATTATTCTGTATTATCGATAAGTTCTCAACCAATGAATGAAGTTTAAGGGTTTGAATTGCATCTAATCTTAGTGTTGGGCAAGCACCGATAATCAGGAAGAATTGGACAGAAAACATCAACCTTGTTGAATGTGAGGCGTTAGAAAATGGTTGGGGATTGATTTGATCCAAACCTTTGTATAACGACTCAGTAGTCTAAATTCTAGGCACTTGCTAAGAGACTTAAATATCATGGGTTTAAACCTTATTGAAATCGTAAATCCCCACTGCTAAAGAGCCGCGTACTGGAACGCGACTGTTCTCCAGTTCTTCTAAGCTTTCATTGGTTGTTTGACTAAAGCCAGCTCGTGATGTTTACTATGCTTATTAATTTAATAATTTGTTAAGTTTGCTTTCCTATTCTTCTTCCTCAATAAACTGTGATGCATATTGTTTCCATTCAGTATACGCTTAAAACTATATTATTTACTTTATTAATTTTGTATATATAAATCATACTCCTTAGTTATTGACCAACTAAAATATTCGTTAACTGGTTAAGGAATTCTGTCGACTTATGTACTGGTCTTCTTTTTTTTGTTAAAGGATTATGAAAGTCTTGTGTTAGACTTAACCCAACCAACTTCATTTCGACGATTAGATCGTCCAATAGCTGTACAAGAAGACGATAGAGCTGAAGCTGTAGCAGCACGATTCAATGAAGCTGAATTACTATCCAAAACATCATCTACATCACATCCAGAAGCATCGGGAATAAAATCAAAAACGTCTACTTTATCGAATTTAAGTAGTGTTTGTCCACCATATCATTATCCAGCGCATTGTTCAAATGAAGCAATTGTGTTACATTTTCTTGTTCGTTTACCGCCATACACTTTTCGTCATTTACGTTTTCAAGGTGAACTATACAAGGGCATTTTTATCTTATTTCCACTAACAGTTTGAATTTTTACCGTTGTCTTTTATTTGAATGTTCATACGTAGCTTAGATTTGTCAATGATTAAGAAACAGTAATCGCCTCACAATGGCCACGTGTGTTTTAAGCGTCCTTAAAAGCTGAGATCGCGAACGGATCTAGAGTAGACAAGTGTTGAAAACCTAAGAAAACCATCTTCCTCCCTCAACGATGCACATCCACAACTTTGCGTCGGGAACTCGGACTCATGGCCTTCAATCTCTTGCGTAAAGACTTGACGTCTAAGCGAGATCCGATGGGGGGCAAAAGTCTAAATTCATCCAGTGCACCAACGTCAACTAATATGTCTTTAATTTCTTGGCAGATCAATAGGTCGAAATCAGTGAAGTAGAGTCGTAGAGTGAATTACTAACAGAGTAAAATGGATTAATGTTTGATATAAATTTCCATTCATTCTGTGGTTATGAACATCAATTCTCCCTAAATCGAATTTATTTCTTGCTGACAAGTTCTAACTGTCAAAACTAATGAACTTTTTACTAGTTTTCCCTTCTATCACTTTATGTTATATAGTACATCTTAATTTTGGATTTTGGAAATCTAGGAGAGTATGATTCCAACTTGATTGATAGAATCTAATCAGTACTTAACAGTAAACTAACAAAATTAGTTAGTACTCAGTAATGAATCAATGAAAATATCTTAGTTCTACGGGAGATCAATTATGGCTTGACTAGTATACAGATGACGTCTATATCCACTTAGCATCTCAAAATCGTACACAAGACATTAAATTAATTAAATTATTGGCTAAATTGCTATTTGATCGATTGAATTCGATCATGACTAATGAGCCAGATAGCATAGGTTATTGCTATGCGATTAATTAAGTAACTTCTTCAGACTAAAATCACAAACCTGTGCTAATTGTCGTTTAGTGACTGGTTCAACAGCACTACTGATGGTTGCAAAATGTACATCAATAACTTTCTAAGATAACCTATCTTCTCTAGTTGTTCTTTTTCTAAATTCATGAATTGAGAAGGCACTCTGCGTCACATTACTTACCTGACTGATAATGATACCGACATATCAATAACCAAATGTGTTATATCCGGACGAAGAATATGTTAATAGTAACCGCTAGGATCTATTTATAGACTGTTATTATATGTGTATTCTCATTGTATAACTATTAAGTAACTACCTGACAGTTGTTGCTACCTTGACGTGGCGGTTGGGCTTGCCTATCGAAATGAACCAATCGAGCTATACTGTCTGGAACGATTGTTCCTCAAGGTCCTGCCATGCCATACAGGTCGGTTGAACAGCGGTAAGACTAAAAGCATCAAACCCAAGGTCTGAGGGCGAAGTCGTACTGTTGATTGTACAGAGGTGTGATGACGGTAAGGTGTTTCCTTCAGACAACCAGCATAACAGCGATGTTCCTTCCCACATAGAAGAGTGGAATTAGAAAAGGTCGACCCCAAAATTGCACACCTCGCCTTATCCCACGGATATCCGTTTGCGGCGGTAAGGTCTCAACAAGTACGGAGCTAACTCAAAAATGCCTGGTCCTACGTTGTAACTGACTGACCAAGTAACTATACTGTACATATATCCATATTACTAAGCTTCCGTTTGACTTATTGACTGCGATTATGCGGTATACTATTCTTAAGTTATTCCAAATTTATTCGTTACAGTATGCCATACTCACAGCTACTTTCAACTTGATCTTATCTACCTGTCATTTTTTATCTTATGGTGTGATGCGGTCTGGTTTGCTTGTATACAAATTGCGTATGTTTGAAATACATGATTCATACAGCGGAAACTGAGAATGTGTTCTGAACTCAAACGGACATGTTTAGGTGAGAAGAACAAATAAGGACTCAGAGTTGACTCTAAGCTGCTCGTACTGATTAACGTGTCGTTGGTTTAGCACAGTGTGAAGGTCGTAGAAGTCGGTATTCTGATTGGCAACTTAGTCATGTGATATATTAACAGGACCATAAGGACATAACAAAATGCAACCTGCCAAATAATTGAATTCATAATTGGAATCCACAATATCATTAATTCATTTTCTGCTCTTACAATAAGCTAGAAAATGTTTATGAGACTATAATTTGTGGATGACCTTTGAGCGACGCCAGAGTGACCTTGAGAGTGTCTACCTAATTACCAAGGCTGAATGAGGGTTATATAGCAGTTTGGAGAATAAGGATTATGATTCACAGTTGACAGTTAGGGTTAGGAGTTAGATTTATAGTTTTTCATGACGAACTGACATCATCTAAAATTCCAAAACTCTATTTGGCCAAATAGGTGAATGAATTCCGTTCAAAAATCCAAGACCTATTGTCCTAAATTTGATAGGGTCGTCCATAAATTATAATTTTACTATCTCTACCACTACGGGATTTGAAAGGAGAGCTGCATCTCTGTGCTAATGTGGTGTGGCAACTCGAACTGATGTACGTACGTATGAAGTTCTACGTTGTTGCTGACTAACTGACTAATAACTCACTAACTAGTATGGAACATAATTTCGGAACTGACTATTGATTATCTATTCTTGCTATCAATGCTTTGTTTTACTAATCATTAATATGTAATTAGAATAATATTATTGTTTATCTATGTGTATTTTCATTTTCTAGATAATAATTTCGATGTACCCGATCGTTTATTTCATTCAATTGCAACAACATGGCGTTTAGCTACTACTTCTGTTTCATGTGTTAAAGAATTAGTACCAGAATTTTATTTTCAACCAGAAATGTTTATTAATCGAAGTGGATTGAAATTAGGCTGTCGACAACCAGGTGATAGTGTAGATAATGTTGAATTACCACCGTAAGTTATGACTTCTTTCTTTTTTTCTTCTTTATTTTCTTCCCTTTTCTCATTAATCATATCAGTTGTTGATTGAGATCATGAACAGATTGATGTTAGACTACCATTTAAAACCTGGAAGCACTGAATGGCCGTTTCGTCCTATTGTGGGACTCTTCAACAGTGTGCATTCACGATCTCGCTTGTGGAGTTCGAACCAAGTGCCTTCAGTCTTGTGTGCGACCAATGAGCTGACATCCGACAGTGTTAATATCTAATTTCAATTAATCCACGAAAGTGAGCAATCATCTTCCATTGTACTGAGGTAGATACCTGTCTCTACCCGACACTGATTAGCTCCACATCAGTTGTATTGAACTATTTTATGTTTCATCTTAGTACTTTTATAGTAAATATACTTAAACATTTATTATCTAAGTGTTATATTTGATTGTCTATACTAAGAAAGGTGAACATTGTTTCAATGCCGTTGATATTCAACTCTTATTGAAACTAATAGATCTTATAGAAATTCAACTAAGACTCATTCAATGCCTAAATTTGAGATGTTATTACGGAATCAGTGAAAAGTTTACTAAAGTATCCTTTATGAATTTTCAATAAAGCTGTAATAACGATTTAGATGGAATAGTATAAATTCATTCTATTTCATGGTTTCATATTCAATTGTAACATTGAGAAGATATAATATCATATGATGTTATAGATATTTGTTAAAGAAAGAATTTGAGTAACAATGATTATCAATGTATATATATTTGAATAAACATGTATGAGGTCATTTAGAAATGGAATTCAGCAATATAGAATGTGTGAAACAGAGTTATTGCACCAGAGACTCTTAGATCCGATACCTGATCAAGGTTGTATTGGCTTAATTCTGAAAAGCTTCTAACTAAAAGGCAACAGCTGTATAGTTCTCCTTGGTTGTTAGTTATTTTCCAGCTAATCTGATCTTATTATTTATATGATTTTTCTTTGTAATTAACATGTATCTAGGGAATTAAATTCGTCAGTTGTCACTTTAAATAACTTTGAACTTGGACTGATTGATTTAGACACCTATAGGGTTATCGGTTGAAACATCGATGTACCTCTTTCAATGTTTGACCAGGTACCTGGTATTGGTAGAAACCGCATATACTCAATAATTACAGTTCATATCCTTGTATACGATTGTTGATTTCTCTTTTATCTACGAAATATGATTATAAAACACGACCTTTAAGAGTAGCAGAGATCCGTAAGCTGTAGGTTTTTGATTAGGTATATCTTCGTGTGTATGATGGAGCAACCAAGTGATTGATGTTGAGGTTAGACACAGGGTAATTGATATATAATGCAAATCAGTTGATGAAACTGTGAGTTTTCATCAACTGAGGTGGCCGTGATATGTGTTATGTATGTCTAACCACTGATTACTTCAACGACTAATGTAAGCTAGTGTAAACACATGTTTGAATAAAGCTAGAGGCACCCAAACTAAGATGTATCACTGGTTTATACGTTTTCTTATACTGTGAGATATTTTGATAGATTAAGACCACCTGATTTAGATTGTCTTCATTAAATGTTTAGGTGTCAATCAGTCAGCTACAACGTCGAACCAGGCACATATGTGCATCGCTCCAAGATGCCATATCTCATTAACACAACAAGATGAACACCGGATTCATAGAAGTAGTTAATTCAATGGTAGTAATATATATATATATATATATAAAATAAAATGTTAGATGTTATTAGGTGACGCACTGACTGTTCATCTTCTCTTAGATCCTGGGTTTCAAAATTATTTTATACCTTTTCTTCTCCTCAGCAGTGCGCATCCACAACCTCGCCCCTTGCGAGATTCGAACCCAGGACCTACTGGTTTAGCGCGCGAGCACTTACCCACTAGATCACTGAGCAGGCCGGCATCCAACGGTGTTAATGTCTAACTTCAACTAATCCACGAAATTGTTCGAATCTCGCAGGGGGCGAGGTCGTGGATGCGCACTGCTGAGGAGTCCCACAATAGGACGAAACGGCCGTCCAATGCTTCCAGGTTTTTCATGGTGGTCTAGCTTCAACTGTTTCATGATCTTAGCCATTGAAATTACCGTAATATCCACAAAACCCATCTGATATTAATTAACATATGCTCACTAGTGATTGGCTTCTCGAAGTATATCCTGGAGTTCTAGTGAGAAGTGGTGACCAGTGGAGTTCAACCAGGTCTGTTGCGAGATAGTAACTCACTGAAGACAATGGTGGATGTGTCGCTGAATTTCGTGGATTAGTTGAAGCTATACATTAACACCACCGGATGCCGACTGACTCTTGTCTAGTGGTTAAATGCTCACGCTCGAAAGCAGTAGGTCCTGGGTTCGAACCTTTTCTTCTGTTGATTCTCTCTTCCCAAGTGATATGATTTATAATCAACTCTTCTTTTATTACCACTGCTACTAATACTCATATTATTTCTTGTATTTTGGATATTTATCTTAATAATTTCATCGTATTATCCTTATGTTACGTAACAAACTTAATCCGTTACATATACATGTTAGGTTCTGTATTGTTGATTGACTATTTGTCTTTTCTCTTAATGTATATCGTTTTTCTCTCATTTACAGTTGGTGTAAAAATGATCCACGTTTATTCACATTAATTTGTCGTGCTGCATTAGAAAGTGATTATGTATCAATGAATTTATCATATTGGATTGATTTATTATTTGGTTATAAACAATCTGGACAAAATGCTAAAGATTCCTTGAATCTATATCATCCATATGTAAGATTTTTTTTGATATATTGTTTATTATTATTGATTATTGATTATTAATATTCAAAAACTGATATGTGGTTAAATGTTATTGGTATACAATGACCTTCTTGAATATATAGATCCTTTAATTCTATTGGTCATATGATACAAGTTGATTTAATTGTAAACAAGTAAATAACACTGTAATCCACAATATGCGTTTTGTCCACATTCAAACGATGTGTATCATCAAATTAGTCTACTACTAGTCATTATTTCAAGTGTTTTTCTTCTTTTCATTATTTATCAGATACTTTGTTTATTACTGATAGTTAACACTTTGATATGTTTCTTAGCGATAGTTTCTTTGGTATATTTGCAATTAATGGAAAGAAATTCATGGTATTGTAGAGTCTATTATCCTCTATATATGACACCAACAAATAGTATCCCGTTAACTGAACATTTAATGTAAGCTAAATCTCCTAGTAGAATTATGGATTTACTCGAGATGATTATTCAAAAGCCTGAACAACACCAGTTATAGAGATAGTTTATTGTTAAAGATTGGTAAAATCCGCAAGCGTACAGGAAGCAAGCACATAGGTAAACAAGAGTGTGTGTGTGTGTATGAGTGTTAATCAAGAATGGATAAATTATTGATTACCTATGTCTTACAAACAATGGGAGAATAGATTAAAAATTGACATGTGCTCAATCAGACTCAAACAGAAAATTAAATGGTGGATCAAGTGTCTAAATTACAGTGAGCAGATAAATAATACAATTATTGAATGGGCTTATTTCAGTATCCCACTCAGTTCGAGAGAGAACATCTTAATGTAGTGAACAAGAACACCAGTGGGGAACAATCGAATGCATCTAACACGAAATTACAGGACTTGTTAATAAAATCTATCATAAAGTAAATGCTTAATTTGTAAGATGTCCATCAATTGTCTCAAAATGACTCAGACTTCACTGTTCTTGCATTTTCATACAAATTACATTCTATTTCTATTCTTTACTGTTCAATCCTCTTATCTCTTTGCAGCCAGACCTTCTGTTCACGACTAACATCATATACTACTTATGTCAATATAAGTAGCACACACCACACTAACATTGCTTTTCAATGGACAATCAACACATGCTCACTAGTGACCGGCTTCAAGAGGTATTTCCTAGAATTATAGTGAGAAGCAGTGACCAGTAGAGTTCAACCAGGTCTGTTGTGAGATAGTAACCAACTGAGGACAATGGTGGATGTGTCGCTGAATTTCGTGGATTGATTGAAGTTAGACATAACACTGTTGGATGCCGGTCGGCTCAGTGATCTAGTGGTTAAGTGCTCGCGCGCGAGACTGATAGTTCCTTGTTTCGAACCTCACGAGGCGGTATCGTGGATGCGCACTTCTGAGTCCGATACTAGGACGAAAACACCGTCCAGTGCTTCCAGGTTCTCCATAATGGTCTAGCTTGAATTGACTCATGATTTGAACTATTGAAATTACTACAATCTCCACAAAACCTCTTCTGATACATTAGTTATTCACTTGTTTCTGACCGTTTGAACTGTTGTCACAACCAATGTTGTATTTACACCCTTGCTATACTCTACTAAAGTGTCTTCAATATAACTTCCAATTAAACTCATTATGTAATTATGATTCTTAAATATCCCAGGTTGTGAGCAACTGACGAGAATCAGACGAAATAAAAAAATGAATTCATGCTATTCTACTAAAATGTTTGTTCTTGATCTTTTCAAAATTATAAAAGGAACTATGTGTATGAAATTAATGATTGTTATCTACTTTATTCTAGTAGTATATTAATAATTTTCTATAAAAAAGAATATTATTTTGTTTTCTTAATCAATACTTACTAGACATATTTTGGCTCAATCAATGTAGATACAATAGACGATCCTATTTTAGCACAAGCTATTGAAGGTATGATTAATAATTATGGTCAAACACCGAAACAATTATTTCACAAACATCCTCATCCATGTCGGTAAGTCAAAAAAAGAGAAATCAAACACATCAAGTATACATATTGAGTGTCTATGATAGTAACTTAGGTTTGTCAAACTGCCGTGTTATTCTTAATCTAATATTTTACCATAAATACCATGTTCTAATGTTAGATGGCTCCTGATATTCTTTAGCACTCTCTGAATCTACTTTTCATGCTAGTTAGAATTGGTCAGTCAGGAGTGAATACTAGTCGTTGAGATTAGAAACATTATACACTAAATTTTTTGAACACGATTTACTTTAGTCTCACCTGGGAGATGTAGACTACTTGATTGGGGTCCACGTGACTATCGTAACCAATGGTTGGAGACTCTTGGTGACATGGCTCAGAACCGATCACAATGGCGTCAGTGTATACACTCTCTGTCTTCCCTTAAACTGAGAGATTAAAATCGCTTCACATCTTTCTTTCTATGAACTAATTCTTTCTTCTTGTACTATATCCTTATATGTAATCTTTCTTTTATATATTACCACCTCTGAATTAACTACTTTTATTAATCCGGTGTTCATCTTGTTGTGTTAATGAGGTATGGCATCTTGGACTGATGCATATATGTGCCTGGTCCTACGTTGTAGCTAACTGACTGACTTATTCTCATCTAATTTTCTAAAGATGATTACGAGTCGACAATCTTTGTGCCTTTTGGTATCAGGGGGCGCTTTTATTACGTTTAACTGAACTGTATTCTTTGATTGTCTGTTGAAGAAATGTCTGCCTAATTATTTTATTAGTATCCTAAAAGCTTTATATACAAGCAACTTAGGATGAATGAAAGCATCCGACCATGCTTCTCGATTGTTCTAATCCAGTGTTTGAGTTAGAGAGACAGGATTTTCAACTTTATCATTCCTCTTTAAAATTTACTATCGGTTGCAGTCTGGACGCAGCTCTTATGGAAGTACGAGCAACTGGTAGCGGTGTAGATGTGTTACATAGAGAAAGAATTTCCTATCTGCGTAACATTCTTTAAGTGATAGAAAATACCATATTATTTATATAAAAATTTGCCATGTTTTTCATCTAATATAAACTGTAGCTTTGACGGAAAAAATTATGACACAATCAATATGGTTAACATCTGATTTTCCTAATTATCAGAAAATTTATATTACCCATTATTTATTTGTTAACTATTGGCTACAATGACTTCAAAGATTAGGAATTGAATGTTTATATGATGACAACCATTGTTAACCAAGTCGTATTGAATTTCTTATTTAACATCTATGTAAAGGATAGAGTTTAGTTGTATATTTTTCAAGTAACCATGAAAATAAATTGATTGTTTCCAAAATCGAGTCAAGTTGCTTTGATAATAATCGATAACCAATTGATTTCGCATCAGATCAGCGAACTTTCCCAACTATTGATGTTGTCTGGGTCTGAACTAAGAAGTCCCCACCCACCTTCATGACCTAGAACAGAAGTTGGATTGGCGCTTTGTCTTAACTAGCCTATCTGTAGGTTTTTCCAACCTATGACGAATACAGTCAGCACTGACCGTTGTAGTACGTGTTGGTTAGGGAAGTGTAACATCCCTACTAACCAACCTAAGTTTATGGCCGTCTATAGCCTCATCTATTGATTTTTTGTTTTTTACCAAGTATAACTTCAAGATCGCTCATTCATTGGTTCTACCGTTTATGGCCATTGCCTTCATAGACAGCTATGAAAGAATACTTGCAACAAATATGCGTCTTTTACCTCAAAACTGTAAAGCAGTATGGAGCGAACCATTGCACAGTTTACTCAGCTTCCTGGTTGACAAATTTAAAATATTTCCTGACTACATCCGATGTGTTATTAAAAGTACTAATTGCTACTGCTCACACATTTTACCCCTCATGAGCCATAGGGTGCCTACCAGTGTTCTCTAGCCAATTGTTTACTGGTCTCGCCTTTCCGGTTTTTATCAAATATTATTCATTCTTTTGATGGCTGACTTTGACTCTCGAAACAATATGCCCTTCGAATTAACAAACGTAATTCGATTTTATCCGATAATTTGCCCATTTATATGTCTTACTAATAATTTCATTTCATTTGTTTTGTATTCTTTTGAAACTTTGTTTCAGTAAATTGCCGATTTCTAATGAAGCCAGACTGAATATGACGTCAAAATTTAAAAGTAAATCCACTGGTACAATGTATAATATGACGAGTCAAGAGGACGTTGGAGATAGACGTTCTTCTACACCCGCATTATTTAACTGTAATAATATCAGTGATGACGATAAGAATTCATTACAAGCGTCAACGTTTTCTGTGAGTGAAAAACAATACTCATCAGTTAAACTGGATAACACACCGTTAGAAACTGTGATTGGATTAAAATGGGGTGAATGGGCAGGTAGTCCACAGGTGAACTCTGTAAGTGTACAATTGATTGATTGAATTCATAAAGTATCACACCAATTGATCGTATCTAAATAATATTTCCTCTCAGTACGTACTCCTTACGTTTGCTTAGTAGTTAGCATATTTTTTAGCAAGGTTGTTTTCTACGGGATGGGGATACTGACTTAACGCCCAACCCTCCTCCTTTACCCGGGTTTCGGACCGGCAGTAACCATAGGAGAGCTACAGGCTACCTAGTCATTAAAATATTTAACACATAATATCTTATATACAAGACTATAAACTAACAGAATTTATGAGAATGTAGAGTAATCATGATTGATAATTGAAAGACCTTATATGAAATGGTTTGAAATCGGTTAGTGTCACGGATGTATCCAGTCATTGACACTATTGTTATTCTGATTTCCTTGGTATTTATTTTGTTGATTCTATCTCTTCTGAGATGTCACAAATGATGACGCAAAAAGCTGGTTGATTAATTGATTTTAATTAGTTTATTTTATGTTGGAAATGTAAGACATGGATCACTTATGACATCGAATAACATGTCTCGTGAACTGATTGAATCTTGAACGTGCAATCTGTTTATCACTAGTTGGTTTCTGTAACCACCAAGTCACCGCACGTACTAGGGTGTTAAACATGAACCTAGACAATTATTGTATATGGACTCTATAGAGATACAGCTTGTGTATCCAATACATGAAGTAGAAGTTGAAATTGGGTGTATATTTTTTGATCATTTTTGTGACTCAAAAATCAACAAAGTATTGATTTTTCAGCTCATTTTACATTCTTATACTTTAAAATGGCTTCATTGTTCAACTAATCACTTTCACGTAAGGCGAAACGTACAACCCTGACTAAAATCATTCTTATGAGTAGTATTTCCATTAGAGTGGTTGTAGAGATTATTGAAGTACATTGAAACCAAAAACTAATCTAAGTTAGCCAACCATTGGAAACCTGGAAGTACTACTAGATCGTTTCGTCCTAAAGTTGGACTCCTCAAGAGTTTTGATCTACTACCTTGCAACCTGAGGTTGGAGTTAAACCCTAACCTGAGTTAGTGCTCTGCTTTCACGCAAAACCGAAGGTCGTGAGTTTGATATCCGGTTATATGTTTGTCGATCTGTACTGTTCAATTGTCCCAAACTAGGAGGAAACGGTAGTCCGATTTTTCCAGGTTTTCAGTGGTTGTTTAAATTAAATCGCTTCCTGACTAAAATAATATTTCCCTTATTTTTATGTTTTTTTATGTTGATAACTATTACTTTTTATTATGTGTATAGTTTGAAATAATTTGGAAGAAACAGTTCATCAATACAAAGTCATCAGTATCGAGAAGTACAAAGAATTCACTGGAACATTTCGAAATATTAAAAATACCATTTCTTAGTCATTTAACCGGTTCTATATGGTGTGAATTCAATACGAAAGATACTCATTTACTTCATCGTATGAATCAACTTAACAGTATCTCTTCAATAAATAATGATAAATTATATCATTCTTGGAATGGTTGGGTTGATTTCAACATTGATCATGCAATTGATGAATGTTTCCTGTCATCATCCTCATCATCTCATTCTACAGAAATTTCATCATCATCGTTCACAACAGATGTTCATCCTGATTGTTCATGGTATTGGAAAATTCTTCACTGTGAATCAAATGCATGTATATGGGTATCGTTATTATTAGATATTAGTAGTTTACAAGATCAATTGTATCCTGTACCACATTTAATAAAATTGAAACCATCTTTACTAGACAGTAGAACTTTAAATATTTTTATAAAACGTTTACCCAAAGGATCACATAGTACTTGTAATGCTTCTTCTAATTATCCTTATGATGAACCTTTTGGAACTACTGATTCCTCTCCATCAGAACTACATCGTCTTCATCATCATCATCATCATCAACATAATGATGAGATAAACTTACAATTACCATATTCAAATCCTCTTCCATTAGATACTGGAAAATCTTTAATTACTTCATTAACTATTTCACCTAGTTCAAGTCATGGTATTCAATTATTTGTTGGTACCTGTTTTGGATCAATTTATGTAAGACAATTGCCTACAAATTTATATGATATTTCATCCATTGACAGTTGGTTACCACAAGTAAGTCATTGTAATTTTGAACCTGATATAAGTATCTTACATTTAATCAGTCAGTCACAATGTAGAACCTGGTACGTATACATATCAGTTCAAATTGCCATACCTCATTAACATAGAGGGATGAAATCATCTGACCAAATCCAAGCCATAGCAAACGATTTTGAGTCATTTCATTCAGTCTCGCTTAAGTTTTGTACTAGTTGACAGTTGGAATTTGGAATGGAAAATATCGAATACGCTATTGTATCACTCATTTACAGTTGAACTAATATTATGTTAAAGCTAGTAATACTATTACGACACAAAATTCAAAACTGAAGTGTGTGTAATAGATAGTTTTAACCTACAACTTAGTGTTCGAAAACGGATTGATTTAATCATTATGCCACTTCTCTCTAGAAGTTAGTTTTCATGACTGACATAGAATAGATATAATTCAACACTTGACAAAAGAAAACATTTTATGAAAAATAGAAATTTGTTTCACTATCAAAACTCTAAACTCCGCCTGTATCTCTTCTCGAGTTGATGCCGGTCCCAAGCCTGAGAAAAGGATGATGTTTGGGTATGAAGTCGGCATTTTTATTTATTTATTTGAACACATGAATACCGGTACAAAGGTGCACCAGATAAATATGCGCCACATAAATCTCATTTGATTTGTGTGAAAGCTGTGATACTGCCTTGGTGCTCAGACCGAAACAGTTGGTTTTCTTACGGGGTCACACTCTGAGCCTTTGACCTAAAGGTCTGACCCACAAGGCAGTGGAGCATCGTAAGGAGATGCAATCCCATTGTAGCCGGTGACCAACGACTGGTTCATACGCCATTTGTTTCCGCAGGATACTGGAGCCCATGTGCACCATTGTTTTGGAATGAGGGTTTTTCAACTTTCTAGGTGGACCATCCGTGTCGACCAACCTGGTTAAAGTGTCGGACATTCACTTTTCGTCCTTTTAACTTCGTAAACAGCAGTAGTATCTCGAGAAGGCAGTGATTAGGACTTCCCTGTTAGTGGTTTTATGCACGTGGCTATGCGAGAGCACTTGGAGAGGGAGAGCTGACTCTCCTCACTCTCAGCCGTACCAGGGCATTTGGTCGGAGACGGCCACCTCGTCCTGTAGAAAAAAATCTTTCTGAAAAACGCCAACGAGATCAAGAATAGAATTTTTTAAATCACATTTCAATATAATCATTTACATACAGATGTACTTTGAATAACTCGAACTTTAATAAATGTTATACCAAATTATTACATAATAGAAATATTGAGAATATAAATAAACGTTATATGATACGAATTTCGCACATAATTGATACATAACGTGAAGCTTGATCTATGTCCAACAAAAGTATCAAAGGTTAAATCACGGTTAAAAGTTTGAGATAAAAGAAATAGCTGGGACAACAAGAGAAAAATTGATTACTGAAGATATACACAATAGTCGTATCTCAGTGTCGACAATGTAATCTAAGGAAAAGATGTATATAACTTATAACAATGAAATAATTCTAGTAAGAAGTTGTCGCCAATTGAGCTAACCCGTGTCGGGTGTGAGACGGTTACCCGCCGAAACCAATCGAAGATGGTCGCGCAGTGTCATGGATTGATTCAAGTTAGACATTAATACCGTTGAATGTCGACTGAATAATATAGAGATTAAACGTCCGCACATGAGACCTTAGGTACTGAATTCAAGCCCAGCGTGCAGGATCGTGGGTACGCACTGCTGACAGCGATCTCCACAGTGCGATGAATCGGCCATCCAGTACTTCCAAGTTGTCAACGGTAACCGAAATTAAATCAGTTCCTGATTTCAATGAAAATCATTCTGACTGAGTAGTAGTGTAATCCTTATTCTTCAGATTGCTTTATAACCCTCATTTATCCTTAATAGGTAGGTAGACACTCTCAATGTCACTTGAGCGTCGCTCAAAGGTCATCCACAAATTGTAGTTTCACCAATCGAACTCCTGATCAACCTTAATTGTCCGTAACTCAACCAACACGGATAGTGTTCTTCTATACATTGACGGAGTTGTTGAATTGTGTGCCTAATACAGCTGGCTTCACATGAGTAATTGAATCGATAAGTGCACGTGAATGTTTATATAAGGTTGTGTATACTGTTGAATTTCAGTGAAATCATGAACCGATCAAACTTAAACAAACGAATATTCGGACAATCATTTGAAACTACATTCAGTTTCGGTTCAATAAACGTTTCTCGCCTAGCTTTTCTGAACCTTTGTTTCAATGTTTCTATTGATGAGTTAGTAAAACCTCATTACTTGGAGGGGTTAAGTTACGTGTTACGTGTGCCCAACCACCTCATACGTCGATGAACAACGTTGTCTGATGTAGAGGTAAGTTGAAGAAGGCTGGGGGCGACCACACCACGACATGGCACCTATTTATTAAGTCATTGACAATCGGACTTAGCCATGTTAATAAGTGTAGACTACCTGGTTGGCGTCTGAGTGATTATCGTAACCAGCGGTCAGAAACTTCAAATGAGATAGTTCAGAATCGTCTTAAAATAACTTTATCGTGTTGTACTAATATGATATGGCAACTTGGACCGATGTACATGTGTCAGATTCTAAGTTGCATATGATGATTTCATCGTTAGATTCATTTTTGAAATGCAACTTCAAAAACAGTAACTTCTTCAGAACAGTCATTGCCTTTAGTCTAATTTTTTATTTTGTCAATGTGTTTGTTGACGAATTTAGCTCTATATCTATTCCTTCCAATATGGTTAAGAATATTATTCAATTCATCTTCAATAGCGTCATTGAAGCAAATCATCTTGCCACAACAAGTCAGGATTTTTACTGAGTTTCTTTTGCGGAACTGTAGAGCTATGTCTATCGTGAAATTTGGGATTTCGTTACTTATCCCTCTCATTCATATTTTGTCCAATCTTTTTTGTTAATTGGACATCTAGAAATGATATGCTTTTACTCTGTTCTTTCTCAAGCGTAAATTTAGTTGATAGATGAATGTTAATTATTACTTTGCAAACACAATGTTTGCCTGGAGAGAACTCAGTGTTGATCCCATAGCTACACCATCTAATGGTTTATAGTGTTTATTGTTAATTCGGAAGTGAACTTTCGTCATGCACCTGAAAATTAACTCTTTTATCAAACAGTTATTAAACTTTTTCACACGCCTCAACATTAGTTCACTCCAAATCAACAAACAATACAATTAACCTCAATACACAACCAATGAATTCATAGATCAATGTTAATAAACGTACTTATTTTAAGAAATATCTGATTTTCAAAGATCGTTTGCTTCATAAACTGACTTCAGCTAGCCAGCTATGAAGAACCATAGTGTTGGCTATCTGTTTCATGTTATTATGGATTAACAGTGTACTCCCTTGATCCTTCCAGAAATTGAGGCCAAGACTTTCAAACCAATGAATTAGTATCTTTTTTTGATTGAAATCATGAGTCAGTTGAAGCTAGACCACCATGGAAAACCTGGAAGCATTGGACTAGCTTCAATTGACTCATGATTTCAATCAAAAACTTAACAATCTCCACAACCCCTAAACTGAGAATTAATATCTAATTCTTTTATAAGATCCTTGTATCCATGTATTCTATATGTTTGTTCACTTTTTCAATAAATAATCAACTTCACAAAAAATCCTCACAAATTTCTTCATATCTATAACTTTTAATTATTCTATCAGTCAGTCAGTCAGTCAACAACGTAGAACTTCGTACGTACGTACGTACGTACGTACATCAGTTCGAGTTGCCATACCACATTTGCACACAGATATAATGGTCGATTCAAATGCCATAGTGATAGAGGTAGTAAAAGTATAAACAGTAATCGGAAAGATTACGGTTTGAAGTTGTTATTCAAGGTGTATAATCCAGTGAAATAAATTTGATAGAACACAAACAGTGGATGTACCTGCTAATTATTCTATATTAATGTGTTATTTGATAACCCTAACCAGAATAATAAATTTGAACATATTTTGTAAATAATTCAGCAAGTATAGAATTATATACCCAACTACAAGCTATATTGTTTGTATTCTGGTTAGTGTAACGCCATTCCTCACTTGTCTTAGATAAAGCGGACTTGATCCTAGAAGTAATTTGTTAAAGGTTAATTAATTTAACCTCTAAATCATTAAATCAATTCCTAGAATCATTATAAATATTGAATTCACTTGGTATTGTTTTTCTATTTATCTATCAGTAGCTAAGTGGATAGCGCGATGGTGTTTGGAGAGAACAGTACTGAGTTCGAGTCCCAGAGTGAACATTAACTCTGAGATGCAGGTACACCCAACTTTGCTTATAATGCTTATGAATTTAGACAATATCTAGTCAATACTCACAGTATCCACATATGCCAATAAGAGATTGATGAATTTCAGTCCTAAACATTAATGGGAAAATTCAAGTTAACAACAATACCAAGTGAATTAAACTTCACCCCATTGCACAAGCACGTGGTTATCAGGAATCAGTAGCTAAGCGGATAATGTGATGGCGGTTGAAGAGAACAGTACTAGGTTCGAATCCCAGAGTGAAAACCAACTCTGAGATGCAGGTACATTCAGCCGACAAGTCCCAAATAGAACTAAACGCGTGTCCTAGATTCCACTGCTAGCCACTATCCATTTTTGCTCATTATAAATATTGTTTAGTTCTCTTTACTTTCTTAATAGTTCTGTAAATAATATCTCTCAGTCTGTATGTCATTCATCATTTTTTCATGTATATAATCACATCAAAAAACAGTCTTCATTTTTCTTTTCCTCATAACAGGATTATCAAGGAGAATCATCGTTAAATGAAAATAAACTAAATTGTACAGCAAATATTCATAAACGATCAAGAAAAGAATCAACAAAACGAAGCATGAAACATTCAAAACTGACTATTACTACTACTACTACTACTACCCCGATGAATCCTACTCAAACTCTTAATCATTCTATTCATGATGAGAATAATAATAATAATAATAAAGAAACCGCTGGTTTATGGGAAATTACCGGTTGGAAACAATTATATGGTCATGCTGGACATGAAATCACTATTTTAGTAATTAATCGTAATAATAGTTTAGTTGCTAGTGGTGATAATCAAGGTTATGTATGTTTATGGGATAGATATCGTTTAACATTAATAAAAACAATTAATACTAATGTTATTAATGATCATGATTATCAACAAAATGAATTCGGTGATAGTTTAAATAGTAGTCAAAGTCATAGTATCACTACTACTACTACTAATACCGGTCAGGATTACCATAATATTAATGATTTGAAACAACCCCGTAGACGATATTCCTCTAATCATCTTACTGTGGAGAATTCCATACATAAAAGTAATGAAGATATACAAATGAAGAAAAAGAAGACTATTTTAAGTAGTAGTAGTAGTAGTAGCAGTAGTACTTCAAAAGCTGATTTTATAAATATCAATGATGATTCAGTATTATTGAATAATTTTAAACGTATTGATGGAATATGCTTCAATTTGACATCCGGTGAATTAGTTGTAGCCAAATGGAATCATCCTAATTTTAATGGTAATTAACAATCCCATATTTGCTTGTTCGTTTTTATTATTATTATTATTATTATTATTATTATTATTATTATTATTATTTTACTAAACATCCTGCTATTTGAGATTCCATAACATTTTGTTTATGGTAACTGATGATTATTTGTTATTTCATTACTGTATGGCTTCTGTGTGCCCCCGAATGCCCTGGTACGGCCGAGAGTGGAGAGAATCCGCTCTCCCTCTCGAAATGCTCTCACATAGCCACGTGCATAAAACCACTAACAGGGAAGTCCTAATCACTGCCTTCTCGAGATACTACTGCTGTTTACGAAGTTAAAAGGACGAAAAGTAAATGTCCGACACTTTAACCAGGTTAGTCGACACGGATGGGGAGTTGGAAAACCCTCATTCCAAAACAATGGTGCACATGGGCTCCAGTATCCTGCGGAAACAAACGGCGTATGAACCAGTCATTGGTCACCGGCTACAATGGGATTGCATCTCCTTACGATGCTCCACTGCCTTGTGGATCAGACCCTTAGGTCAAAGGCTCAGAGTGTGACCCCGTAAGAAAACCAACTGTTTCGGTCTGAGCACCAAGGCAGTATCACAGCCCTTACACAAATCAAATGAGATTTATGTGGCGCATATTTATCTGCTGCCGCCTTGTACCAGTATTCATGTGTTCAAATAAATATAAATAAAATCTGTGTTGAGTAGTAAGAGGGAATTGGCGAGATATCACTCAACATCTAAACATAATGAGCTCGATATTTACTCGCTTAAACTAGTGGCTACATTGTGATTTGGTCGATTTTGGTGAGATTTCGTTCTGGATGCTTGATTGTGGAGCTTTCATTGTTCTTATGATCAACATCATTAGCACAAACTTCGGATAGAAGTGAAGTGTTTGAATTTTTTCACACATGACTCACAATTTATCCTGTCTACTTCGATCTTGACTTTTTAATGTTAATATTTAACCTGTCATTATTTGCCTCTTTACTTTCATTGTGTCTCCTGTTGATTTGATTCTTGGTTCTATATTTGTCCATGATTTTTTGGGATTGGTTTGTAAGTTGAATTAATTTCAATGTGTTTGTTGATTGTTGACTGACGTGAATCCCAAGTATCCGAAAATATACTCTGGTGTTTTTAGTAACTCCTCTATCCAAGATTTTAACCTTTTTCCAGTAGAATTTGTGTGCGCAATTGTCCACATGGATTGATTGAAGCGAAGATATGTCATGGCGTTTAACAGCCAAATGATGTTCATGCAACACTAAAAACGGCTCGAAAAACATGACATCGGTCAGCCATTTACAAATTTACGTTCTTCCAATTCCACAACAGTTTCTATCGCTTTTCATGATAGTTTCATTATTCATATTTCTGACTATGAAACTGAATAATAGTTCAATTAATCAATTTTCTTCGATCATGTAACTTTGATGATAATAATGTTTTAAGATTTATCTGTGTAAACCATTCAGTATATGACCTCGTTGAAATTCCACTAAAGTTTGGTAGATTTTAAGCAAAGATGGGTGGTCCTTAGTAGTGGAATCCAGGACTCATGCTTTGTCTTATTTGAGACTCATCAACCGGACTTACTCGCACCCCAGAGTTGATGTCCACCCCGGAACTGTAAATAAGTTCCTTTTACTTCAAACACCGACACTTTATCCATTTACCTACTGAGTCCAAATCGCTACTGCCTTGTTTGATGGGGGTGATTCTTAGTTCATTTGTATTGGTTTCTTGAATCTTCTTTGTTAATAATTTCCAAGTAAGAAGAAACGTGCGTTATAGATTCCACTGCTAGACACCAGTCAACTCGGTTTAAAATGTTTGTGTACAAACGGCTGCATCGATGGAATCCATATAAGATGTACGTATATCAATAAGTGACTAACCAATTACAGTCTTAATAATCACTGAGAAAATTCAACCAACCAATAAAAATGAACTAAAGTTTAGCTTTTTTTTTCAAATGATATACATATCTTGACAATGTTTTCCTTAATTTTAAAAGTCATTAAAGTAGAGAAGATTTGTAGCTTGAGTGGGTGATTTTGATGGAGTTTTGTTCTTTAAGCTGGATGGTTTGGTCGTGGAGCTTTTCTCGTTCTTCTGAATGATATCATCAGCAAAAACTTCAGGTAGACAATGAAAGCTCTACGACCAAACCATCCAGCTTAGAGAACGAAACTCTATCCAAGTCATTAAAGGGTTATAAATAAATATGTCATCCTTGTGATTAATTGGCATATAAATTGATTATGAACTAAATCGACTCATTTTTTGCTGGTTAATGACATAATCATCAAATGGTTTCTATTTATAAGTTAAACTAATATTTATCTGACTACTGGATCAATTGAACCATGGTTGCTAATATTATTTAACTTTCAACCATTCAATCTCAGGCTGGAACTCTTACTTAATTACTGACGCCTATTACTCATCGTGGAGGAGCATAGGCCGCCAACCAGCACTCTCCATCCAACCCTGTCCTAGGCAATCCTTTCCAGCTCTTTCCAGTTGTTATTCATTCTGTTCATGTTCTTTGGCCTTCTTTTCCACTTCTCTTCAGGATTCCAAGCTAGGACTTGGAACTCCACTCCATTTAATTTATTTTGTACAGATGAATTAGTATCAACTAGCTAACACATAGAAAGTATAAATCATAGCATAACCAAGTATTTAAATTTATACATGGTTGATGAATTTGAATAATAATTATTATAAACAAAAGTTCGATATAAATTGTAATTCTATACTTCTGTTTAAATTAAGTTTTAATAAAAATTTCCGGTCAAATATCCACTGATGATACACTAAGCGAATTGTGTAGAACTAGATATCTCTTACAATATGACATAATTTTGTGATAAAGTGATTAAAAACAATCTATGATGAACAGTCAGGTTATTTTTCCGTAGATAACTTAGTACTGATATGTTCATTGTAAAGATTATATGAACGGTAAACGGTGGCTCAATTTTGCACACGAGACCGATAGATCTTGGGTTCGAATCCCGGGGGTGGTATCATGGATGTGCACTACTGAAGAGTCCTATACTAGGAGAATTCGGCCGTTCAGTGTTTCCCAGTTTTAATTGACTTATGAATTCAACTATTAAATTGTTAGATGAATCATTTATCAGAACATATTTCCCACAAGCATTATTCATTTGCATATTCATTTTCCCATTCCATAAAATATATCAATCAAACATTAGTAGCATTAATCTGTTATTGAACTGAATGACAGATAACATCATACATTCATTTAGTGCTAATAATGAATCACTATGCACTATTCACTGGTTCCTTTTTTTGTTCATTTCTATTAATAAATTTTTTTTTAATTTCAGTCTGTTGGCTTGGTTTATATTCTTGTTCTGGAGTTTGGATAGCTAATCGTATTTTAGATTTTCTAGCTGAAATCAATGATCCATTAATAGATTCACCTTTATTACAAATCTATGATGATAATTATCATCCTTTAGTTCCTATGGCATTTTCAACTGTGTCTGAAGGTCGAGGTGTGAATTGTTTATTAGTTGGTGGTCCAGGTGGTCGATTAGTTTGGTTGAATTCATGGACATTGGATACAATACGAACATATATGGTAAGTGTTTATATATGTGGATTATATTCATTCAAATTTCTATGATTCAATTTTTTAATTAATTTTTATGTTAGATTTCTATTTTCAATATAGGGTTGTGGAGATTATTAAGTTATTGATTGAGATCTTGAACTGATTGATGTTAGACCATCATTAAAAACCTGGAAGCACTGGATGACCTTTTCTTACTGTTGCGGAACTCTTCTCCGGTGCTCATCCACGACCAGTGGAGCTAATCCGTGTCGGATAGACAAAGGTATCTACCTCAGTACAATGGAAAATGCTCACGAAATTTCGTGGATTGGTTGAGGTTAGGCACTAACACCGTTGGATACCGGTCATCTCAGTCGTCTAGAAGTTAAGCGTTTGTGAGCGATGCTGAAGGCCCTTGGTTCGAATCCTACGAGCAGGATCGCGGATGCACACTTTTGAGGAGTCCCACAATAGCACGAGACGGCCGTCCAGTGCTTCCAGGTTTTCAATGGTGATCTAACATCAATCAGTTGAAGATCTCAATGAATAAGATTTCTATTTGTTTGAACATTACCATTAAATAAATACTATACATACTCTTTCAAACTTAGATCACTCATGATATTAATTAGAAATTACCTAGTCGTGATTACTTCTTTGTGTAGCAATATGCGAAGTCTAGTTATCAATTACAAAGAGAAATCAGTTTCATGTCATGTAGAACTGATGTAACTCTTTTCCTATTCATGAATTTCCAAGCCCCTCCATGGAGTGATGCAGTATCTAGTCTCTATGGCAAAGAACTGATCACTTATTTTTCCAAAATTCCTCATGTATATTTATAGCTTGTTCACTAATCAACCATAACATTATTGTTAAGTCTTGCTACTGAAACACTCAACCTGTCTTGTTAACTGGTCTGCCATAATGTCAAGTATTTCCACACTTCGACCGGAACAACGGAGAGAAGGTGCGAATTGCAAGTAAACATTTTACTCCAAAGTTAGTTTATGTACAGAAAAAAACAGGAGTATTTATAGAGTTATATACGACCTTGAGATCCCGGGAATTTCTGGAACCATAACAAATACATTAACAGTATTGGTGAATATCCAATCAAAACCGTAAGACGTAGTTCTGTACTTTCTGTGGTTTTTTCGAGAAGTTTCTAATCAACGCGGATTGAATAAGACGTTGATTAGAGTTTTTGAGCCTCTGGGGACTTTGACGAGGAAGATTTTGGTACTCCATCAACAATTATCTATTCTCTCATATACTTTAAAGTAAAACTGTTAACTTCGTCTACTGATATTATCAGTCTGAGACGATTCTAAATCCCATCATTGACCATAAAAACAACCCGTACTTTGAAATTTAAAAGTTTAAGCATCGATTTCAATTCATCTATAAGAAACAAATAGTGATTTACGATCTACAAGGTGTTCCTAGTCCGGGCTTCTGTATTATTGTTCAATATTGATTGATATCAAAAAGAAGGCTGAACTAAGACATGATCCTAATGATAATCCATATGTAGCCAACAGAACGCTGTACAAACTGAACGAACTGTGTTGGAACTTAATCAACTACTAATGATGTCTAAAATACAGTTCAATTGCTTCTAAACAAATTTATATTTGATTAGGACATTGATCTACTTCACTGAGTAATTAAATGAAAACTATTCATTCAAACGTTACCACAGTTATAGTCACTTTTTTCAACCTGTTGACCTGTGTCTATGTACAAAATTATCGATCTTCTAATTAAATTAATCATTAGAATATTTATTGATTCCTTGAGTATTTTTTTGTCTATTTCAACGGATATTTTATTAATATCAGAAAAGGGTGTTTTTGTCAATATTACAGTAATTTGATAGTTGAGATCATAATTCAATTGGAACTAAACCATCATAGAAAACCTGGAAACACTGAACGACCGTTTCGTCCTATTGTGAGACTCCTCAACAGTATATTTTATTATCAATCTGAACATCATTGTCGTATATAAATATTCACTAGTGATATTCATCATTATAACTGGCTTCGTTTTAACATGTATAGTGTTAAACAAATAATTTATAATTTCAATAGTTGAAATCATGAGTAAATTGAAGCCAGACCACTATGGAAAACCTGGAACCACTGGACGGCCGTTTCGTCTTAGAATGGGACTCCTCAGCAGTGCTCATCCACGATACCGCCCCCCGCGAGATTCGAACCCGGGACCTATCAGTCTCGCACGCGAGCGCTTAACCTCTAGACCACTGAGCCGGCAACTGACGGTGTTAATGTCTAACTTCAACCAATCCACGAAATTGCGCCACTGTCACCATTGTCTTCAGTGAACTGATATCTCACGACTGACATGATTTTAATTATTAAAATTACTAAAATCTCCACAAAACCCCTTCTGATAATAATCATCTGCTCGTCCTATTGTGAGACTTCTCATCAGTGCACATCTGCGATCCCACTCGCGGGTCCGAGCGAAATTACTACAATCTCCACAAAACCCCTTCTGATAACCATCAACATATGCTCACAAGTGACTGGCTTCAAGAGGTATTTCCTGGAGTTCTAGTGAGAAGCAGTGACCAGTGGAGTTCAACCGGGTCATTTGTGAGTTAGTAACCAACTGAAGACAATGGTGGATGTGTCGCTGAATTTCGTGGATTGATTGAAGTTAGACGTAACACCATTGGATGCCGGCCGGTTCAGTGATCTAGTGGTTAAGTGCTCGCGCGTGAGACTGGTAGTTCCTTGTTTCGAACCTCGCGGGGTGCGGTATCGTGGATGCGCACTTCTGAGTCCGATACTAGGACGAAAACACCGTCCAGTGCTTCCAGGTTTTCCATAGTAGTCTAGCCTCAATTGACTCGTGATTTCAACTATCGGAATTACTACAATCTCCACAAAACCCTTTCCGATAAAACATATTATAAATAAATATTTCCCAGGACAGTTGGGTATGTTTGTCACAGATTAATTTCATTTAAGGTGTCACTGAAAACAAGGAAGGCAATGTAGGATATAAAAGAAATGTGTACGTATCAAGGTTGGATATAGCTTAATCGGTTAGGGCGTCGTACTTATAATGCGGAGGTTGAGAGTTCGAGCCTCTCCTGGAGCACAGTACACAACATCAACCTCGGGTTTGTAATAAGTCTCTCATTTGGCTGAGTATCCTGTGTGTTTGTGCTCACTGCCATCTGCCTGCCTGTCGTGCACACAAGCATAGTGTGGTGATCGGACAAACAGTAGTTCGGTGCTTGGTCATATGTAACACGTCAGAATAATACCTTTAAAGAGAAAATTGGCAAAATGAAATACCGAACATAAAAGATAACAATAATAATATTAATTATTATTAGTGGAAAATTAATTATAAGAAATATGGTTTCAAAAGAATCAATCGAATTTAATAACTATTTCTTTTTATCATTAAAGCGTATAATGAATCATCCGAAAATTAGGATGAACGCTTGCCAAGAAATTTAGAGATCCTAGATTTCATATTTAATGGAGTTTTTATTTATTTATTTATTTGAACGTATTAATATTGGTACAAAGGGGCGCCGAATACATATGCGCCACACAAGTTACTTGATTTGTGTGTGGGGTGTGATATATTTTCCGGGTCCCAAGACCGAAGCTTTTCATCCAGAGGTCTAATCCACAACGCAGTGAAGCAACGTAAGGAGATGCAGTCTCATGATAGCAGGTGATCAACTATTGGTTCATACGTCATTTGTCCCCTCAGAATTCCGGAGTCCATGTAGAGCATTGGTTCGAAATCAGGGTTTTCCTCCGTATCCACCAAGCCGGTTAAAGCGCCAGATATTCGCTTTTCGTCTTCTGGGTTCCGTAAACAACACCGTCACCGCGAGAATTAAGTGAGTAGGACTTCCCTGTCAGTGGCCGTATGCACGTGGCCATATGAGAGTATTTTGAGAGGGAAAGCTGATTCTCCCCATTCTCGGTAATACCAGGGCATTTTCTGGGTGTTACCAACGCTTATACAACTAATGATGAAACAACAACTTTCAATTAAAAACATGGTTGATATTGTGGTATACACTCTAAACAATAATTAACTATAAACTGAACTCTAATGTTATTATGAATTGTCGTTTGTTTGTTTTTTTGTTGCCTTTAACAGCTCCCAGATAATGATGAAAATGCACGTATAACATCAGTTTGCTTCGGACCATTGTTGAATACTACTACTACTACTACTACTACTACTACTAATAATAATAATAATAATAATAATAATAATAATAATAATAATGTGAATTATCATACAAATTCAAAAGATTTAGGTGAAATTTTATGTCAAGGTTTATATGTAACTGTTCAAACAGGTTGTTTATATCATTTTGGTCCTAAATCTACTATACAAACATGTCCTACTATAGATCAATTAAATAATGATAACTATTCATCTTATTCAACTAATGAGCTGCATAAACATTCTATTGTACATTGGTTAGATACATAATGACTATGTATTTATTTTTATATGATTGTTGTTTAGAATGATTTTAAAGATTTTTAATTTAACGGACTTCATTTTTATTTGTAAATTTTTTCTCTTTGATAAATACATATACGTTCTATTGTATCATCTTGTTCGTTCTTTGTTAACTTCTAATCTTAGCCATATTGATAGATTCCGACTACTTGGTTGGGGTCCACGTGACTATCGTAACCGATGGTTGAAGATTGTGGATAACATGGTGTATACACTATCTGTCTTCCCTTAAACGATAAGATTAAAATCGCTTCATATCTTTCTTTCTATGAACTAATTCTTTCTTTCTGTACTATATCCTTATTGCAATCTTTCTTTTATATATTACCACTATTGAATTAACTACTTTTATTAATCCGGTGTCCATCTTGTTGTGTTATTGAGGTATGGCAACTTGAACCGATGCATATATGTGCTTGATCCTATGTTGTAGCTGACTGACTGTTATATTCTTGCGTACTACTTCAGTACTCGAAAGCTAGAACCCTTCAAGTCTCAAGTTAGAAGACGAGTGATAGTTAGTGTTATTCCGAACAATGTCAATTATGATACAAAACACTCAAGTATTTATAGTTTTTAGTAAAAACGAAATCATCATTACAGTCATTCAATCCGTATATAGTGCTTTTTAGCATTTGTTCAATAGGGAAGGTACACATTGAGATTCGCGAATGTTCTTCAAAAAGATAATTGTATGGAATGTCTCTGGCTCCTTCTGAGCTTTCTTGAATTCACCTGGGGGCTGTCGTCACAGCTAAGGTCGACTTTATTATTGTTATATGAAATGACAAGACTCCGGCCGGCCGCCTTAGTGATCACAACTTTTTCTTTAAAAAGATAAACCAATAGTCCCTAACGTCATGCAATATGATCCAGAAAAATAAATCCATATTCTACACTGAATGTCTACTCAAACACAATGTAATGATATTATACACTACTTGATGGATGTGAAAAATGCCCCATCGTAGATAGACTTATGCTTGATTGTTAATCTTATTTTTCCTCAGACACTTTTGAAGCATAACACTAATACATAACAGGATTATTGAATGATTAGTGGCTAAGATTAAATACAAGGTAATAAGTAAAGATAGTGAAGCGGTTGATGGAGCTACGGACTTTCATGTGTTCAGGTGATTGCTTCTTGTATTTAACGTAGATAAACGCTTCTAATCTCGATACATTATGCATAAGAATAGGTAGACTGGAAGTATATTCCAAACTGTCATTTTAAGATACTGCAGCATATGCTTATGAAGTCATTGACTATTATAATAAATTCTTTTAATCAATGTTGCAAACTTTGTGACTGAAATCAAAAAGATAAAAAGAATATAGAATCAATAATTTGTGTGATGCAACTCAAAAGCTGTCTCACTATCCATTTACTAGAATTCCGATAAATTGGTCTCTCTATAGTGACTCGAACTATATACAGTTCCATTGTAAAACAGGTGGTCACGAAACTAATCAACCACATTTTCTCTACAAGCGTATAGTAACGGCTTGAGTATTTGTATATTGTAGTTTAGTGACACTTTTTAAACGATCTTTCTTGGTCGTGTTTCTTTGGGAGAACATACTCACTAATCACATATCTATACCTGTCATGAGGAATATAATTACCCTTCCATATTGCATAAATGGCAATGCACTTCTTATTTCGTTTGCCACTTAACATGTATATTTAAAAGAGTAATATCGAGCTATGCACTTGAAGATGGTAGTTGGGACATCAATCCTAGATAGATGAGTGAAGTAGATAACTATGTTCTTTTATAGTCATACAATTAAAGCAGCTTTCAAATTCCGAAGTAGAAACCCTAAAATGGGTAATCTCAGGTTTGTGGGGACCGTAGCTAATAAAGAATTAATTTTTGTGATTTCTGATTGAATTTGCAGAATGTGGCAATGAAATACCAGTTAATTTGCCGCTATGTTAGAATTCATCTGAAGTCTCAATATTGCGGAAACAACAATCACTACTCAGTTCCCTATGTTTGATTACAGCACAAAATATGTGTTGTGGCAACAAATTACCCAACTGTTTGTGACATGTGGAGATTAAAAAGTAAATATGAAATTTATTCTATGGTTGTTAGCTGCAATTTACCTTTTTCAGCAAAGGTTTGCAGTCGATTTAGCGATTCTAATACTGTCATGCATCGTAAAATATATTCGATCCATGAATCCCATCACGATCGTCTACATTTACTATAAAGCACATACCAAGAGGAATACATGTCAGTCACTTTGGTGATGGTTTGACTTGAAGTTTGCACTATTTAGCTCCACAGTAAATTGTAAGCTTTTAAAACTATGTGTGAGTGCGTGACACGTGCTAAATATGGCTAACCACCGTAAATCTCTATGTCGCGTGGAATAAGAGTGAGTTGGAGGTAACCTAGCTATAGTCAGAAACAAAAAGTGACATCACTTCATGATACTTGTAGGAAGGTGAAGACTATGTGAATCCCACGATTATATATATATATATATATATATATATATATATATATATATATATATATATATATATATGCCACACTTTACATGGATCATAACAAACTGAGTTTACTAATCGCTTAATACAAATAGTTAAAACAAATCTAACTCAGGATAATTTACTAAAATACGTCGAATGAAGCTTGACCACCATGAAGAATCTGGAAGCACTGGACAGCCGTCTCGTCCTACCGGGAGACTCCTCAGAAGCGCGCATCCACAATCCCGCTCCGTGAGATTCGAACCCAGGATTTACGGTCGCTAAACCACTGAGCTGGCATCCAACGGTGTCAATGTCTAGACAGTATAAATTACTCAAAACTCACTGAGCACATGAAAATTATTATGAGAAAGTGGGTTTTGTGAATATTATAGTAGCATTGCTGAGGAGTCCCATACTAGCACGAAACGGCCGTCCAGTGCTTCCAGGCTTTACATGGTGGTCCGGCCTTAATCGACTCATGGTTTCAACTATTAAATTACTACAATCTCCACAAAACCCTCTTTCTGATAATACTTACACAGTTAAAAAATAGTTTATCTAGATATATTCCATTATTTCTCACTTTTTCTAATAACTTTCTAATCTGTACTATGTGAATGACGAACAAATATTCCCGAATGAATCCTATATCATTATTGTTGCTAAATAATTTAAATATCGTAAAATTATTCAACATTGAACCCATTATCTCAGTATGATCCATTTTTATTATTAAAAACATCTCGGGGATACGGAGGATCAATCTAGGAGAGTTTGAAAAACCCTGATTCCAAACCAATAGTGCACATGGGCTCCAATATCCCGATAGAACAAACGGCGTATGGACCTATTATTGGTCACCAGCTACCAACAGACTGCATCTCTTGACCTTGCTCCACTGCCTTGTGGATCAGACCTTCCGGTTGAAGGCTCCAGGAATAGCCGCCTCCTAAGAAAACTACCTGTTTCGGTTTGATCACCCGAACAATATCACAACCCACTCACAAATCGAATGATTTGTATAGAGCATATGTATTCGGTGCCCCTTTGTACCAATATTTATGTGTTCATATGTTTGTATAAGTAATTTATACATAAAACATTAGTTATTTTCTTTTTGTTCTTTATTTACTAATTCTCTTTTTAAAATGTAAAAAAATAAAGATTAAACCACAGACATTGAGAAAGAGAAATATGTACATAAAATAAAGAAGAAGAGGAAGAGAGAGAACAGAAACACATACATTTACCATACAACACATACACATCCTGATAGTATATTAATATGAATATACATAAAGAATAAGACAATCCATTGTTGAACAATTGGAAATTATTACACACAGCAAAAAGAAAATTTATTTAATGTGAAATGTGGCAGAACATAAATGATGAACCGAAAAAAAGAAGAACAACAACAAAGAGAATCCTCTTTTTTCTTTTAAAAAAAAAAGATGGAACAAATGGATAAAAAGCAGCCATGAAATATCAACTGTTGCTGAGAACAAAATAATAGACATTTTACGTTCTCTACTCTCATATAAGCATACACACACATTTACACATAATAATATATACATTAAATTATGATTATTATTATTATTACTTCTACTATTGCATAACATCTACATGGTTATTCTTCAATGACAAACCCTATATTGGATAAATTGAGAGAGAAAAAAAATAGAAATATTATAAGAATGTATAACTCATGACAAAACAAGAACTTATTTTGTTACAATTGAAACTATAAAGTACATTTTACCTAGGAAACCTGATGTTAGTCTTAAAAGAGAAAAAAAATGACAAAGTGTTATAATTTCTTTTATTACTACTACTATCTAGCTATCCCTATTGCTTAGTAGTATTCTTGGAGATCAATTCACTCGACAATTACCTAAATGAGAATACAGTCGAACGTTAGTATATTTATAGAGGGAGATTGATTGTGAATACAGTAATCTTGAGTGCTGTTAGAGGAATGAGGGCAGTTATCACTTCCCAGTTGCTCACACCGTAGAAGGGTTCTTCTGGAGATACCTGAGAAGGAAAATGCGTTAGAGGTGATCTTAGTGACCTGAGAGCGTGACCGCAGTGCCCAAGGGACAACTGCTTGAGGTTAGTTACACATAACCTTCTTGTGAATAATTTTCGTGTTAGGTCCGTATTTGTTGAAACCTTACCCCCGGAGACCCTTGTACAGTCAGCAGTACGACTTCGTCCTCAGACCTTGGGGTTTGCTGCTTTTAGTCTTACCGTTCTTCAACCGACCTGTTTGGCATGGTAGGATCTTGAGGAATGATTGTTCCAGCCAGTATAGCTCGATTGGTTCATCACGATAAGCAAGCCCAACCACCACTTCAAGGTAGTAGCAAGGATAGAGAGTATATTTATGGTTTTTACATTAGAAGATTCTATAGTCTTCTTCAAGTATCGACTAGCGTTGATTGGATAAGAAATAACCAATCAGTGTTCATCAATACAATCTTACACGGAATGTGTTTTAATCCAATCTATGTCTTGCTAACACGTTGTTACTGACTAACTAACTGATACGAGCATTTAAAAAAGTATGAAGAAAAAACAAATCATTGAAATAAATTTTTAAATTAACAAATTTTACACATACTGAATAATCATAATGATGTCCATCATTATCATTAACAGAATTATCTTCATCAATATGAGACAGGAGTTCTTCTTCATCTTCTTCTAATCCATCATCTTTTAATATTGTTGTTGTTGTATCACCATTAGTAAGAATAATTTCA